GGAGGGTTTATGACATTTTCGGGGGACAGCAGCCATCAGAACGTGAGCAGTACGTCGATTTTTGATTCCCCCCTCGGAATATCATTGGGCTGATACTAATTAAAAAACACGCAAAAAGATACATTCTTCATATACCATGATCTTTCCACCGTAGCCTCCGAAGGCATGCCGCCACCGCATACCGGTCTGTCGAAGAATGCGTCAATCCCAAACGTCAATGGCGGAGTGTTTTGGCCCGATACTGTCAATAAGCGGATCTATCTCTTCGGCGGGGAGCAAAACGAAGGAAAGCCCGAAGACTTTCGATTGTACTCCTACGACGTGTTGAATGATCATTGGGATAGCTTTGGGTATCCGAGGTCCGACAATATTATGAGCCTGAGCTATGGTGCTGGAGTATCTGTGCCTAATCGTGGCCAGGCGTATTATTACGGAGGGTACATGAACAGTAAAACAGTACCAGACTGGAAGGGTTCTCAGGTCGCGACGTCGAACTTGTTGATTTACGACATGGATAAGAATTCATGGTCCAATACGACTGGGCTCGATGATTCCCGCCGAGCGGAGGGCGTGATGGTATATATACCCGCCGGAGATGGAGGGTTTTTGGTATACTTCGGGGGCATACGCCAGAAGCAAGATGGAAAATGGGAAGGGCAACCAATGGAAGAGATTCTGCTTTATGACGTGACAAGTGGGAGGAGATACAAACAGAATGCGACAGGCACGATACCCCAGATTCGTCGCAAGTTTTGTGCCGGCGTTACTTGGGCGGAGGATCAATCGTCATATAACATGTAAGGCTATCTTCCTGCAATCATCTTCGATTTTAAAGGCACTGACCTCGGTTAAGATATCTCTATGGCGGCATGGGGGAAAAGGAGGGCTCCCTCGGCTTCGACGATGTTTATGTCCTCAGCATTCCTACATTCACTTGGGTCAAGCTATTCCCAAAAGATGCGAAAGACCCGGGGTCAAATCCACACCACAGCATGTCCTGCAACGTCGTTAATACGGCCCAGATGATCGTACATGGAGGTTTCTTTCCGGCTCATGGTGATTGCGAATTGGCATGGGGTAAGTCTCCCGTATATCATCTTTAGGTCTTACGAAATTGGAGAATTTTCTAACGTGGAAGCTTTTTCAGGCATCCACAATCTCGACTTAGGGAAGAACAATGAAGAGCAGGCCTTTTGGCTGAGGTACATCCCGAGTAAAAAGAGGTACCAGGTTCCCCCTGAGGTGCTCTCAGTTACCGGAGGGGAATCTTCTGGGGGGGCTACAAACAAGAAACCAGCCAATGGATGGTCTCATTCGGACCTAGAAACATTGATGACTCGTGCCGCGGATACTTCGACGAGGGAGCCTACGAGAGACGTCAACCCAGGTGGCAATAAGCTAGGCACAGGCCCAATTGTGGGCATTTCGATCGGTTCCGCTGTTTTTGTGGCGCTGGTCGCTATAGGGGTATGGATATTTGTTCGCCGACGAAGAAGGAGCCGTGAGATTGCTACCGTTTTATCCTCGCCGCAGGGACATATGTCTGTTGCGGACCAGAGCCAAGGCACCGCGTATCAGTCCTCCTTGGGACCTTGGAGTGCAGGATCAACATACTATTCACCCCAACTGGACCAACAGTCTCGCAGCCATTTGGTTTACCATACGGCAGTTCCAATGTCGAACTTTGGGATACCTGGTGAAGGTAAACCAGATGAGTTTGGAAATCCTACCATGATTCCAGAGCTTCCTGGCCAAGACGATCATGTTGAGCTATCGGCAGATCCTCGAGCTGAGAACGAAGATGGACAAACTGAAACCCCTCACAAACGTGGAGAAGAACACCCATAGTAGAATAGTATTGGATGGAAGACGAGTAATTGATGTCTAATAAGCTACTCATGCACCTTGCTAGAGGGCAAGGCTTTGGGCTCGGACCTGAATTTTCTGGAGCGAGTAGGGCGCGATTTTCTGATTATGAAGTCGATTTTGAGTATCGACGCCAATAATGGAGTCAAACCTTCGAAGAGAAATAAATATCTTAGTGTTTACAACAACAAAGATGTAAACTAACCCATTGCTAAGCGGCTATGTCTGACGCCCCACGCATTCTTTTATTAAATACATGTTTTGCCTCGGGTAAACGCTAAGAATACCCCTTTTATTTTATTTTTGAGCCTTTTCCTTATAATAAGATGAACTAAGGACAATGCTTCTCGTGTTGTTGGTTGAAACACAGTTGTGATAGTATAAAATAATTTCTGCATTTCTCGTCCCTGATCAGGTCGGGTGTTATCCCAACTCTTTCTTGGGCAAACATATATTTCAGCCAGGATTATTGTAATGATAGTTTGTATAGTTCGGGTCTGAGGCATGCAAGTCTAAGTACAAGTTGTCACTAATAATACATTATCCCAGAAATATTGCGACCTACAGCCAAAGGAATCGTGCTCTTCATTGTCCTCCACGCTCAATGCTTCCTCATAATATTCTACCGGTGCGTTCGTATAATTCACTTCTGTCGTATGTCTATGTCCTGGGTTATCAAATTGATTTGTTGGCGTCAAATTGCTAAAGCCTTGAGCTGAGGGATCGTAATAGTCCGAGCCGGATATAGGCATAGATAAATCTGGAAATGCGGTAGGACAGAGCTGGGATGGATCCTGAGGGAGGTTGGATAAGTCCCATTGACCATCGTATGCTGAAAAGTCGGCCCCACTGAAATCATCTCCCATGTCAAAATGACTTGGAGATAGTTGTGAAATTGGGGGATTGTTGCTACTGGAAGGACTGCCGCTAGACCTCTCTCTGCTCTTTCTCGTTACCGAGCGCCCGGAGGAAAATCCATCTACAAATGTGTAGCCTTGGCCAAGACCGCTGCAGCTTAGGCCTTTCGAGACGCATTTTTGACAGTCCGGCTCTGTCCTGTCACAGTTTATTCGGCGTTTTGAACACTCGTAACAACCTGTATGAATATATTAGAATATTCCTATGAAACAGATGTAAATAGGTTTTTGATCATGCTTTACCTTTTACTTTTGGGACATACTGGCGTTTTCTCCGCCCCATTGTTGAGGCTGAACCTGGGGATGGAGATTCCTCGACCCCGGAATTTGAGTGTGGATTCTTTTCTCTGGAACTGCTACCGGGAACACCGGACATGACGAATTTGCAATACGTAAAATGCAGAGCCGATGGCCTAGCAAATCATGCAATGGGTGCTTTGTGTCCCTTTATTTTGGATCACGGCTTCACGGATCACGGCCCTACGGAGAATGAGCCGGCCCAGGTGCCACCTCGAATTCAAATGCAATAAATATGAAGAATCGGAAAGTGATAAGACTTCGTTGAAGGACATCTGAGACATTTTCTGGACCATATGGATGAGACTTCTATGCCCTTATCAGAAACACCTATACTCGGCTATTGATTCATTCGTCAATCCTCTCCGTGATTGACATTATACACATCCTCGGATGGGGCCCCCGAGCGAAAGGGAGTAGCATGGCATTCAAATGGAGTTAGTGTGTGATGAACAAAGATAACCATTGGGTCTACGTATTATCCACTTGCCGACCCCTGCAGTCGGGAATTCGGGATGCCCTCTAGATCATGGAGATGCCGAGAGTCGATCTAGGGTCACCGATCGATATGACGTCCCAGCCTTGAGACAGATCCTCGAAAACCACCCGTTCCTACAGTCCATGAGGGGTAGTTACCAGCACGGCGCAAAGTTGGTTTGCATGTTGCGTAAATTGAGAAGAGCGTAGTATTATCAATTTTGATTGTCTCTGAGCACCATGCAACACTATGTTTATTTGAATCAACTTCACTTATCTTGGAAAGTCAGATGAAGTTGCTAATAGTACAGGAAGATCCCGAGTGATCTCGGCATCGTTGATATGAAAGATGGCAACTCCTATCATGATGACAAGACTACAACGGACTCATTGATGTAGCCGTCTAAAGCATTGCAGATGTGAGGAGAGGGGGGATATACTGATAAGAAAGCTCTGAAAGCTGTGCTTCCCACATAACACAAGCCTATATTTTCTTAGATATCAAGTACGGCATGGGCATTGTGCGGGGAAGGTAAACTGAAAGGCTAGTCTAGCCTCGAGGGCGGTGTTTTACTCCGTACTCCGGCCGGCCTGTGGGTCATCGATCAATGCCCCATCCATTGTTCTTTGCTCAAACTGGCCGGAATCTGTGTCTGGGCGGTTTCGGTCCTGTGCTTTCTATTATCATCTCTGCATCATAGCAATCCTTTGAAATGCTAAGGTATACTGATCGTGAAGGGTGGTATTGAATGGCCACTCGGGATCGCCAGCCTGGAATTGAGTTCTAGGTCTCGGCTTTCGCGACTGGATGAGATCGGCTTCATCCCGAACTCTGTGGGCCCAGAATGAAAGTCTTCTTTAAAGTTAAACTAAGTCATGGAAGATTGTCATGTATAGTATTTAGATACAGAAAACGAGGTGAAAAGTGCGGAGTTTCGCTTCCGCACGACTACCAAGGAGCGCTCAAACGGTTATTCTTCTACCCTGACTAAGACTGGATTATATATTCATCGAGTTGACCCGGACGTCATTCTCCTTTTTAACTGCATCCCCGATTTGACAACCACCTCCAATCTAACTAATTCACTGAAGCTTATATTTGCAGAACGAACTCTATTCGAGAACGCCGCTGCTGGGGTAGGTTTTGTCACAGGTCTGCCAGTTCATAGCTAGTGCTAGTGACATTGTCAGTGCAAAATAGCACTGCAAGAAAACTTGCGATGAACCATGAAGTAGTGAGTTCTAGAGGACATGAAATGTCAGTACTTCGGGTATTTCGAACAGTGCAAGAGAAGTAAAATGTCACATCTCGATTTGAGGTATTATTAAGTTAAACAATATGTTGCACAACCGTTGCGGGATGCAGAGCTATATTTTAAACTCATTCTACCCGTGGCATTTAAATTCCTAATTATCCTTCTACATATGCGCCGATCTAAGAAATCAAACTGAATTTGAGTTGTCAGCACATGACCATGCTTTAGAGCCACCAGATGCCTTGAAAGAGTCAATGATGCCCACGATAGACCCGTACGTCCCAGCAATCATGAGGAATGAACCAATAACAACCATGAAGACACTCCAGCAAACCATCAGACGCCATTTCAGATTAGGGTTCTCCCTGCCCTTAGACCAATTGTCGTAAAGCCACATGCAACCCATGGGCTGGAATGACATGAAAGTTCCAAGCAGAGCGCCGGCCAAAGAAACAAGGCCTCCAAAGATTGGAATACCGCTAGCGAGCAGATAGGCCACGAGAGCGGTAGAAAATGTGGCGCCTAACCAGGTGCTCCAGTGGACCAAGGTGTTGGACGTCATATGATGGGTTCCTCGCAGGATTCGAACGAACATGTACTTGCTAGCAAGCTGTACAAAGCTGGTCAACAAAATGCTTTCTTTCAATCAACTACCAGAAAAGAATTTTGGATACTTACATGAGAGAGGAGGATCGCCGACATCATCAGACCGGGTAGAGCAATGCCGTAGGCTACCTTCTTGATGAGAGGTCCTGCAGAGCCCAGGGCTGGGGAAGCGACATAAGATCCGCAATAGTAGTAGACAACAACTCCAACTGTGACATAGATAATAGTCACGACGGAATGACATAAGAAGAGAGCCTTATTGTACTGGCCAGGGTCTCGCATCTCGGACACGATGGGGAAGAAAGCCCCCGTACCTGCGTAGGAGAAGATGATTGTCGAGATAGCCGAGATCGCTTCGGTGAAAGTGGGATTGGCAAAGAGGACATAATCTGACTTCCAGACACCTTCTTGGGGCGCATCAGAGGGGCGGTCCTGGAGGCCAACAGCGACGGTCACGGTGAGAACTACAATTCGGTATTAGGTACCCTGTCCACAAGTAAAGAAAAAGGTATTGAAGATCGTACCTGCAATAATTATGCAGCTCACGCCAACCCATGCCAACCAACTGATACGGCCGAGTGTGCGAATGCTAGACAGACAGAAAGATGCAATAGCGGCAACGGCAACGAAAACAGCGGTGCATGTGGCATGCATTGACAGGGCATTGAGTGCAATCGAGACCGAAATAACCGCGGAACCGGCAGTGAAGATTTGAACTGATCGCATCTTGGTTAGCATCCATCTTCTTTGACCGATTTCCTGAACGAAAGTCTCACATAGAACGAAAATTACGCCAAATATTTCGCGACCAATTCGCCCAAAGATACGTTCCCCAACATCGTCAAGACCGTACACGTCAGGATGGTTGAGCTTGAAGACGCCGACCATGTAATTCGACCATAGCGTCATGCCGCTGATGGTAAGCATGAGAATAACTCCCGGAATCATACCGAGGGTATCGAAAACCACAGGGAAAGACAGAACGCCGAGACCAATCTGAGTCTTCATCATAAGGACTGAGGTACCTAACCATCCGACCTGGGAAGAGAGTTAGGATTATAAGGGCTTATTAGAATTCGGGCTACCGTTCTTCGAGGTTGCACTTACATTGCGGTAGTTAGGTCCCCCTTCCCTGATTTGACCGAACACCGCATCAACAGGTTGGTTATCACCAACAACTTCCTCAACATCCTCGTTCCCTCGAGGGGATTCGTTGCCCGAGAGTGAAGACTTCTTCATGGTGTATATCGAAAACGATGTCTGATCAGGGGGTGTAGGCGTAATCAAGGCGTGGAGGTAAATAGGGGTTCAACGGGGGGTTGGTAAGGCCAGCATGCCAGAGGGTGAGAGGTGACCGACGAAGTCAAGGGAGGAATCTGGGGAGGCGAGGCTTATTTAAATGCAACTCCCAGGCAAGCAACCATTGAGGTCCACTGGCCCCAGAGGTTATATCCGGGATCAGCAAGGTTTATCAACGCGTAGGGACTACCAAACTCTCTCGGGGGGTGAAGATTTGGGGTAGAGTTCGAGACACGAGAGGTGGATTTCGAGAGTAGTTCCATCGCTCCACTCGCGAGCATACGCAACTAACCAGGTTGCCGATACGAGACCATAAAATTACGTACAAAGCCTGGGGAAAAGCATCAACGGGGCAGGCATGTCAACAACGCGTGATGGGATGTTTCGAACCATGTTGCCCCCTTCCACTCCAGTCATACCGGCGGAATTGGAAGAAAATGCCTCAAGGGCCAAATAAGGCGGCCATAACGGGCAAGAAATCGGCTCTGGTCATGATCAATGAACTGACACAGCGGAGAGGCGAATGATAACACATGTTCTGACTGTTTGTGCTGAGCTCAAAGGTGTAAGTCGCTCCACTTGGCTTTAGGTCCCCGCTGGTACCCCAGAATTGGTATGGAGTGACCTCGGGGAAAACTGCCAGCTCTTCTGAAGGAAGGTTTTGGCGACGAATTGCTTGGGTCCGGGCTTAATAATTGGAGTGGCCTATGAGCGACGCTGACTCGTCACGTTCCATTTATGGCACGGCCAACTCACATAGATGAGATAGCAGCTTTACGGATGAAATGGACAGGCGAGTAGGCGTAGAGACCTACCCGAGATTTGCGAGATGCTCAATGGATGAATGCGATACACTCTGGCCATGACTCATGGTATCAAAGCTAAGTGTCAAGGAAGAGTGGAGGTTCAATACATCCGAAATTTGCAAATGGAAGGGGCAAACTTCAAAAGAAAGAAAAAACGACACCAGGAAAGCAGAGTGGCGAATTTCGGCAGGCAAGTAAGGAATTTTTCACCCTGATTCTGGATGCTGGCTTTAGATAAGAGATTTCATTACCCAGTCAGATTCTCTCACGAAAGCATCTAGTCAAATCTATGCCAGTATATGTAATCCGCGACGGGATACGTGATTCGTCCGATGCACTCAATGTTGCAAACGATTTGTAGTGATGTTCAGTATGTAAAGATGGCTTTGATACAGTGTTCATTCCAAGTGATCTTGAATTTAAAAGGGGGCTCTATCTACCTTGAAGAAACACAGATGGAAGTCACACGTCGTACCCGGATCGAACGAAATTCTTTCTGGCTGTGGGCGACTAATTCAGTGCAGGAAGCCTGAAGATACGGCGTGTAGGCATCGGGTTCTACGAAAACAAAGCAACAATCCCATTTGTCATGATTTGGACTCAATGAAGCATAGAAAATGGCCTGGAGAAACTACAATGTGCTAACGCCATAGAATCGCTTCAGGCTGGCCTCGGCTCTGCCGGAATGCCCTAGTCTCTGTACGTGTATCAAGGTGATTATTGGTTGAGAAATGGAGCACCACTGGAAATTTCGTGATATGTAGCCCGAGAACCGAGACAAATATCACGCCTCCACCTTTAATGATGTAGAGAATTGGGTATGTGTGCTCTTTCTGCTAGGCCGGCTCTTTTTGAGCACTGAATACGTCGGTTGTACAGAAAGGTAGGGGGAGCCTGGCCTTCACAAGATGCAAAGGAATAGTAATTACACACCCTACACTACAAGGAGGACATATTCTTTTGTTTCAATTACAGCCTGTAGCGCAAATGATATAGGGGGTATGTTTACATGAGTAGATATTTTCTTTTAATCTCGTACGCATGGCTTCGACTCAACCACATCAGAACTAGGATATATCGATTTTCTTTATCTTATTTGTCTCTGAGTAATCAAATCTCACTTCACTGATAATTGGGCAGGTCCGTGGTTTTGATAACGGGGAGAACTTGAGTCGAGGATCCAAGTATCGAGGCCCAATAAAAGTGGAATGACAGGATAGAAGGCTCCATTGTGGGTTTGAAGCTGATACAAGGCACTCACACTGGATGTTAGATTTGGTAATCACTCTTCTAGTTGAGTGGTTGTCTCTCCTTTGTCCTTCCATATCATGACAAGGCGGGCCCTGGCTCTCCGATCCTGGCAACCTACGCAATTCTTCACTGAAGAGTTGCAGATTCCATCCCATGGAAACTTTATCCCGCATAAATCATTCTATTTATGACAAATCCGCACACTGAAAGCCCGGGGAATGACCTGGAGAAGTATCCGCAGGAGCTGGGGAAGCCAGAAAATGGTACGTAATAAATGAAGAATACGTATCATAAAAAACAGAGTCTCTCAACGAGGCTAACCAGGGGCAAATACCAGCATTGATGCCGTGGCGTGGTTGACTAATATCAGTGACAGGTTTGTGGCGCTCGGATATCAGGATGAGACGAAATGTGCAAGTTTCCGCGATGAGAATTAATCGTCTCCAAGTCCTTACCAAAGTAGTCCGCGTCCTATCTAGGCTATTACAAGGCGCAGAAACCAAGCACGGACCTTATTACTGCTCTTGCGCTATCAATCAATGTAATCAGGAACATAAGGTAATTATCCCCGGTTGTCTACATCACTACACCTCGCGGCGTGCCCCTTCTCAATGCTGGGAATTTTTTTTTTTTTCACCTCATTTGAAAATTTAGTTGAAGTGATACTTCGAACAGCAGTTATAAAGTATATTTAAGATATGGTTAGGCCTTTACGACTCATGCCATCAAAAATTGTTACTCACCAAATTGTATGGCAAGTGGATGCCATAAAAACACATGGCTCATCGAAACGAGATACAGTGACTCATAACAAACAACGCACCACGAAGCTACTATTGTAAGATTGTTGGTCCACTACGCATTTTCTTGAGAGATATTGCCGATGAAAGGCTGATTGAGCCACAAGGGATATGACAACACGGCAAGATTTTATCCCAGTCTCCTGCATAGGCAGGCTATAACGGCAGCCCGATGGCCATTATAGACTCATGACACCCATGGAGCTTAATTTAAAGGTTTCCTTTATTCCTCGTGGATTTTAATCGTTTTCCAGAACTCGAGACCCAGGCCACAGCCAAGCCAGATAAAACTGTGTCAGTTCTGCTTCTGACTGTTTTCAGGACTCCAAACCATCTCCAACATATTTACTCTCACACTGTAAAAGTCTAGCCCGGTGGGCGGCAATTTAGTTTTTTAATAAGTCTGTCAATTCTGCAGAGCTTGATTCCCTACCAAGGCCAACTGCGTAGAGTTAGAGGCCAACAAATAACATTGAATATCCCACCGCTGATCCGGGAAAGCAAGTCATACCATCGTGCTATACTTTTACGGGCCATCGGAAGGAGGAGTACAATGTTAGTTTGGGACCAAACCACCATAGAGCCATTCGGCGGTCGGCCTGGCCTCCGGTACATCATGCGGAGACAGCTGGGGTATGCCAATCCACAAGACGAGCGCCCACCGGAATGCCAAGAGACGCCCACCGGATACAAATTAGTGGGTGACTATGTTCCCCTCAGAAGATTCAAGACAACTTGACCCTGCTTGAATTACACGAGGAAGACGATCATGCGAGCGGAGTCTGAGTTTATGTGGTGGCTGGTGGATATGCGATGCTAATGAATATGGCCTCCTGCCTTAAATGGATAGAATATGTTCGGTGACTTTATGTCCGAGTCCTAACCAAGATGCTGGGCTTCTTGGTTTATATAACTTTCAGCAATTCATGCAGCTAAACTTTGTCTTTTCTCGGCCGAGTTACATCTGCAGACCAATTGAATATCACCCCAAAACCATATGAAATTTCGACGTTCAGTCTGTTATAAATGAACAAGATGAAGGTCGCATCCCTCTTGGCTTGCTTCACGTTCACACAACTGGCATCAGCGGCCGCCATCGCGCCTGATCCAACGCTGAACACTGGAGATATCAGTGGCACCGTTGAGAAACGTGCCTCTGGGACTGCTACAGTGAACCTAGCCTCTCTCCAGGGGTCTCCTGGGCAGTTAGGTTCCGGTTTCATCTACGGCTTCCCAGATAATTCCGACGGGTCAGCCAGTGGGGCTATCCCAAGCAACCTTAGAAATGGTGTTGGGTTGAAGTACTGTCGTGCAGGAGGCTCCCAGGTTCCGACTCCTGGTCTCGGATATGCAAGGGGCCAACTTCAGGTGGGCTTTTTCTCAACTCTATCTGGCCCGTATGGAGCACATCTCTAACATGAACCTAAAGGGACGACTCAAATCTTTTCAGTCCAATTACAACACATGTCGCCAAGCGGGTGCTCGCTATCAGGTCATCATCGCTGCCTTATGGGGATCTGACGGAGTTCAAGGAGATATTTCCTGGCCGGGAGATAACGGCAGCTGGACTGCATTCGATGACTTTTTGACCCAAGTTATCAACTTCATCAAGTCTAACAATATGCAAAGCGGACTTGATATCGATATTTGGAACGAGCCCGACTCCACGATCTTTTGGAATCGTGCTTACAGCCAGTATCTCAGTACATGGACCCGTGCCTATAATCGGTTCAAGTAAGTTAATCACTTCTTGGGGTAATTGACCCTTGTGGCATCCATATTAATCCCAATGTCCAGGCAGGACTTGTCATCTGTTCCAATTGTTGGACCCTCCATTTCTGTGCCAGCAAGTACCAGTAATGGGTTCTGGACTGCATGGCTGGATAACGCCAAGTCTACAAACACCATTCCCGACTTTTACACTTACCACGTGCTAGGACTCGACTTTGACGTTCGTGGCTCTCAAGATACCCTCAAGTCCATGCTTAATGCTAGAGGCCTGGCATACAAGGATGTCATCGTCAACGAGTATGGCGCAATATCGGGAGGCGACCAAACCAATGCAGGGAGTGTCTGGTATCTAGCCAACTTTGAAAGGCAGAATATCAAAGGCCTGAGAGCCCATTGGGGCATGGGCTTCAGCAACCTCCATAACGGTATGGCAGGCCTTGTGAATTTCGAGGGAACCAGATATTTCCCCTCGGCACAGTGGTATGTCTACAACTATTACGCAAACTCCATGACGGGGAATAGGGTAGCCACCACAGCGTCTGGTGACGGCATGTTTGAAGTATTCGCTACTCGAGGAAGCTCCAAGGATAGCGTGAGGATCCTGACAGGCTTACGCCCGAAAGTTGGTGTTCGCACTTACGATGTCAGGGTCACAGGTCTGAGTGCACTTGGGATCTCTGGATCCGTCCAAATCAGGACGAAGCGGTTCACTCATCTGGACTGGTGGCTGGAAGGCACCGCCCCTACAGACCTGGGTGTGGTAACTCACACTGTATCCAATGACCAGGTAAGTGAAATTCACAAGGGCTAACTTTACGGGTCGAAATCCTTGAGCTGACAGTGTACTCAACAGATCACCTTCTTTGTTACCCCAGACAACGAGTTCACGGCTTACGCGTTCGAGTTTGTCGGATAAATGGTTGTCCTGTTTATGAGAGATACACACATCCACATAGGTTCAAGAACCAGTAGTAGATAGTAATATATCTCACATTTATGTGATTACACACTTAATCAAGATTATTTTTGAGGCGTCTTACTCTCACATGTCTCTAGAATCAAACCTCACAGCGCATAATTTCCTAGAAGCCATTTTTGGGCCGAAGCAGTAAGAGGCATCGGATACGATCAAAAAAGAGTAACATCATAACTGACCGATACCGCTAAAGACCAAAGAAATCCCGCAGAATAGGGAGACTCTTTGAACTTTCTATTACTGTGTGAATATAGAGAATGCATCTTTCCAAATTTCGGGGGCTGGAGATGGCATAAAAATCACTTTTTCGTTTGTAGCCTTGGGTCGAGGTAAATGTCCAATTTGTATGGCAGCACGGTATCTAATCTCAGCTACTACTCATATTAGGCTACTTTCCCTTAGATATTAATCTTATAAATCCCTTACGCTTAAGGCACTTCCTAAAGTAGGTAGTTCAAAGGAACAATTCTTTGAATATCTTTAGGACCAGGATTGTCCATCCAGAGCCTGTGCTCACTAACGCTTTGACCTCAGGTTCATCACTAGAAAGATAGTTAGGCCTTCTCATCCGCAGTCTCAATCTTTGTAGAACTTTTGCGCTCGTGGAGGTGGTGGTCATTGTCGTTGGGGTCCGCTTTGAGGCTGCTATTCGCCTCGCCGGCTGCCACAGCGTCAACTTCCCCAAAGATTGTGTCCATTCTTTCCAATGACACTCCTTTGGTTTCAGGAAGAATAAAAATAACAGAAATCTAAGTGGATACAAAATGTCAGCAAGCTGCTAAGACGATCTCTATCGGATGAGACCTACCAAAAGCACAGTATTCAATGCGAAGAGAAGCCAGTAACTTTTGCCTCCCACTTGCTCGTTGAAACGAGGCCAAGGCTGAGTAAGAGCAATGAGACAGACAGTCTGGCCTAGCAATGAAATGCCGAATGCCTTATCACGAACCTCTTGCGGGAAGATCTCGGACGCGATAGCAGGCGGAATGGGGCCGTTGGACCAGCAATAGGTCATGCCGACGATAAACAGACATACAACAGCCACGACAGATCCAGCCTTGCTTTCATTATGGGGGAACGCTGTTGTAATGGAAGATAGAACCAAGAGAGCCGCAGCTTGAATAGAGAATCCTGCAATCAACAGAGCCCTCCGGCCGAACCGATCCACGGTGAATGTGTTGATGAGGACAATGAAGAGTTGCAGAACTGCCTGAATTCCATTGATAGCAAGTGCTTGGCTTCCTTGATCCCAACCAAGTGATTTGTAAATCAGTGCAGCGTACATGGTTAGTGCAGCAATACCGCCAGCTTGCTGCAAAGCTGTAGCGTAAAGACCATAAAGAAGTCTCTTTCTCATTCCCGGAGAGGAGAAGATGGCACTGTATCCAGTCTTGAATCGTTTTCGATACTCGTGAGATGCTACAAGTTCGTGGAATTCTTGCCTAACATGCTCTGAGTCAGGCGTCCCGCTTCTCAACTTGCATAGAACCTTGATCACGCGATCGGTATCGTCTGGCCTCTTTTCGTAGAGCCATCTGGGTGACTCTGGGTACCAAAAAGAAAGACCTATGAAAGCGAGACCGATAGGGATTTGAACCACGTTGGATACGCGCCATGCGATATTGAAAGGTGACTTGTGAAATGACATGCCGTAGCCGGTCCAGAAAGCAATCAGAGTGCCTAGCTGGTAACCGAATTGAGTCACTGTACCAACAAAGCTACCGCGTAAGGTTCTTGGAGAGCATTCCGCAACTGATATTCCGTTAGAGGGAACGATGCGAAATAAAGACTACTATGGGATTCTCCTACCATATAAACTTGTTGCGATATAAACACACCCGAAGCCGAGACCGCTATTAGTCCTGTCAGGTTAAACTATACCAAAAGGTTGGGAAAACGGATGATCGACATACGTAAGAAGACGGCCGAACAGAAGGACGCCGAATGTGTTTGGCACACTTTGAGCCACTACGCCAATGCACATAACAAAGATGGATATTCGCAGAGCCCAAAGGCGGCCTACCAGATTTGCCAAAGTACCGCCAACACACAGCTGCGCCAAGCCTGTACAAATTATCAGTTAATCCAATAACTCAGCTCATCTCCATGGTTGATAAAAATTACCAGTTGTAGCCCAGGGCGCTGTGGCAACAATGCCCTGCTTGTTTGGATCCATATCATAGTATTCGACGAACTGGTCATCGGCGAAAATAACGGTCATGATCCCGGCGTCATAGCCGTTAAAGCCTGTCAGGGTGAGCCAATCTGGTCAGCTTGAAGTTGCCCATGGTCAGTGTTCATGAAGTGATTCCTCACAGGTCGATAGGACCATGCCATAAAGTAGCATTGCAGCATAACGATCATTTTCAGGGAGAAAGGTCTGTAAACTGCGTCAATACCACATCGAAGTGATTGGTGGATAATGTTGCATTTTACCTGGAGAAGACCCATTGTATCGGTTTGGCACGTCGTTGGACGCTTTTGATCTTGGAATTGATGCAAATGAACTTGCAATTCTCTCACAGAAGTCTCACTCGTCAACTGGTGTCTAGAGTGATAATAATATACATCTCCACCATCCTCTGTGGGCTGCTTTGGCAAGGTTCTCGACCATGAGCCCAGCTCAAATGCATATTCCGGTGGGAGGGCCAATAAGGAGTCAAGTCGAAAGTGGGAGCAGCTGCGGCACAACTCCGCCCCCGTGGGGAATCACATGAATTAGCTGCAAGGGCCCTGCCATTACCCCATTCTCACTCATGATCTAGCGCGTGGCTGTTGAGCTGAAAGCCGGCCCTATGAAGAGAACAGAATCAGGGCATGCAATCTTCGTCTCAAGACCTGTACCAACTCGTTCTTTGAGGGTCTACACTGTCACTCTTCCTCCACTACCTAAAGTATATCGAAAGCGTGTTAGATGAATCGTGTGAGAGGTGGTCTGAACCAGCTTTCGTGTTTTTCTGAAAATGGAAACATGGGCTCCTCTTTTTGCGCCAGTTCTAGCTACCGGCGACAATCCATAGCTGCAATTAGCCGCAGGTCTTGGGTTGGTGGTCACGTTTCTCCCCATGATTGGGAGGGGTGTTCCATTTCGACGGGCCCTTGAATGAGCTAAGCAATTTGGACATCTTCCTTCCATTCAAGTCGGTCAATTCATCATCCGTGCCCTCGAATGCCTGATCATTGAGCGTGCTCTCTCGTGATGGCACATTTGGCCTCCCGCCAGTCGCAATTGGCAGACCGTAACAGCTTTCGGTTCCGGTGCGAGTCATGCTTCAAACAGTTCAAGCGAATTGAGCACCTGCGAAGGCATGAGAGGTCCCATTTGATTGGCAAGACATACGAATGTACGGTATGTGGGAAATGTTTCGCACGAAGGTAATTCTCTCAGGCTGGATGCCACACGTCCCAATTCTCTCCAAGCAGGCCATTACTAAATTTAAGAACTGGAAGCGATGTACTTTCGCGCCACGAATTCATTCACAAAGCGCCTTCTCGTGCTTCAATAGGGGCGCATCTAGACGCTTCCCATCAGTCGAGACAGCCTAGAGCCTGTGTGCCCTGCGCCCAAGCCCGGGATCGCTGTACACGAGACCTCCCATGCGAGAGATGCAGTCTAAGGTCAATCCGCTGCGTCTACATAGATTCAGGTGCTGCGAAAACAGGGAAGTCGAGCGCCAAAAGCAGCAAAGATGAGGACAGGGCGCAGGAGTTGCCAGAACCTGGAACTCTTCATAATCCGAATCAAGCTCAGGAAGCTACGAACGCTGCTTGTGCTCCTGCCAGTTTGTTGATCGAACATGACCATTTTAGCTATGGGCAGAGTTCGCTCTCAGATGTTGGCGGCATGGACACCGTAACTCCGGCGGGTATGAATGCCCCTGACAATCGTCCGAATCATTCTGAACTGTCAGCATCAGCGGATACAAGAGTCACGACATTCGTGGATCCTGATTTTACATTGATGTCTTCTCGCGGGGCTCAATTTCAACCAAACCCTGGTCTTGGCTTGAATTGGTTGCCAGTTAGTGACGAGACAAACATCCAGTTTAGCTCAATTCTAGATTTGAATCTTCTCCCGGACATGACAACATCGGGACCCATGACGGCCGGCCTCGATTTCCCAACTGCGAGCTTTCTGGAGGAGGGGGACCCTTCGAGAGGCGATCAAGTTGGAGCTATGCAGCCTTCAACAACCTGGTCACCCGGGACTACTTCATCGGGCTCGAGAAAGTCCCTTGGCCGCCGCAAGTCCGACGCTACTCCGCCGGGGAGGCTTTATGCAACCAGCAGCAGTGCAAGGGCCCCAACCTTTCTACGAGATAAGGCACTTGTGCCCGTGATCTTGTCTTCCCATCCCCAGTTATCTATCTCAAGAATGAAACCATACCTCCTAAATCGATCTGAGGATACTTCAGTGCAGCAGTTTAGCCCCTCCGACCTGCATAATCTAGTGTCCTCAGGTAGCCTTGACAAGGAAACACCAGAGCTAATATTACCCGCCACATATGAGATCCTCGTACAAGAGTTCCGGAATTTATGTATCAACCATGGCGAGAAGGACCACCAAGCCTTAAAAGAGGAGCATTTCCCTTCCATCTTGCAGGTTGACATGTTACTCCATCTCTTTCACGATCGATTCATACCAGCACTGCCCATTTCACACCACATCACACGCAATGTTAATGAGTTTTGGCTTTTGACCCTGGCTATGGCCGCCATTGGTTGCCAGTACACTCGGACGCAAGAGTTCGAATCTATGGTAGCTCCTCTTCACGAATTCCTCCGTAGAGGACTGCAACGAGAGATGGATTTATCCTACGATAATCCCGAAGCTCAAATTTACTACCTCAAAGCTTTGTTCTTAAGTCAAATTTCCTGCTTTTACTACGGCGACATGGCCATGCGAAGGCAGGCTCTAATCCACCGTGGCCTGTTGGTCCAACTCGCCGAGAGCTTGGGACTGTTTGCTGCAGAAACAAGACAGGTCCATGATGGAAGTGATGCGGCAGATAACGCACACACTCAATGGCAGCAGTGGATTCGGTTAGAAACAAAACGGCGCCTCGGTTATTCTATTTGGGTCGGTGTTCAGCACCCAGTTCGTTTCATATATACCTGCTAACTGGAGCAGATGCTTGATCTGATGGTCTTCTACCATTTTGATATCCCACCGCTAATGCCTCATCGAGTTCCAGAATCTGACCTGCCGCATGACGGCTTATGGACGGCTCCTAATGAGCATGAATGGTTGGAGCTATTTGAGCGAACCAGGCGTAAGAGTGCAATCCCTCACAATGCTAACCCATGATTCTAGCTGACTTCATTCTAGGGAATCCTCCTCTGCCTCACGCAATTAAGAGTATATTCCTACGGAAGAAGGTCAAGCCAGACTTAGGCGAGTTCGGGCGAATACTGCTGCTTCATGGGGTTTATCATGAGATCTACCAGGTCAAAGCCTATTTCCAACGGCCACTTTCAAATTGGATTCCCACTGCGCAGCATGAGCCAAGTGTCTCAAATCTTGCAAGTAGTCCTAGCAGCTCTTCTGAGCTGTCTGGTTCGCACCAGTGGCTTAGCGAGACGGCCACGTTTTCTGCTTGGAGAAGTGCTGCCCTGGATTGTGTTGACGAGCTGCATTGGTGGGCCAACGGAGTGATAGCAATACAGTCCGGAACGGAGCATCCGACGGTTCATCACCTGCACTTCTCGCGCGTGGTGCTCTTAGTTCCCGTAAAAGAAATTCTGGTCTTACTGTTGTCTATCACAAAGGACGCTGGGGATGTATCTCAACAAACTACTCCCGCCAATGTTTATATGGCGGAACAGGAGGTCATTCGGTGGGCACACCGTGACGAGGTAAGCGAGCTCTCATTATGTGTATCTAAAAACGGCACGTGTGCTAATAGGGCCGTCTGAACATAGTCCAAGGCTCGACTGGCAGCTATACACTGTGGATGCGTCTTCTGGCATTTGCGTCGGTTTTCCAATATGGCATTTTATGAACCACAATCAGTATTCCATGCGACGTTAGCACTCTGGGCGTACAGCTATTACATATCACAAACAACCATGCCCAGACCGGAGGAGCCCGGCCAAATGAGTGAAGATGAAGAGGACGGTCAGGGTGCCAGTGCTGCCTCACTAGAAGAGGAGGACAACGGCCTCGATGTTGATGGAATCGAGAACCCGGGATTTATATGGCTAGACCGCCCGAACGACGACGAGATGGTGCAATATTTTGTCCGGTCTGGACGACCGGTCAATATGAAGGCTTATATTTCCGGCGTGGGAGACATCTATGAAGCAAAAAGTCCCGCCAAGATATTGAGACACGGCCTACGCGTTCTGGAATCTGTGGCATTTGCTTGGGGCCGTGATCGTGATTATGTCGACATCCTCCAGAAGGCAGAGCGTGTTATGCTAGGGAGGGGTGCTTGAGGGTCGTTACTGAAATATATCGAGTGTAGCAGCAATAAATAATCTCTCTTAATAACAAAAGGAATCTCCAATATGTAATTTCCGCCATATTCCTCGAGAAGTGATACCCTTGAGCGTGCTTCGATGGCCACTAACCCGGTGGGAAGCTGCGCTCCGGAGTGGATGATATGCCGTCTCGCCACCGCTGGAGATAATAATCCGAGTCTAGGATCACATCGAGTTCTGAGACCGTTCCACCAATCTACTGACACGGGGATTGTCGGGTTACGAGGTGGGATCTCCCTTTGTGTGGACTTCCGGTGGGAGAACCAATCATCGTCTTGGGATGGACGACGCATCCCTGGTGTCGCTTAACAATACTCCCACCAAACGAATGTCAAAAGGCCAGCACCTGGTCCATTTTGTTGAGCTCGCAACTATTGGTACCGAGGACTCCATGACTCGGGATATGTTCGAAGCGACACAGACCAAAACCAGAACCAGAACACAAATTAACCGCGACCAATCCTTCACACCTACATTCATACACTCCCTACGATCCCTGCAATAATAGTAACTGGACAATCAAAGACTAATCGCCAGAGGCTGACCAAGCATACATCAATACGCTCAATATGTCACACCCGCAGGTTACTTTCAAGGACACGACCTTTACCGGAAAGACTCTCCTGTCTGCCCGTAGAGCGACAGTGTCGAGCAAGACGCTCCAAACACAACTTGACCAGCTAAAGTCCACCGGACGGTACGACTGCTTCAAACTCAAATGGCATCCTATTTATGATGACAAGTCTATGTGGCCGGTGCCATTTCATCTTTTCTGGGACAGCGACGTGGCCAAATGGATTGAAGGAGCGTGCTATTTTCTCTCGGAAAGATATGACGCTAGTCTTGATGCCGCTGTTCAAGAGCTTGTGGAAATGATCAGGGGTGCTCAGCAAGATGATGGATATCTGAATGTCCATTATACTGTTGTTGAGCCTACCAAGAGGTGGTCCAACTTGCGTGACATGCACGAGCTGTGAGTTCAATCGACTACCTCGAAGAAAATTTAAGCGCGCCATTTATAACAGCCTGTTTCTCAGATACAACGCGGGTCATCTTATCGAAGCAGCCGTAGCTCACTACCTCTACTACAAGAATGACCAGCTCAAAGCACCAGTAGAGAAATATATCTCACTCATCCGGAAGCGTTTTGGAACTGCAGATGGTCAGGTGAGGGGCTATCCCGGCCATCCAGAGATCGAGCTTGCCCTCCTCCGGTATGCGGCCGTTACCGGGAGTTCTGAGGCATATGAACTAGCCCATTACTTTCTGACAGAGCGCGGAAACCCCGAGGGACAAGATGGCAAACATTATTATGATTGGGAGACGGAGCAGCGAGGTGAAAGCCGCTGGATGAGACCAGATGCCTTTCCCACAAATCGGACTTATTGGAACTGCCAGGCTCATCTTCCCATAACAGAGCAGACCACCGTGGAAGGACATAGTGTCAGAGCCATGTACCTCCTCACGGCCGTCGCAGATCTGGTCTGCCTCTCGGACTCAGGTGATAAACCACTAGGCGAAGGAGCTCGCAAAAGTTGGATAAAAGCCTTGGACCAGCTCTGGAACAACATGGTAGATAAGAGAATGTACGTCACTGGAGGAATCGGCGCAATCAAACAATGGGAAGGGTTTGGGATCGACTATTTTCTCCCTCAAGGAACAGATGAGGGAGGATGCTATGCCGAAACCTGTGCATCCATCGCTGTCATGATGCTCGCGGAGCGACTGCTACACATCGATCTTGATGGGCACTATGGCGACATTCTGGAGCTTTGCCTATACAACAACGTCATGACTTCGATGAGCACCGATGGTACCAAGTTTACCTACGTGAACCAACTAGCCAGCTCGGGCAAAGACAAAAGCGAGAGGAGCGACTGGTTCTGGTGCGCTTGCTGTCCACCTAACCTGACGAGACTGTACGGAAGCATCGGGGGCTATCTGTGGGATTATGGCTCACGTGACGGAGGTGCCTATGTTAATGTCCATCTCTACTCGAGCGCACAGGTTAGCTTCTCAGTTGGGGATGAGACTTTGGTCACTCTTCATCAGGAGTCGAATTGGCCATGGGAAGGGAAGATCCGGTTCAAGCTCTCCTCTGCTAAACCAGTGGACACGACCCTTCGGTTGAGAGTGCCTGCTTGGGCTCAAGGGAGTTACGAAATCTCTCCCGCAGCCCCAGAGCAGACGGGGTTGAAGATCGAGAAAGGGTACTTGATTCTTCCGCCTGCTTATACATCCAATAACCCCGAATTCTCTCTCGAGATCAAGAATTTTGCTCCTCGCTACCTCTCCCCACATCCCTACAGCATGCAACACGTCTTGGCACTAGCTCGTGGGCCTATTGTGTACTGCGTCGAGGATGTAGACAATGACTGGGAGACAAACCACTTCAAGGATGTAACGATTACCACGGATTCACGTATTACCGAGGAAAGGAAAGAAGGCGTGGAAACAGGAGAGTCGTATATCGCGCTACATAGCAATGGGTGGACTAGATCAGTACCTAATAGCGGAGGAGGGACTCGCCCTTCAGTCAACAGGGACTTGACATTTGTCCCATACTACTTTAGAAGTAATCGCGGGGGCCGGGGTCAAATGCGTGTGGGTTTGGTTAATGGGGGCACTGTTATTGGTACCGTCTTCCCCGAGCGAGGTTATACGGGCTGAGCTCATACGAGTCAGTCAACTCTCATCGATGTATCCTAGTAGACGCAGGCTTGATTTGAAATTGTCTGATCATCAAGTGTGGAGAAAATAGTCGGCTATTCAAGGCAGAAGCTGTTCCCTTGTCACAATGGACCCCTTGTCACACTGTTAGTTCACGCGTCGTAGGTGGGTGGCATTGATCACGAGGACCAGTGGCCTTCATGATTGGGCACTAACAAGCCACCGCCTCTCTGTTGTAAAACGAATCCATTGAAACCTGACTTCCCCAGAAGTTCCTCCACAAGCTTCTCCAGAACAACTTCTCCAGAATGCCCTGGAAACTCAGCTGCTCATGTCGAGTGCGGATCTCCATCACCCCGTCTTGACAGTGGATCCGAATATGAGGCGATCTGGTCACCAGTTGGGAGAACCTAGTTCCAAAATGACAAGGCCGTTTGAAATGAGTTAGAGAAGGCCACTATGCAGGCCACAGTCTTTGCCTGCCATTAGATATCAGCCGTAGTAGTTTCAACAAGGGCGTTGCAAATTGTGGCATGTGAGACCTTGATAAATCTGTAGTCTGCGTGTAGATAGCTTCCCATGTTCTTCAGAGGCTACATTCCAGGGAAATATCCTTGATGTGTGTGAGTCTTATCCCTCGTAGAAAATTCGAGGTGCTCCCGGTAGATTCGGGTTGGCTCCCTCAGTCTTACCTCCACCTTTGAAGAGTGAGTCTCTGTTTCTTGATATCGAAGACTCAATAATGAAACGGGCGGGCTTAGAGAAACTTCTACATTTAGATTTATGTGGTTTACTTTCTCATTTTGAAATAGTTCATCTAATTACTAATTACTGCTTCTGACGCAATGTTTTGTATCTCTTACTCCAGCAACACCGGAGGACCCAAAGTTCTCGCTAATAGGCCACGAAAGCTCGGGGTTCCGGGCTCGTGGCAACCAAATTATCGTCTACAACTCAAAAAGGAAATGCCTGTGACAAATTGAAACTCCCTCCATCGTCTATGAAGCCTGGGGTGCGGGGAGCCTGGAGATGGAGATGCCTGCGCAGGGCTACAGAGCACGTCGACAATCGAATCCGCGTGGACCTTGCGGGGGAGGGTCTACAGGCTACGCATATTATGACACATTTCCTGGATAGGCAGAGTGGGTTTATTGTCGTTTACTTGCTCACTTCGGAATAGTGTGATGAATAGGGGCCAACTCTTGGTGCAAGAGAGTCCGACGACGTCTACAACCACCATAGCATTTCAAAGCTCACATCATACCACCCGAATCATGATACTCTGTTTGCTGGGATTACAGTCCAGCGCTGCGTTGCCTGCTGGATACGTCGGCAAGAGTCATCTGCTGGAGCGAAACTATTACGTACAAGTTGTGGGTCGACGAGGTTTGCAAATACACACTCCGTTTTCGCCCCAGAACTCGGACAGGCCTGGTGTTCTTCATGGCATGGGACATCTTGTCGGCTATCAATCTGGTTGGCAATTTTTACGTATTGTGAACTACGAGTCCTTGTTTTCCATTAGTCAAAGAAGATAAGCATAACACGCTGCCCCAGACGGGGCATATCTTGAAGTCGGGGTAGTAGTCATGCTATTGACTGAAACCGTGGTGCTAGACAATTAAACCAAGTGTAGATACGTTTATCAAATGCGATTGGGTATACAGGCTATCGTCTACCATTGTTTCAGTTCCCGATATTCCGGGAAAGCCTCTGTTACTGGGTACAGTACTAAGTGAATGAATTCTGCTTCGTATATGTCCAGCATCAAATACTGTAGAATAAACACGTTACAATCATACATTACATTACTCTCGGCAAGTGGTTGTATATTGGGTAGGATAAATGGACAATTCTGTACATTGTTGCAACTGAAAGTCACAATAAACTGTAGCATCACTGGTATCAAAAGGATTGTCACAAAATGGACAGTTTAGGCTTGATAATGACGGATTAAATTGACAAGACCAATCATGGTTGGCATAATCATGCTAATATCGGCCGATCCGCCCGACGATCCCGTTGTCTAATGATTTTCACTTGGCTCAAACACCTGCCGTGCTTCTCTCGGCATCAGGCAGAGACGGGCCGTGAGATTGGAGGTGAGACAGCCGGAAATGGCGTGGCATTTGTAAATTTTTTTTCCGGGGCGAGCTTATCTGGATGAAAACGCTCAGAAATCGGAATAATCAGAATGTCTAATCGATTCACCAGGAGCCAATGCAGCGATGGCAAAATCATCCATTCGCCCCCCGTCCGTGCCCTCCCTGTGGACTCATTATGGAGCGCGTGATAGCTCGATCTGTGGGTAATGTGGTGATGGCGCGGGTTTTCGGCGAGGCTGCTCGTTGCTCGACGCACCTCTGGACAGCGCGTAAAGGCCTGACTCGGCGCTGCCAGGAACCACACACCTCTACTCCCTCTGGGCGATCCAGTATTTGCCTTGTTAGCCTCTGCCGAGCGGGTTTGGACGGCTGAAAGTGGATGCTTCTGCTCGGCCCTGGTGGAGATGACGGTGAAAAATGAAAATGCCTCTAGTCGCCGCGCAGTTGCAAATACGATTCATCCATTGCTGGGATGGACCATGACCGCGTTATTTCCCCACGGAGCCATTTACGTAAAACTCCCTGGGAACCGGTCCTGGATCATGAAGGGGGCAGGCTAAGGGCATTCATGTTATTAATACTGCCATGGTGCCCACAGCCTGAGTCGAGCCGGATGGGGAAATCCAGGTCCATCCAAGCTTGAAAATTGTTTTGCTTTAGACCGTGTGTGCCGTCCCGACAAGTAAAACCAGCTTTGTTCGCTCCTTGTCTGCTGCCGCCGTGGGTATTGTGTTTTCCCTGAAATCGACAACCTCGCCGTCGCCATGAATCCAGATCTGCCGATATCTTCGGCCGATGCGAGCGAGAAGCAGGCCGTCCCCAAAACCCACGACGAGGAGAAGGCCAAGCCGCCTTCCATTGGGGCCCAGAGCGATGGAGCCGGCTACGCGTTCGAGCAGGAGAGCTTCATGACCCGGACGGGCCTCAACGCCGAGTCCTTCACCAAGAAGCACTACGGCTATGGCCTCGTCGAGCTGGACCGCAAGATGTCGCCAAGGCATCTCAACATGATTGCCATTGGCGGTTCCATTGGTGCAGGATTTTACGTCGGATCTGGCAGTGCGCTCAGCAAGGGTGTATGTTATGTGTCACTATGAGACCATGTCGCAGACTTCTTTCGCTGACACGAACCAGGGCCCCGGCTCCCTCTTTGTCGACTTCCTGATCATCAGTATCATGGTGTTCAACGTCGGTACGTGATATGGAAAATGCCATACTGTGAACCTTTGTCACTGCATCCAGAATGGCAGACTAACAACATACGTCGGCAGTCTACGCCCTTGGCGAGCTTGCCGTCATGTACCCCGTTTCCGGCGGTTTCTACGCCTACTCATCCCGTTTCGTCGACCCTTCATTTGGTTTTGCCATGGCCTGGAACTATGCTTTCCAGTGGGCTGTCACCCTGCCCCTGGAATTGACTGTGTGCGGTGAGAAGACGTCATGTTTGCTCTGGATTATCTCGTCAGTTTCTAATTAGGTACACTCAGCCGTCACGATCTCGTACTGGGATGAAAACACCTCCCCTGGCGTGTGGATCACGGTCTTCCTCGTCGCCATCGTAATTCTCAACATTTTCGGCAGCATTGGCTATGCTGAAGAGGAATTCTGGGCTGCCTCATTCAAGCTCGCGTCGACCTCAATCTTCATCATCGTCGCGCTCGTCCTCGTCTGCGGCGGTGGTCCTTCCAACGGCCGGTACAGCGAATACTGGGGTACCCGAAACTGGAGCGGTCCTGATGTTTTCAAGAATGGCTTCAAGGGTTTCTGTTCCGTCTTCGTCACCGCGGCTTTCTCATTTGCCGGTACGGAGCTCGTCGGTCTCGCGGCCGCCGAATCGCGGAACCCAGCAAAGTCGGTACCCGGCGCGATCAAGCAGGTTTTCTGGCGAATCTCCCTCTTCTACATCATCGGTCTCTTTTTCATCGGGCTCTTGATTGATCCCAACGACGACGCGTTGCTTTCTTCCAGCTCCAACAGCTCCAAGGCGTCGCCTTTCGTTCTCGTCGCCAAGTATGCCGGACTCAATGGCTTTGATCACTACATGAACGTGGTGATTCTGTCATCGGTTCTCTCCATCGGCATTGCCTCCGTCTACGGCGGTTCAAGAACCGTCACCGCAGTGAGCCAACAGGGATACGGCCTCAAGATCTTCACGTACATTGATCGCGCTGGACGACCGCTCCCATCAGTCGGTCTCATCATTGCCTTCGGCTTCCTGGCCTACCTCAACCTGACGGCAAGCGGTGATGTCATTTTCGAGTGGCTTCAGGCCCTCTCCGGTCTGGCTACACTGTTCTCGTGGGGCTCCATCTGTCTTGCTCATATTCGATTCCGCGCCGCTTGGAAACATCACGGCCACACGGTGGATGAGATCCCCTTCAAGGCTATTGGAGGAGTCTGGGGATCTTGGATAGGATTGTTCTTCATCATTCTCATTTTGATTGCTCAGGTATGTTTTATGGTTGCTTCCCATGTATACAGAATCTTGCTAACCCGATGTCAAACAGTTCTACACTGCCGTCGCTGCGCCTCCAGGAGAGTCTGGAGTTGGTACAGCCGAGGACTTTTTCAAGTCCTACCTTGGCTTCCCCATCATGCTGGCGCTGTGGGCTATCGGTTATATGTGGAAGAGGGAAGGCTGGCTGAAGTTGGACGACATTGACATCGACACTGGACGTCGTGAGCATGACTGGGAAGCGATCCGCGAAGAAAAGGCATTGATTGCCTCTTATCCCGCCTGGAAGCGTCTCATCTACTTTCTCTTCTAAGTGTATATATACTGTTCTCCACTCGGTTACATCTATTCTCAGTTCTTTTTGCCTTGCATATTATCAAATTCATAAGCGTCTGGAATACAGCATTACAATACATATTTAGAGCAGTGTTATTTCAAAGTGTCATTAGTGATAGCCATGAAATCCTGTAGCTTTTTTTGTTCTTCATTACATACGTCTCGCGGCTCCCCTTCTTTTCTCTTGCCCGGGCCCAAGTGGCTCTTAAGAGATATAGATATGTCTTTCAATCTATGCTCTGTTAATTCTCTGAAGGAACGAAAGTATATCATTATTAGAATTATGTAGATTATTTAAATTTACTATCTATTCTATGCTAAACTATCTAATTCCCTTATATCCACAGTTCCAAAATCCCATCAAGTAAGTTCTTCTTGACCTTGATTGTATATTGGCTTATCGATCCCTAGAACGTGTCCCTGATACAGATGATGCCGTAGAAGCATCACCTATCAACACTTCAGGTTCCAAAAACCTGGGCTTGGTATCCTCTTCCGAAAACTGGACCCTAACAATGAAATACATGCCCATTCCCTTATGGCTACCCCATATGCCGTCAATATTCATAGCACCCAACAGTTTCTCTCTAGCGGTGCGTTTATCTTCTGAGCGCTCCGGGGCATCCAAGAACAAATCCGGCTCGCATTCTTCAAAAAGAAAACGCAAACACTCAACCCTTGTCATCATGTCCTCGACACGGGAAGAAACACAGAGCAAGTCAAGCAGATGATGTATGAGTTCATGCGCCTTTTCACGGATCAGAGATTTCGCGTCATCACAAGTTCGGATGATGGCTTCGAGTGCTCTGGCATTGCCAAGTCCAAAGGCCTGGTAAATGTATTCGTAGGGCCGGATCTGTGGATGATCGCGGAATGGCTGTCGCTCCAGCATGAGTTGCGTAAGCTTCGGGCTCTCGTTCAAGTTTTGGATGGCAAGGCCGAGATGAGTCGCCGGCGCGCCTGGAGAGAGAACCCCAACAGAAGGTGAGCGGCTCAGTCGTTCGTAGATCGAGACACCCGCATCTAGAAGGCATCCCACGTGGCTTAATTTTGCTTTCAATGGCTGCTTGCAGTGCCTTAATACGTAGGTGAGTGGTGTAGCGGAATCCCATTTGGTATTCGGGTTTGCCCCGTGCGCCAGCAACGTTTTGACAACAGCACTTGTATCTTCCTGGCTCATTATGGCGCTGACAAGATTCGACATACCGAATGTGGTGTTGGGATTCGCCCCCATTTCCAGTAGCCTCACTACGAGGTCGTTTGGTATTGGCCTTTGATGAAGCAAAGTGGTTAATGCCAGCGGCATGTCTCGAACGATGGCGCGATTTGTGTCCAAGTCAAGAACACGTCTGTAGCGATGGGCACCCTCGCCAGAGGGAATGGCACTCCAAAAGCCTACAATATCATCATCGCCAATCTCCTCAGGCTTGCATCGCGACAGCAGTTTCTCGAAGGTTTCCATATCCCCCATTCGTAATGATTCCTCGAGAGGGGTGACGAACGAGCGTTGTCCGGAAGACGTGCCACGAGAGATACGCGCACCGTGATCTAGTAGCAGTTCCAATACCTGCTTCTTCTCTGGAGAGTTATTATAACGGCCTGAAAGTGCCCAGGTGGGAGCCACGGCTGTATCCCCGATCCTATTCACCGAGGCTCCCGATTCTATGAGTAAAGACACAGTCTCCAGCATTGGCTTACGCCATTGGTTTTGGCACGCCTTTGCCAGCGGCGAGAACATATCCCCAGGATTGCCGTTGATATGCGCGCCAGCACGAAGCAAACATCGAATGGCAAAAATATTGCATGCGCCAGCAGCGTAACCAAGTGCCGTGTATCCGGAATGGCTCTCATTAGGATTCAACCCTCGCTTGAGGAATTCTTCGAGCAAAATCTCCCCACTGCGGACCAGATCATCCGGTGAATCTTTACTGGGGTTGTTGACCAACATGACATCCCATGGCTTCTTACACAGTAAATGAATAAGAGGAGGGGCTGTCAGTTCATCAGCAGGTTTCACCAAATCAACTCCAGCTTCAACCAGACGCAAGGCATCCTTGAACCTGAAGCTGGAAATGGCATCGTAAAGCATCGTCTCATTCATCCAGTCATCTCGATCTTCAGCGAGATTGAACGAGACTACTCTATTCTTGTTGGCGCCATTCTGAAGCAAGATATCAAAGCAACTCCAGTTCTGATGCAGGTATGCATACACAAGCGGAGTCTGCCCAAGACGATCGACGGATTCAACACCACCCGAAGTATGGCCCTTGCTCAAGAGCCAGTGTAGCATGTCTCCATTGCCAGACTTGGATGCAATGTGGAGGGCTGTCAAAAGTGTTGGAGCCCAGTCAATACTCTGCTGGGGAGTTTCCATGTCAACGGAGGCTCCATTGGAGATCAAGAGGTTCGCCGCAGGGACTTGTCCCGCGCAAACGGCAACATGGTACGGAGTCCAGAGGGTAGGTCGATGATCGCCTGAGTGTCGGGGTCTTTGCCCAACAGTCCGCGGTCGCATTCCGCAATCGCATAGTCCCAAACTACCCGTGCTCATCTTGGCATTGCGCTGGAGCAGCAGCTCAACAATCTCAGTCTGACCCTTCATGGCTGCGAGATGCAACGCCGACCAGTGCCATTTCGGTTCACCTGGCTTGGCAGCGCCGCGACGATCTACCGCATTTAAGTAATCCTTGAGGTTGGCACCCTCGGGGTTGGAGAAGACGGATTTGAGCTTGTTGGCACGAAGGAGGGAATGCCACGTCAAGTTCACGCTGATGCCAGCATCGAGAGCCGCTTCAACTGTGCGCGGGAATCCGTTGAGCACTCCCCAGAACAACGCCCGCTCGCTTCGCAGCGAGGACAATGCGCGAGCGTACAGGACCGGGACGATTGCGTTGTGCAGCGGGCTCGAGGTCCTCGCCAGAACAGCCAAGTCGGCGAAATCGGTGACGTGTGCTGCAGTGGCCAGCCAAAGCTCGACGGGGAGTGCAGGATGGCCGAGTGTCGAGGCCGCCATGGTGATGAAATGGCTAACGCGCACACACCGCTACCCAGGAGGATTTGGCTGGTATTCAAGTGATGAAGTTTGCAGAATTCTCGATGAAAACATGTATGAATGCCCGTCGAATTTCTACGGTCGAGTTATTTTGGCTGGTATATTTATGGGCAGCTGTTTGAATGATGACTAACTGAGTTTAGCAGCCCAACCGCCTGTTTTTGGCCGTCCTCGTCTCACTACTGGTCAAGCCTAACTGCTGCCTGTTCTGCCTAACCAGTAAGACAGGGATCACCATCCAGACAACCACCTCAGATATTCCCACTTCTATCTATTCGACTTGCCTTCGTTATTTACTCCTATATCTATTTTCGTTCAGACTTGAATTATACTAGGCTCACTGCCAACCGCCTACTCTCGCGATGGAAAACAGAACTACACAACCGCTGAAAATATCGGGAAATGCTTCATACACCAACAAATGATCCTAAATCCAAATTCAAATTAGTCTAATATTTTATGTGCCTGAATCTTCTACCAACTACTAGTTCCGGTGTACCAAATGGGTTTTCAAAGGAATGCTCTGATATTTGCATGGGAAATTCGCTGTGCTCATAGATTCCTTATTACCAACAGGCCCTAACAAAGTATAAGAAAGATCATAATACTGTACATTTTGTATCCCGAATACGCTACAAAAACAAAGCTATAAAACGGTATGCGTATTTCCGTCGCTTCGAAAATTGATCCTTGAAGACAGAGATCATCATTAGTGAGGTCTCACTCTTTCTCCTCTTTGAACTGACTGTTCAACGGCGATTAGACAGGAGAAGACGTCGAAGTTTGATATTAGCCACATGCATGATTGCAGCTGATTGTTGAACTTGAAGGGGTCCTTTGGGAATAACTGTGTATAGATTCGATTCCAAGCTCTCATCGGGATGGAACTTGTCGTGATAGGAGACCTTACCGCCCACATTCACCGTCTCTAGAACGCGGCGGTAGCCCCAGCGTGTCAAAGAAGCCTTCAATGTCTGCTGTCCTGATATGTCGCATATTTCAGGAAAGGGCTCGTAACCGAAGCTAAGATACGCGATTCCAGTGCCTCGGAGTAGAATCATGGATAGAAGGACGAGAAGGTCGGTAACGCCAGATGGAGCGGTAGAGGAGGCTATGCAAGGGTCAAGATGGAAACCGCAGTTGGCACCGAGGCTTCGAAGCACTGCTAGGCCAACCATAGAACCTTCTCGATCTCGAAGATACAGGTAGAAGGTTATATCAGGATCCGAGAATAGGTCATATACCGTGACGAATGCCTGGGTACCGCCCTCATTCTTCGAGTTGCGCTCCATCCGCCATTGATCGTATAAATTCTGAATTTCAGTCTCCAGCGCGGAGTCCCGACCGGACCTTCCAGGAGCATAAATATCAGCGACGAGTCCGATGCGCTTAGGATCCAATAGTCTTCGACTCTGGGTTATCATGCGCTTTCCTGAAAGTTGACGAAGAACCTTGTTCGTCAAAGGGTTCAAGACACGTTCACGTCCAAAATGCATGGTCGTCCATCCCTTGTCTGCGGCGTATTCGGCGAATTGCTGTCCAGTTCCCATGAATGCCACTTTGAGTTGTTTCTTGCGTTGGAATTCCTTCAACAACTCGTCAAACTGGCTGGCGGGACAGAGGGGATCACCGGTGATGACAGCCGTACGGTTCTTCACTTTGTAAATAAGTGCTCCGCGCCCGTATTCGCTCGTAAAGACGTCATAACTAGGATCGAGTATGCCCATATGAGCAGTCCTGCTGTACATATTGTAGGCATCATAAAATGCAGGCTCATGGCTGCGTCCGTGCTGGGCGCTCGAACAGGATGAATGCTCTTGCGAGAAATCGACAGATTCATCTCTCCATGAAGCTTGAGGCGGCAATGCGCTATACTTGGAATTCCAAGATTTCTCAAAAAGTTCATTGAGGTTGGAGTAAGACCCAGCAAATGAGGTGACCTGGGCGATGAGATTGGTCGTGATATTATCCGACATTGCTGTGTTGGTAGATACAGACATGGAAGCCGACGAAGTTCTGGGAGCCATTTCTCCCGCATCCAACGTCCCTTCGATATCCGAGTGTTGCAGCTCCATATCGTTGGATCCAGATGATGTACTGACTGAGGCCATCGTCAGATGAGTTTCTCTACACAAAGGAACAAGCGACTGCACAACGGAGCGCTAGAATAAGATTGTAAATGGTGAGGTATTGAGAAGAAGTGTCTCCATGATATAAGACCATTTATCTGAGGAGGTGACAAAGTTGTAGCACGCGACTCCGGGGAGTGGCTTGCATACATTGCCGTATTTCCCGTTGCCCAACTACAACACCCACCTATTCCAAAGTGACTGGCTGCATCGGACAAGTTTTTGGTGTGGATGGCTTATGGTCTAGAACCTTGGGTACGCCGAAGATCGACAATTGGTCACTCACTGTTCCACAAGCTCTCTGTCCGTGCCGCGGACTCCGTTAGTACGCCGTTTTCCCATGCCACAATCAAGGCCCGCGACCGTGGCTGATACCAGGCCTCGACAAGGAATCGAGATTTGATTCTAAAGGGCTTCTACTTTGACACTACTCTAACACGACATGGCCTTCTGTGGCGTAGTGTCCCACGAGGTAGTCTGGGGGCCTCGAGAACAGTACATCAATATCAGCGAGTGGCGCCCAACTTCCCAGTGCTGACTCCACTGAAATACATTCCAGTCTTCTGTGAGAACTTACATTTAGGGCAGAATCTGATGCTGTAGCAGCCCTGGACACCGGAGCTGATAGTGCGAGCGAGGCTACTAGACATATTTTAAGACTCTAGAATACTAAAAACGATTTTCCCTTACCCTCCCCCAAGTCTAGATCCGCGCTTGGCTTTGCGATGGTTCCGTCACTCATGTTAGCTTCCGGTCTGGACAGTCAGATCTTACTACGAATCGTTCCCAGCTGCGGCTGAGCAAAGCATAAAAAGCCACAACATCGCTGTCCCCTTTAGGAGGGTCTCATATTCCATTGAGATGCTGTTCGTGATTTGACAGTTACTCAGTATCGCCCGAAAGACAGGTTTACGTTCAGGTCCGGCGATATATGACTTCATCATTCCACAATCAGGGGCGAACAACCACTTCTAATGACAAAGCCTCGATCAATTAAATTGCGAACATATATTTACCGGCATGAAACCAACGCGATTGACGAAATCACGGCAATCACCCCTCCGCATTCATTACGATTTGTACGCGGTACCTGATGCTGACTCGACACCACGTCACTGACCCCATTTATAGGGCTCGGCTGTTAATATCAAACGACAATCAGTGATTGGCTCAAGCGTATCTGCCGCCGAGGTTAAGTACTTTCCCAGCAAAAATACATTTATAAATTCCGCATGTCTCCTCCAACAGGGTTCCAGGCCTGGATCGCCATTTAAACGATGCGTCATGTGAAAGTGAGTACCAGTTGATTAGATTGGTCTTGCGACTTCGTGGCAGAATCCAACAGCATGCGTTGAATCTTGACCTTTCCTTCACGGCTGTCAGTCTAATTGCAGCTTTTAGTGATTAAAACGTGTATCGTTGTTCGCCGAGTGAGCTCTCAACACTCAGCCCAGGAAGGAGACGTCATGGAAAAACCTCCCAAACATGGAGTTCACCATGTTCTCGTCAACAGCCTGTCTCGTGGGATCATCCATGTCAAAATTGAACATCTCGTCTGGCATCTACAGTACAATATCAGTACAAGTTCACTGAAGTCTTCCATTGCATCTTACCTCAAAATCCCACTCGATGCCTGGCGCAGATGTGATGTTCGTTGCTGCAAATTGTTCCGGGATGTTAGTGTTTTCATCGCACTGGGTCGTCTGTGCGAACAAATCCTGCAATAGCGTAAGGGCATGGTCCGCGCATTCCTCTGCAGAAAGTATCATCGCTCGTGCTACTTCCTCCTTTGGAAGTCCTTGCTGAAGGCCCTCGATCTGAGCTTTCGCCACGGACTGCAGCATATATCCTCGTACGTTTGTCTCTCCACGCTCAATACAGCGTACGCACCAGTCAAGACCTTGCCCCAAGACATTCATCAGGTCAGACCGCAATGGCGCAGGACCCAGACACTCCTGTTCTCGGATCTGAGCCCTGAGTTCAATGGCAATGAGAGCTATCACCTGCGCGAAACCGTAGCGGAAGAAACCACTGCCACTTGTAACCCAACGCCAAAAGTCTTGAGAACCAGAAGCTAAATCTGAGCCTGTAGTGGCAGAAGATCTCGTCGCGGAAGTTGGGTAAATCGTACACCATATCTTAAGTCCAACCTCGATCACCATCTTCCGGGAGAATGAGTACCTAATCTCACTCAGCGATGGTCCGAAATAGGGAGCGTGGAGGGCTAAGATATAGCGCTGTAAAAGGAGATCGACAAAGTTCAACGAGAACGTGCTTGGCGATGCCCCTATGGTATATCCGTGCATGTTCTTGTAGAGATCTTTATACATCTTTCTTAGTTGTGCATCCAGCTGAAGTGTCTCGTCATATGTCCCTCGAGAGTTGATACTATTCAAAAATCTAACAATCCCACGGCGCAATTCAAGAGACTTGCGGAGAATGAGGATGAAAGACATTTGAGTAAACTCTGTGTCGGGTGATGGAATAGCTCCCTCGTGCAATAACTGTTCGTCGTTGAAATTCCCCGGCATCTCCGTATCTGATTCCTCCATGTAGATGCTATGCATGCTCCCATTGTGCAGACTAGATTGGGTATCAATCTCTAGCACTGTGTTCCAGAGCCTGCGCCGCATCTCGCAGATAAGTTTGGGTTTTGCTGGTAGCCTTTTCGGGTCCCGGTGAAGTCCCAAGCTCACGGCTGTTCTTATAACCTCGCCGGTGCTAACCCATGTTGAGTCTCCTCCGACTTTAACCAGATCTCGGGCAAGAAGCAACAAAATTCTAGTTTGCATGAACTGGATATCCAACCTGGACTTGAATTCTGGTTCCGAGAGCCAGGTTTGCACCTCGTAAATCCACCGACGAGCGGACATGCGCATGGAGAACTTGTCATCGTAGGTAACAGCCCCAATAGCGAGGACCAACTTAAGCAAGGCCAGAAATCCTGTATCTTGCTTGCCGTCAGAAATCCACAACGATTCATAATCTCTTCTGAAGCTGGGTATGTGTAAGACCCGATACACAGACTCGGTAGTCCTAAGGTAGCAATCAACAAGGTCATCGGCAATCTCCTTCCGAGGTAGTTCGGCTGTGAACTCAGTTGGCCATTTCGGTGACCAACGTGATTTGATGACTCTTGCCAGTTGTTTGCATTTGGCTACACCGGTCAGAGCCTTTGGTGTCCCGCCACCAATGAGTTGAGGCTGAACCATGCTAAAAATATCACCGATCTTGAGGGGACAATGTGAGCGAACAGAATTCGGCGTTGGTGATCTTGAAGTTTAAAATCTTACCGGTGCAATGCTATTGACCCAGTGGCTTTTCCCAAACACGCGAGATTTGTGAGAAAAGCCTCGAGCAACCGCTTGTGGCTGGCCTACCTCATGGGCTTGTTGCTGGAAATGAAAGGTGCCATCGAGCAACGCCGTGCTTGTATCTGCTTCGGGGGTTGACTCTCCTCCGGGGTATCTTATGGTGGGCGATCTTAGTGATGTCTTGGACAGCTGGTCCTCGAGCTTCCGAATTCTGTTCTTCAAATCATCCAACTCCTGAGCAGAGCTTTGCGCTCGGGGGGATGACTCGTTCGAGTGTGCGTGGGGTGACGAAGTTGCGGCCGTCAATTTCCCACTTCTATTTGATATTTTCTCAACTAGGGTTGAGTTCTCGGACCCGGAACCCACGTCACCTTCAGCTGGCTGATTGAAGCTCTGTTGACGAGGACTAGTCTTTGGGAGCGGCCCAGTATGATATATGCACTCGCCAGTTCTAGACCTTATGCAATTGCCACAGGGTTGTTCTCTGTTGCATCGTAGCTTCCTCCTCCTACACAAATTACATGCCCTAAGTGTTGTAGAATGTTAGCATGGAAGAAGACTATGAGCATCCGTCGGGATTCCGGACTTACGTTGCCGGTCTTCTTCGACGGCGGACGGCGGACTCGGTGTGATCCACCATGATGACAAAGACGCCAGGTGCTGCAATTTGGGAATTCTACTCCAATCAAGATTGTTTTACTGCACTTGTGGCTGCCGTGCAGTCGGAGTGTGAAGTAAGGGGAAGGTTGGAAGAAGCACGACAAGTCATGTTGAAGGGATGAATCGTCCGAGTCCGATAATTTCCCGAGTCCGAATCCTCCTCAAATCCCGACCCCGAAGTTCGGATTTTGGCTACCCTACACCTGGCCTCGTTTCTCAGCTTTGGTAGGAGTTGTCTAATACATATCAGTTTCTACATCGGAGATATGAATTCCATTCCCAAATCCAGTATTCAAATTGATCTCCTTTTTTTTTTTTCCCTTAACTTCAACAAAATGAAAGTTTTGCGGGAGATGAATACTGTTGCTGACCATCAACATGTCCGAGCTTACTACATCGCGTAAAGTAAGCGCGCCCAGGCATGTAGAAAGTGGAAGTTGTAGGAGTGACGCGCAACTTAGAGATAATCCAAATCATCCACCAAACCAACATCAGCGTAGATCAAACTACAAAGGTATTCTTCAAGCTACAATGTTCATGAATAGTACCTAGGCAACTTAAAATATCAACCCCTCATCGGGTAGTTGATAAGCGTTATTATTTCTAAGATATTACACAATAGGAAGTATTATTATGTGCCTACCACATTTCATTGAGATGGCCCTGCGGTCCCTGTATTCCGACAACCTCTTGACCCCCTCCAAAGATCAGTCAACTTGCAGATGACAAGTCTGTGGATGCCATCGTTTGCAGGGGTTGGTGCTACGGTGCGAGACGACGATAGCCGAGCTTACATCTTACACTCATGAGATTGGTCAAACCCAAACCTAGTAACAGCGAAGAATTGGTGTTCCAAAAGTCCCTGCCTCGATGGAACGCTGTGCCACACTCTCGTTAACACAGCCTTGATATCGCCCATCTTCTTTGCCGCCAACCTCCTTTCCATTGCCGTCTGCGTCGAAGATGACGTCGGAGAGAACTTGGCAACGGCACTCGCGCATCTTACTATCTAAGGTCTAGATTGTTGGCTAAGCGATGAGTAACGTCAGATATGGGCTTAGCCTCTGACCAAAATAGATGTGATTGCTAGTTACGAAAAGGTGGAACATACCAGTAAGCACTTGGCAGGCCAGCCTTACCGGATGCTGACCAGACGAAGATTGGCTTGCCAAGCCTCGTCTTACCGTTAGCCAGGGGAATGTACATGTATCCTACGCCGCCACAATTCTAAATATGCCGCCTCTCTACGAGTATCTTGACGTTGAAATCATCAATGATATAATGAACCGCGTCACCCCCTAACCGGGAATAAACAACCTGTTCATCGAACCCAGAGGACTGATGATCAACAACCCTAGCCACCGATAGTGTGTGGACCTCAGCCTACGCTAAAGCATTTCATCCACAACAAGTGATTACAGGCGGAGCTGAGGCGAGCACTGCCGCCTGTTGTATTAGATTCCAGTAAACAGAGCGTAGCTCAAATTGAGATCATGCAATCTGAAAGTCGGTGACATTTTCTGCGTGTTGTCAGATCTATTGGGCTCCGGGTGTGGCTTATCCTACCACAAATGGCAGGTCGCATGAATCTTCAAGTGCATGTGCGACTCAATATTAGCGCTATTTGAGACCCAGGATGGAGTCTTAGTCTATCAAGGCCCCTGCCATTCGGGATGATGACCGTGTGTGGTTCCTGTGGCCCTTATTGGCGGTAGAAGCATGGGTTGACAGCCCTATTACAGGGCGAGTGAGAAAACAGTCTGGATAGCTTGGCGGCCTGCTCCATATGCCCAGAATGAGTATGGCCTTGACGTCTTGAAGTCCATGAGTGTTACGTATGGTTTCATGGGTCATTGTGTATAAGAGGACTTAGCCCTTCCAGTGTTTCCCTGGTTTTCAACACTGAACATTCGTCTTCGCTTGTGTCCAGCCTCAACTTATAATTTAATTTACTTCTTTGTTCCAAAAGCAAGCAGAGATGGGTATCAACACTGAACCGAACAGGGACTTTAACGGGCCTAAGGCTGCCAACGGCCTGGTGGCACAGTCCAAGAAGCCTTACCTTATCGTGTGCACATCCCCAGCCACTGGCCACTTCACTCCAATTCTGAGGATCGTTGCACGACTCATTCAGAAAGGTTACCAAGCCACCTTTATCGCTGGAGATGAGTTCCAAGCACAGGTTGAGGCCATCGGGGCGGAATGCGTCCCTACGCCTCCTATGTTGACCCCTGACATCATTGCCGAGCGCGAGAAAATCCCCGAGGGCATTCCACGACTGCAGTTTGACTTGAAGTCGCTATTCGTGGGGCAGACACCCGGCCGGTGGGAAACCCTGAAGAAGACTCTTCTGAAGGTCCGAAAGCAACACCCTGACGACGAGGTTGTTATCCTTACCGAGTCTTTTTACCTCGGCCACCTCCCCCTCCTCCAGGGTGCCGCTTTGCCTGAAGGTTTCACCAAGAGACCCGGCATTGTCAACCTCCACGCAGCTACCTACATTGTTGACAGTATCGATACGGCACCATTCGGACCTGGTCTGCCTCCTGACTACACGGAAGAAGGGCGCGCTGCCAATAAGGCTGCGAAGGAAGCAAGCGCCGAGCCCGTATGGGGCGAGATCCTGGCCTATGAAAGGGAGATCAACGCATCATTGGGCATCAAGAACGACCCTGGCGCTCACTTGCTGCCATTTGAGAAATGGGTGACCCTCCCCGATATCACGCTTCAACTGTGCCCTAAGAGCCTCGAGTATGAGCGCTGCGATTTCCATCCCAAGGTCAAGTTTGTCGGCGCTTTGCCTCGGCAGCCTGTCAAGGCCGCCATCACGTACCCAAGCTGGTGGGATGATGTGACGCGAGGAGACAAGAAGATCGTTACTGTGACCCAGGGAACTGTCGTACTCGACTACCACAACTTAGTCATCCCAACTCTGGATGCTCTGGCTGAGAGGGATGATATCTTGATCGTCGCCGTTCTGGGTGCCAAGGGTGCCTCGCTACCTGCCGATTACAAGGTCCCTGCCAATGCCCGAGTGGTAGACTACTTCCCCTATGATGCCATCCTTGAGTACACCGACGTTTTTGTTATGAACGCCGGATATGGTGGATTTATCCACGGTGTGACCAACGGTGTACCAATGGTTCTCGGGGGTGGAACTGAAGATAAGCCTGAAGTCAGTGCGCGTGGTGAATTTGCTGGTGTCGCTGTGAACCTCAGGACAGGAGCTCCATCCAAGGAGCAGGTCGCTGATGCTGTCAGCAAGGTCTTCGCCGACAGCAAATTCAAGGAGAGAGTCATGGAGATCAAGAAGGAGAACGAAGAATTGGATGCGCTTTCCTCGATAGAACAGCACATCCAGCAGTTTGCATCTCACTGGGCATAAAGATGAGGATCATGAATAACGAATGATAGTTCGGTCTTCGAGTGACGAAGCCGGTTGATTGTTATATCAGGACATACTTTTTCATAAAGTTTATAATTTTTATAGAGAATATACCCGTCTCAGTATTACTCTGCCTGCATATGCCGTTCGTCAACACCCAATCTTAACAACATCTTTCCTTTAGGCGCGCTTGAACTTTCAGCACATGCCTACTCCCCCACCGCTCGATTATCGATCATAAGTATACTTCCAATATCCATATTTTGAACTTCTCCAGCTGTTATTTTTCTAATTTTCTTTTTCCCTTTGCATGGATATAATTGTGTAACTTTGTGGCTCTTCACTCAGAGTTGTAGTAAACCGGAGGAAGATTTATTTCTTCGACCATCCAGCTCTACGAAACCGGCAAATCTCACAATTCTGTGTAACTTTTAAGACAGCCAACTTTAAAATATAAAATAACTCTTCCTGTGTTGATATGAAAAAAGTGAATATAAGCTGGGGTGTGTTGCTGGTTGCTCGATTATATAATCACCACAATTAGTCAGAGCGGCTACTTGAATCATAATTCTGCACTGATCATTACCCCAACTTGTAGCCTAACATTGTCGAAATGACGGGACAAAAAACGATGAAATCGAATCCATCAGCGAAGACGTCAAATTTGACGCCTATGCTTGACAATGAGTCTGATGATGATGTTCTGGTCGACTATACTCAAAATCTCGCCCTTCGGTCCAGGAAAACCAGCCGTCTGAAGCGGAAGCTGGATCGCAAAGCCAAGAAAGAAGCCACGAAGCCTCAGCTATTATCACTCACTCCGGAGATGCTCCTTGATATACTCTCACAGCTCAAGCCGACAGATATCATACGATTTCAACAAACATGCAAGTTCTCACACGCATTCGTCCACCATCATGAAATCTCACTCGTCAAGGCGGTCATTACTCGCCGATACTCTGTTCTTTCTCGGTGTTTCCCTCGGCCGGTCCATCTGAAAGATGTTGATCCTTTGTATCACCCTGCCCTTCTTCAACAACGCCGCCAAAAACTTCTCGCGATCCATCGTAAGCCATACTCACACGTCGCACATCATGACCCAGCCCTACTATGTTCCTGTATCACCTGCGTCATGGCCTGGAACAATCTGTGTCTGATCGTCGACTTGGCCCACTGGACGACAACTGCTCTATCTAAACGCCAGCCTATCCGCATGATCCCTCGAGGCGAGAATCCTTCATGGAATATGGAGCTAGTCGAAAATCATGCAGCCGTGGTCCGCAGAGCTCTTGCGTCGCCTTTATGGTATGCCTTGATCCTCCAGCGCCACCTGCAGACAACCATTTTCGGCATACGGCGATACGCAACCAAAGGAGAGGTTCCTGACTTTGAGCTTGATGACGAGGATGTTGCTCGGGAAACAGACGAATTTTGCGCTCGGTCCGGTAGTCCAAGTTACGAGTTCCCGATAACCCGGGACACGTATTACGGACTAAAGACTTATCTACCTAACCGCCTTTGGGACACAAATGAGGGCTATTGGAAATATCAGCCATCAGATCAGCATTTCAGAGATCTAAAATGGGTTCAAGACATGGCAGACAAGGAGCGCGAGAAAGGAGCTCAAGGTCCCAGGGATGTTGAAGACAAGGAAAAAGCTGACGGCGAATTAAGGGTGCCCTGAGTTGATTTATGTGAGGACAACATCTCACTGTGCGTGATTAGGTTTACGCATAGAAGTATCAATAAATATATAATCGACGATCTTAGCCGTGTCATAATTTGATGCATCGAATTTTCTCTTCTCGCTATCCACCACTCTCAAATAACAATCAATGATTCGGATTTTAAGTCGTTGAAATAAGGTAACAGTGTTTGTAAATATTCGAAGCATTAGAGGTGGTAGAGATGCAACCTATGAGAAACACCTTGTTAGTAACTTGAAGGTAACATCTTGATGAGACTTCCTCCACGTACCAATCTTCATGGTTATTCATTTCCCGCGTCATCTTAGCCGCGGCGATCGCCTGCTCCATATTCAAATCTTCGCCTATCTGATACAAGCATGAAATCGCATACTCCCTAGCGGATGGACTGTTGAGTTCTGAATGTGAGAGTACCGTCAAAGGCCAAATTAAGCATCTTGCCGAGGCGCAGAATTTGCCCCCGAGGCTCTGTGGCTCCAGAAAACAAGACACACTGCGGAGGAGGTCAGTCTCAAGCTCAAGCAGGTTCTTGGCTGCCATGTTGCGGTAATTTAAGAGCTCTTCATATGAATGCACAGTGCTGCAATATGGTGTTTCGCCAGGTTGAAATGCGTGTTGAAGGATGAGATTGGAGTGTACCCAAATGGTCATGTGCATGAACATGCGGATCATTCGTATTGTATTCCAAACTTTGGCATGGCGACGAGTCAAATAGTTGTATTCCATTGTGAGGTACGCCCATTTGGAGGAAATTCCCGAAGTCCTTGGCGTAAACTTCATATTAGGCTCGATGAGTTCACAGAGGGCAATTGCACCCTGATCTACCTCCAAGGCAGCATCTATCAAGTTAACTGTACCCGCCGCGACTCGCGATCTCAAGGTGGCTGCTTGGTCGAGGATAGGTCCGATCTGTATGCAAGGGTGCTCAGGATCTAGAAAGGGGAAAGCCTCCTTTACCAGGTCGAGGAATTCCTGAGGTACGGGAACTCTTCTCTGGATGCAGCTTGTGCGTATATTGGTGATTGTTTGTGTAAAAAGCTGACGGGCCATCTTGGAACGAAACTGGTCTGCTCCTCTCAACCGTAGTAGTTGGACGGCACCCAGCGTATGTGCAGTCCAGCTCTCTGGTGACTGGCCCCCTTTGAAGACAACTGCCTCAAAAAGTCCCAACAGAAGCACCGAGATCAGTGTTTCATCTAGAAGTGCATTTTTCTGCGAAGAGAGACACTTGTTTGTATGTAGGAGAGCTGTGGCATAATTGGATCGCGCCTTTTTCATAAGATTGTCATCTCGTGTGCGTTGCGCAAAGGTGGCAAAGGCTGTAGCGTGAATAGCTGGTAGAATTGCTTGTGTGGAATGTTTCATACCATAGAGCTGTGGTAGGTAGGGCTCAAATGGAGATGCATAGATGAAAGAACACATGAAGAAATCCAAAGCGACGTCCTTCAAGTGTTGTGGGGGGAGAGCCAGAGGGGAATGAGGCGAGTCACCCTCCTGCCAATGGCTCGATGCTACACCCGGCTTAGTGTCTTGTATTTGGACATGAAAGCGAGTAGAGTGATCTAGCCCAAAACGAGAGCTCTTCTGCTTGGCACGTTGAACTTTATAGCCAACACGGCTCGTCTCGTCTCTCCAGCGAGGTGCGGATACATCTCTGTATCCCGAGCAGGGTATCCTCTTGCGGATGCATTGGGTACAGGTGGGAGTCTTTTGGTCGCACTACATGATGTTGAATTTTAGCAAAGATAGACAGAATATCAGTACACAGCAAATTGAATAGCTTTGTGACTTTCAGATGTATCAAGCCTATCAGTGTTGGACCACGCTAGATCGGTGCCTTACCTTGAGTCTGGAGATCCGACACGGTTGGCAAGCAGCCGATGGCCGCCCGCTAAACACCATCCTAGCTGGTCGAGAGCAGAAAATAGCGCAAGACAACTACCGACAAATCGCAAGTCCCATTATCTGGAGATGGAACATTCTGTGTTCGAGGAAGCTGACAATGATCACGTAGGGCTGGCGTAGGTGCCTGTGTGGCGCCGATGCCGTTCTTCCGAGAGTGCATATTAGCGTCGAAATGCCCACCAAAAGAGGCATGGTGCTGATCAGCGGCTGACATTTGGGAAGATGAGCGTTCATATCTGCAGGTTGTAAGGTCCTGGGCCGTTTTCCCGAGTGGGTGGCAGTGCCGATTGTTGAGACACCAGGGCGCCCCTGGTGATATATCAGACTTCATATGACTGACCAATCAAGCTCTCATGGCACAAAGCGGTGTCAGCTAAGATCGGAAGTCAATACACATCTAGACGGTGTGCTGTATAGCATCCATAGAATGCGTAGGAAAAGCATCCCCGTTGCCGCTGGCATTCTAGTGGCAGGGGTAATACCACACTCTGTCAGAACATCCCCGGGTATGCGTTGCCGATACTCTGATCAGTGATCCAATTGAAACATGAAATTCTCTTCGGTTCCAGATAAAACGCGCCGACAACCTATCTCGAGTGGAACCCAGGTAAGCTTCGCATTCGCACATCAATCCAGGGTTGCAGCGTGGCTGAGGAAGGCATCGTGGCGATCTTCTCCCAGCCCTACGGAAAACTATATACCCAAGTTAGCGTCGAAATGCCCCCTCAAAGGAGCTTAGTCTTTCGAATTCATGTTGCGAATGATGGCGGAAACTTGATGGCGAAGGCAGAGACCAGAAGCTCATAAACAAGAGAGTTTCTCTTCGTGATCCGCCTCTCATGATGTTTTCCAGCAAAGCAGCCGACACTCATTTCCATTACTTCTCTGATTTCCCAAATTTTCTCCTTGAAGAAACAAAATGACTCTTGATTCTCGAGGTTATGTCTCCATTGCGGAACTAGTCGTCTATGTTCCTGCATTTGTGCTGGCCATCATTATATGTGTTCGCCACGGCATCAGACAGACTTCTGGCTGGATCTACACCCTAATCCTCTGTCTCGTACGCATCGTCGGTTCAATCTGTCAGCTAGTGACATATAGCAACCCTTCTGTCGGTTTGATTCAAGCCTACCTGGTTTTTGACTCCGTTGGTCTTTCTCCGTTACTCTTTGCTACCTTGGGACTGCTCTCTCGATTGTATGTCATCCCAGCCCCCTTATCACGCAATCTCTAACGTCTGATCCAAAGGGTTGATTGGATCAATACCGAAAGAGGTCCAATTCTACAAGTCACACATTTCCGTCTTGTCCAGCTAATCATCACCGTTGGCCTCATCCTCGGCATTGTGGGTGGCGTACAGCGTGGATCCTCTCAATCAACTACGGGCACCACCCCACAGCCTTCCTCAGTTAGTCAGGCCGCAATTATTCTGTACATTGTCGCCTTCGCCGCACTCGTCGGGATTCTATTGCTATCCTTCGGGTACCTGAGCTACGTGCCTTCCAAGGAACGGAGCATCTCGGCTGGCGTTGCCATCGCGCTACCTTTGATACTGGTTCGGCTTGTATACTCGGCGCTGTCCACCTTTACGCACAACAAGACCTTCTCTCTTTTGGGAGGCGACGTTGGGGTCTTTGTCGGTATGGCTGTGGTTGAGGAGTTTCTGGTTATCATTATCTACCTTGGACTCGGGTTTATTGTCCCAAAGTTGCAAAAGGGCCAGCAAGGCGAAGTTGGAAGCGGGCAGTGGCGTCAACGAAGGGAGAGGCCCATCAAGTTCACCAGCCTTCGAGGTGCCAACCTTGCATAGAATATGAGCTTCGGGATATCGTGATGGGGGGGTCTTTGAGGTAGTGTTCGGTGTAGAGGAAGGGCCGGGAGCATCGGTTACAGAAGAGATTCAGCAGAATTACAAGCCGCACCTCAGCTAAGAGACAATAAGATTTACACAGAAACACTTGGTTCTTGTGGGATGAAACGTGCGCAACATATACTCATGGTTTAAAAAAACCCCGAATCTAGAATAGGCAACTATCCTAATTTACCTTGCCCCAAAGTTTTACAGCTTATATCGCTTGAGTCTCATAATTCTATCAACTTCTATCAGAGTCTAAGCAAGCATAATATGATGGTAACCAAACACCCCATCACAGCCAGCACAATGTATGCCAGTCCCGTCCACACTCCGCCAATCTCCATTCCCCTACCCAACAACCACCCGATCAGAGGTGTCGTTATTATGACCATCACGGATTGCAGAGTGGACATTGTGGTGTTCACGGTCGCAACCATGTGCGGTTCTACCTTGGCGGTTATCAGTACTCTCATCTGCGCGGAAAATCCCTGACTCAGCCCATAAATGATGAGCGCACAAATGAGCTCCCACTCGGTATCTGCGAATCCCATGGCGAACATTGCCAGTGTGAGCAAGACGGCCGAAGTTCGCGCCAAGTAGATGTCCAGCTTCATCCGGTCAATGCTGGAATATTTGAGGATTACATGGGTGGACAGCGGGAGAATGCCAAGGAGAAGGATAACAGATGTCACCTTGGAGATGGTCAACAAAGTCAGTGCTTTCGACCAGCTTCCGAGGGGAGCAGCAATGTACTGCAAGGCGAAAAGAACCATCGATGTGGCGATGGGGGTTGAAACCGCCTCGCAAACACACAAAGCCATAATTTTCTTGTCCGCAATAACAAACTGCCAGAGCTCGGCGAGGTACTTGGTGAACTTGTGCCAGGCGGCGGAGAGCATGCTGTCGGCCTTGACGCCAGGGTCACTATCTTCGTCGGTGCTCACCTCGCCATCCGGGCTGTCGGGGACGTCTTTGAGGGCCAGGCCAACCAGGCGAGTCTCGGGCATCAAGAGCACGAAGAAGCAGGCCACGTACAGGAAGCCGGTACCCAAGAATGTCGGCAGCCAAGGGCTGTAGTTCATAAGCCACGCGGTGAGGGGATTGCTAGAGGCGCTGATGATAAGAGTGAGGGCAACCAATTGATAGAAGACGCTGGATCGCTCTTCTTCACGCGTGACATCCGTCACAATGGTCCAAACCATGGCGGCAACCATGGTAGCTCCGCCTCCGATAAGCAGCAGAACATAGCCAGGTATCATAAGCCAGATCGAAAAGAAGTCAGAGAACCAAACTGAAAGGGTTGTGAGCAGGGTGTGCAGCAGTTTATTCAAGGAGAAGTACATACGAATGAAGATATTCCATGTGACCATGAGCGTCAATCCAGCGATGGAGAGGAAAAGGACAAGCCGCCGGCCATAGTGATCCGCGAGGAGGCCATAGGGAACTTGAACCAGCAGAGCTACCAAAAAATGAAGCATTAGCGTTAACTGAAAAATCAACATTCGGGTTCCGCCTACGGCAAAGAGTCCCAAAGAGGGCCTGGATGGATGTGAACATGGCCAGCTTGGACTGCACGTCAGGAGACTTGCAAGGAGAGCCGGGGCCCTTGGCGAGCAGCACCGACGGGTCACCGCCATATCGCTCACGGCAGATGATGTCCTCCAGGATCTGCTGGGTCGGAGGGTCGATGATGAAGACACTGACGTCGATGATGAAGAGGAAGACGGCGCACATGAGCTGGACGCGGAGCTGAAAGGCTCTGCTCGGGGCGGGAACGGCTGCGGCGCCGCCATCCTGCGCGGCCGGAGGCAGAAGCCGCGATGTCTCGTCTACAGTGGACGCATGATCCCCGCTGGTTTCACGGCCGCTATCGCGAGGCTCCAATTGAGCGTTCGGGGCCATCAGATTCAGACTCGACACCCATCAATCGCCAATTCTGCGCAGGTGAGAGAAAATCGCGATATTGGCGCTTTTCCAGATTCTCCTCCCCTGAGGAAATGTGGGGGACTCTTATGAGCAAGTTTCGGGGCGTCAGCACGGAGCAATCAACGATTATAGCGGTACTTCTAGGGGAGCATGCTATAGCCCACCAAATTCTTACATTAAATTCCAGTCCATCTGCGTGGGACCGTCCATCATATGTCCATCTTGAGACACAGCTGATTTCAATTCAAATATCTTGGTTAAATCTGCATACCAACAAATTCTCCTGCATCTCTCCCTCAGGTACTCAAGGAGGCACCCAGCCAAGTTCCTCAATGGGCCACTGCGTCCACAGCTTGTGCTCGTCATCCAGCAGCCCCCAGACGCGCTCCATCACATGTGTGGCCCATCCCTCCAGCCACCACTGGCTCTCGAGCTTCTTGAATATGATCAACATATGGGCAAAGATGGAAAGGGCCTCCTGCTCCGGTCGTGCGACTTGCAGCAGCGACAGGAAATCCACCATGTGCCACGTAAGCACCAAGATGTCCCACGGCTCAAGTCTAGGTCCCTGGGGGCTGGGCCTGGCGCTGGCAGCGGTTGTGTGGTAGCCATCCAGAGAGCCGCCGTTCCAGTCGGCGCCTCCAATCCGCGCACTCGGGATTATCATGCCAAGGATATGCCGCAGATGGTCGATGGTCGCCAGGTAGATGGGCAGAGCCTCCTTGTCCTTGCAGGCCCGGGTCACTTGGTCCTGGAGCTCCATGAGCAGCGCCGGATTCCGCGGCTGCTCGGAACCGTACAGCTTCCTCCAAGCATTTCTGCCATACTCGAAGAGGGGCGCCAGGGGCCCTTTGTACGTGCTTGGGTCAAGAATCTCAATGATGGGCTCCGTCCCGCGCACCAAGGCAAGCCAATTCGGCACGACCGACTCTCCCAGGATGAAAGAGGACTGCTCTTCCCTTGGGCATCCAAGCGCTGATTGCGACAATAATTGGTTAGTTTGATATGTCAAATCCGGAAATGCCAGGCGAATGACAAGCTTGATACATACCGAAAAAGAGTGTCAGAACAGAGAATAGATGGAGTGCCTCGCAGTCTTCCTGTCTCAAGTCCGTCAAGAGCGAAATGGCCTTTCGATTGGCAGCTGCATGGTGCTCCAAACCCCGTTGAAGGTAGTGAGCCCTCTTCGATGGACGATAGTGCGCGAGGTGGAGGGCAGACACAGCAAGAATCATGCGCATCAGACAATCATTGTCCATGGCCATCTTGACAGCTGTGGTTTTCAGCATCTGGCGGAGCGAAGGGTCGTCTGAGAGTGTCGCAAAGGTAAAGGTGGTGAAGTTGTACATGAGCTCCAGATCAACCATGTTCAGGTCTGTAGCTTGATTGCTGGTGGAATTACTGCCGACATTCCTGTCTGGCAGGCTTTTCAAAGCTGAACTGTTCGGTGTGCCAATGACAAATTGGCCGTCGAAGTCGCATGATACACCATGCCGGATGCAATTACGACAGCTCGGCCGATGCTCATCGCACTGCCATCATGGTTAGCAGCTCAATTCCCATTCCAGCTTTGACCCAACAGCCTCGTTTCTCCCCCTTCTCTCTAGGTGCCGGGGGGATGTGAGAGGCTGTCGTCATCATCATCAGGGTCAGCCCGCAGCCACGCACCTTGATCTTTCGACGCTTGCACGTCCGACATCCCGTCTTAGATTTCGCATGCGACCGCCGCGACGCGGTTGCGTGTGGCCTCGAAGATTTCTCCCTCTCGCCTCCTTCGCTTGTTTCCCTCACCCTCCCGAGGGCCGGGTGGTGTGGTGACGGCGCTGACGGTCGCGAAGAGGACGGCGACCGAACATGCCGCTCACTGGATTCCTCCGAGGCTTCTGAGGTTGCCATCCGAGATAGTTTGGGATAACCTCGCACCAAATAGCGATATTTAGCTGACGCGCACACGACCAGGTGATGAAATGCGATTGATGAAGTGACAGAGAGTGGCCAAAGCCAAAACTCGGGTTTTCGGCAACGAAATCTCGTATTCGCACCGATTGGTCCGAGCTAAGCTCTTCCCAGCTAGAATTTACCCTGCAGCGCAACAAGCACCTTTAAAAACACGGCTCGTTCTGAGGTTGATCTGGAATCTTCATGAAGTCTGTTTTGGATTCAAAATTTGAAGGTAAAACCTTGAGTAGATTGATTTTGATCACAGGATAAAATCTATGGCACGAAAACCTTGCTTCAAATCGCACGACATTTACGACACGAATACGATGAGCAATTTCAAACCCAAAAAGGCCTCCACCCTTGTTGTCCAACGTAGGACATATTCAATAAGGGGTGGCGAGAGAATACGAAAAACGCACCGAAGAGAGGTTATTTAACATTGTAGACTTGCAAAGACTCTCAATTTTGCAAGGGAGCGAGAATCCAAATTGAAGATAAAGGGAAACTTTATCACAACTTGCTTACAAAGGCTTAATAACAAATACTTGATGGAAAAGATGATTCCGGTAGAACAAGAAACAAAACTACTAAAAATATATCTTGTGGCGGGTTGTGTGCACATGTTACGACTCAGATCGTTCCTCGTTTTAGAAGCATTTAGCCGTAAGTCCGCATGTCAGCGACAGGCGTCTGAGAAGCCCGAATAAGCTTGTTAGAATAAATCGACTAGCTATGACAGCTTCTTCTCTCTGCATTATATTTCGCATTTAATATAGGAATTCTATCCTTTGATTCTGGGGGTTTCATCCTGTATGCTTGTAACAGGGTTGGTGTCATTATCTATGTTAGATTTCAACTGATACAAGCAGAAGGCCGAAGTTGGCATACCTATCTTGTTCGACACCATTATTGAAATCGGATATATCTCTATCGAAGTATACGTTACTTACGTTCTCCACCTATTGAGAACAAGTAAATAGAGCGGGGATTTGCGATAGATTTTTGTATTATTCCGGTCCAATTGGCTAACTTGGGATACATCACGCGAAACTCGCGGCATGTTCTGACAACTTCTCAATCCAAGCCAGCTTGGTACGGATACGGGGATGTTAGAGAGTGACGCTAAAATCCAACGCAGATCCACTGTCATCATCTTGTTCCATGCTAGCGAATCTCCAGGCAGCTTTTGTAATCACTAGTAGGGTTCGCTGACGCCTCCTTGCACATACCTATAGTAGTAGATAGATTGCCATCTGCTTCCCCTCTCCTCGAACTTCATTCATTTTACTTTCTTTCGGAAGCAACTGTACCATGCGCTACATTATCACCGATCCCACTGTTCTCACGGCTACGGTCGCCGTGGTGTCTTTGGCCTATTTCCTGCTGCGAGGTGGCCATGATCCCCGCGAGCCCCCGTTAGCTCCGAAATCAATTCCCATCATTGGACATGTAATCGGGCTTTCGCGGAGAGGCTTCAATTACTATGTTGACGTCAGGTAATGCGCTTTCCAAATGCCCCTAATATACGATGTGCGTGTACTCACTTCAAACTCTTCAGCGAGCGAACGGACACGCCCATCTTCACTATGTCCCTCCCGGGCCAGAAGATGTACGTGGTGACGAAGCCAGAGCTTGTTCAGGTCATCCAAAAACAACACAAGGCATTGGCCTTCCCTCCAATTGAGGCAAAATTTGCCGCCACAGTGTGCGGCGCTAGCAATGAGGCTCGGGCTATACTGGCTAAGAATGTGAATGGTGACGAGGGCGACTTTGGTCTTTCCATGGATTCTTATGCCGCGATGCGTGCTGCACTAAAGCCTGGCCCAGAACTCGACGATATGAACAGGTCGATGCTTCTTGAAATTGTCAAGGCGCTTGATGAACTTGAGCCAGCAAAGGGCGAGTCTCGAAAACTGGAGATGTACGGTTGGCTAAGGGGGGCCATCACTTTGGCCACAACTCGGTCTGTGTACGGGCCGATGAATCCTTACAATGATAAAGCTGTTGCGGATGCTTTCTGGTAGGTCCAACTTATAATACTCTTCAATCGCGAGTTCAAGGCTTATTTTGTTTTAATCAAGGGAGTTTGAGAGCGGCCTCATGTCGATCCTAGTCGGTGTTCTTCCGTCTATCACCGCTCGAAAGGCAATTGCAGCGCGCACCAAGGTTTCCAAAGCCTTTGAAGAGTATTACAACAAGGGAGGCGTAGAAATGGGGTCTGCATATGCCAAGAATCGGTATACATCCGAGGCTGACAATGGCCTTTCCTTGGAAGATATTGCTCGGTTCGAAGTCGGAGGCTCAATCGCGGTGCTGGTGAACACTACTCCAGCAGCTTTCTGGACCATTATCCTCCTGTACTCACAGCCAGATCTCCTCAACGAGATCCGAAAAGAAGTCGATGCATGCACTGAGACCACGACAGATGAGACGGGCTCTATTACTAAAGCACTCAACATCACTACGCTCAAAGAAGCCTGTCCTCTTCTTCTTTCGGCCTATCAAGAAGTTCTCAGGTATTGCTCCATGGGCACATCGGTGCGCGAAGTCATGGAAGATACATACCTAGGGTCGTTTCTGCTGAAGAAGGGTGCCATGGTACAAATGCCCAGCCGTGTGATCCACCAGGACGCCAGCCTATGGGGTACCACTGTCAAAGAGTTCAATCCTCGCAGATTTTTGCGTGAAGAGAAGAAGAACCGGCCTGGCGATGCGTGCTTCCGTGCTTTTGGAGGGGGCAAAACATTATGCCCCGGGCGACATTTTGCGACCAATGAAATCCTCGCCGTTGTTGCCGTCTTCATCTCTAGACTAGATATTACGCCTGCTAGTGGGAGCTGGAATCTCCCGACTACGGACAACACGAATATTGCGGCAACCGTAATGGAGCCGGACAACGATATTGAGATCCAGGTTAAGGCACGCCAAGGGTACGAAGGCGTCAAGTGGGTTGTCAGCCTTCATCATTCGGAGAAGATATTCGCTCTGGTTACGGAGGATAATATGGAAGAAGAATGAAGGGCATATATGCTTGTCTTCTTTCCTGTCAATATTTTTCTTTAGAGGCTGAATAGGCTCGATATTTACGTAGGTCGAAAACTTGATTATTGCTGCATTGCTCTATATCACAACAAGCATGTTTGTGTGAATCATGTATGGTCTTACAGCTCTCTAGTAACTACAGCCTAGTATTATGTAGGAAAGTTAACGATATATAGTGCAAGAAACTGTTAAAGAGTGCTCTCCGGGCCTGTTCAACCAAGGAGGCAATGTATTAAGTTTATCTCTAGATACAGAAGAAAGGAAGGGTTCCTTTGAGAGGAAGCAGCGAGATAGCTGCTTTTATAGTGCTTTCTGGTTAAGTGAACCAGGGTTGAGGAACCCTCAAGTAACCGGGATCCCTCCCACAAGGCCACGTAACCCTAGCGGAGCTCTTTGTAGGTGTAGCCTGTAACAGAAACCAACTTTCAAATACTCTCCAACGTCACCCCGGGAAGTTCCAATAGGGTCTTTGACTGAAGTCAATATTGAGTCCTTCTCTCATACTCTGTCGTCTCTTATGGGCCCACGAAATCCATTTCTCAGAAAGTCTCTTGCCACCTCTTGCGTTGGGGTTAGGTGGCTCAGCTCTCCACTTGGTTATCTCTTCTCTCAACCGACTTTCTATATCAAACACTTTGAAATCTTTGCCGTTCAGTGTTACAACGATACTGTCTACCATTTGCTCATAGATGGACTGGCCCATTTTGTCACCATTGGGACCGAAGGCCAGCAGCTTGTCGAGAAATCCGCAAAAATGTCTCGCTAGAGATTCCCCAGGCGTCATAGGTGCATCGTCATGGTCCGGATCGTTTCCCGCAAGTTTTCTGGCCGCCTTGTAGTGGCCGTCGCCAACTATCATGCTTCCGTTATTTGGCGTCTCTGCAGATGCCCGAATGTCGATGACAAGTTTTTTGACAATATATTGCGGTAACGGTCGCGGTTCCCGGGCCGCCTTTATCAAAAGCCCAGGCCCCTTATAAAAGATATCCACGAGGAGCCAGTAGAACAACCCTAGTCTTGGGAATTTATTCCAAATCTTATCAGCATAGGTGGAGTCATGCCTGGGAGTGCCATACAACGGCTTCGGGGGCACCGGGTCAAAGACGCGAAGCGTGGCGTTGATGGAATCGATGTACTGTGTCTGAGGAAGGGCAGGAATCGACCAAGTAGGCCAGAGCGCAATCTCCCCGATAGACATGACGTCGACAACCATCACGTCGACATAGTAGTCTGCGGATAGGTGGCAGAGCAGGGATTTGACTTCGTCGTAGATTTGCCTGTTCACCAGAAGTAGTGGCAGAGTATGGTTAGGGGGCCTAAGGTGTTTGATGTGTGGAAAAGTGAAACCGACTGTAAGCCGCAAATCTTGACGGATTTGCTGCTCTTCTGCAGGGTGTGACGGCGGTGTGATCAGGGAACAGATGGTCCAGCGGAAAATGGCGAGCCGAATCTCGGCTGGTATCATGAGTAAGAGTGACATGTTTATTACTTCTTGCTATGGCATTTGTGGTACTGATTAATGGGGAGTTTGGGCACTTAAATAGAGCGTTGGGGGGGCAGCGCTGAGTCAGAGATGGGTTCCAGTGCATTGCTGCCTGATGCCCTCTGCTGATCATTGGCAGGTCTTAGATGTTTCGAAATATATTGCATATTTGCTCCTATTTCAGCCCTATGTAAGTTTTAATATTCGATAAACAACACATCAATCGGATGGATCTGCTTGGTATGACTCAACACCATAGAGAATCATGGCTAGCGATATAAGAGAAGTTAAAAAGATGAAAGAAGTGTACGAAACCTGAGTTGAGTTAAGCCATGATCGAACTACAAACATTGAATTCCAAATCCGCCAAAATCTCTAATGACAGAACAGCCCAGACGAGGTCAGTGGCACGCCGGCCTTCATGTGCACAAGATACGTCTAGGGAATGATGATATCGCGAAGAATCCTTGGAAGGAGTGAAGGTAAAGGCAGCGCATTCCAAGTTTATTCCCAGCTAAGGAACTTCTGGTACTGTTAAGAAGCCATTAGTGGACGACTGAAGTTGGAAACACCTCCCTACTTCCAATGTTTGTACCTATGAAGTGCTAGGCGAACTTATGACCTGCGACAACCAATGGTGATTCTGAACTTCGCAGAACTCTGGAGTTCTTGTTGAGCACATTTCCCTTTTCCTTTCCTAGCATTTGGAAAGTGCCGCGTGACTAATGCAAGGCCGTTGGCATTATCTGGAGCTATCTGATGCGAATTTAGCGAGGGGCTGCTTTCCAAGCTGAATGGTGCACCCCGCCCCCGCGGAAGCTCCTGCCTGCATTTGACCATCTCTCCGTCTCTGGGCAACGAGGATGTCTATGTCGTACAGACTCTCGCACTACGGGATAGCCCAAGGCTCCTCCCCCCTCCGATGCAGGATCAGACCTAAGGACGAGCAGCGTGATAGAAGGAGCTACTACGTGCGCGCAGGTGCGGGGTACCAGCCAATTGAGACCATGTAAGGCGTGCTTACGTACATGTTATGCCTCTGATAGCGCCACTTAAGTGCCTTGTTGAGCAAGTATAAAAATGTGGAATGCCACACATCAGCTCTCCTCCATCTTCCCCCATTCATCCCCGTTCTTCTGCCTCTGTGCCTACAAGATTCGCCCTCGCTCCATCTCAGCTCTCCCTGTAAATTCTCTCTCCTCCCGCCCGCGCAGGCGCCCGAAAGGATCAATTCTGACCGCCCTATCTATTTAGCACATCACCAGCCATCATGAGTGAACAACGCCAGCAGGGAACCATCAAGTGGTTCAACGACGAGAAGGGCTACGGCTTCGTGACCCCCGACGAGGGTGCCGACCTGTTTGTTCATTTCAGGGCCATTGAGGGAACCGGCTTCCGATCCCTCAAGGAGGGGCAGAGGGTCTCTTTCGAAGTCGTGCAGGGACAGAAGGGTCTCCAGGCCGACAAGGTGCGCGTTGAGGAATAATCAAAACGCCAAAATAAAAAACGACGAGCAAGGAATTGGGCTACTTCATTCGATATTTCAATTCAACCGTTTCTCAGCCGTATATCCGTTGTGACAGGAGCGAACGGCGCCAAATGCGTCATTTATCCCTTTCGCGCCTCTCAGCTTGTCTCTGAATTTTTTCCTTTTTTTCCTTTTTTCGCCATTGCATGGATCTAACCTATTGTAGGGCCAAATTTGGGTTTTCATAGTGTGAGATCCAATCGCCAGTCCAGTGACCAACCAAGCTGCAAGATCATCCACATCATCCACTTCACACCCGATTACCAATCATAAAGTGGGCATCTGTGAGCCTTTTGCCAAGATGGGCAACCAAATCTCCGTGATCATGGCCTCTGTGTAAATCATTGCGTCAAAGTCCGAATATAGTAACCATCTCATCGTGGTCTATTTGCGACGATATCCTCATAAGCCATGCATATGTAGTATCTGAACTGAAGTGAATAGAATGATAGTTATCAACAAGAGCAACACAGTAGCGGACATAGAGATCGCACTTTAAAGAATAATTATAGAACTTATAATATAACGGCAATCTTATAGGACACTCATAATATCGATTGTTACTTAGATACAGTTAGATATAGAAGAGTGTATCGCCAGTTGAGCCAGATGACGCAATCCGAAATGATATTCAACGAGACAATATAAATAGATATATCATTCGAACATATTCCCAATAAATATCACGATTGCTTCGCATCTATCGTCTCATCTAGCTTCTAAGATATACCTAAAACTACTTCATATCAGTCTCTATAGTAGCCCAAATCCAAGATATTCCGACCCAAAAGTAGGTGAAACAAAGCCCCAATATTGATCGAACTGCCCATTATCAGCTTGAGCCACGCTGCCGTCCGTAGGATATAGATTGTTTCCAATGTGAGATGTACTAGGAATCACATCTTGGCATATTTCGGAGAACAAGCCTTCAGTGTCTCTTGACATATCCCATCGGGCTTCATTATCCTCTAATGTCCTGAAATCACCCCCAATCTCGCTATCAAAAGGTTGAATCTGATTCATTCGATCCTCATTAGCTAACTCAGGTTCTTGCTGACGCATAGCCCCCTTTGCTAAAGCCGCCTCATAGTTCTTTGATAACTTTTGTAGCCCGGCTCCCATCCAGCGAACAAGATGATAGGAAGCACAGGGAGTACGCTGGCAAAGCTCAATGACTCGAGAGATCGCGGAAAGGATGTCCTGGCGTTCAAGGCCGAGGTGTTGATGGTATTCGGTATGGAGCTTGAGTAGGAACGAGCAGGAATATGCAACAAACGTGTGATAGTAGTGAGGCATGCCGACAAATGCAGCCTTCATGGTCTCATCTCCGGTAACAAGGTCAATAATTGACCGTGCACTCCTCACTGCATCCTGGGCCATATCGTAAAATTCTTGGGGAATTGGGTCTTTATTTGGATCGGACGACAGCCCTCGAAAGACGTGGGAAGTAAGAAATAATTTGGCGAAGAGATAATGAATTGTGAGAGACTTGCGAGGATATTCTCCTATTCTCTGGTGTTGTTCTGGGAGTGAGCATTAGCCAGCTGAATTACACTTGTAAAAAAAAACTCATAGGAGACGAATGGTACTTACCATAACGGATAGTCCAGCTTGAAACCCATTGATCAAGCTGCTGACCGAACAATTCGAGTTGAGCTTTGAAGATCAAAGGGGTCCGAGCATGAATATCCGGTCCCAAAAGCTGAGTAACTTTCTCCAGTATCAGCACCAATTCGATTTGGCTCGAGATGCGTGTGTCGGTGATACTTTGGGGCATCGTTTTGAAGAACCGCTCCCAGTTGTTGACAGATGCCTGGACGCCGAAGCTGGAAGGTCTCCCATAAAGAATTGACATATGGTGATCACAAACAAAAAAGAGATACCACACGCGGAGGCAGGACAGTGCATCCTCATCACTAGTGAACTGAAACTTAGTGCCCGATCTCCGCTGCATTTGCTTGTCCCCGACCACAATTTCGAAAGAGTGTTCGAGCTGGAACTCAATGGCGCGGCGGATGGCAAGCCCAGACACGGACCAGGATATGTCGCTCAACCAAAACGACGCGATACACAAACCCTGAAAATCATGCACTGTCGCTTTCGGTGCAAAGACAAAGCTAGAAATTAGAGTGCGCAGCTCAAGGCTACAGATCTTGAACAGGGCCTCGCCATGAGGTTCATGTAGAGCTGAGACGGTGCAAATGGCCGTAAATAATAAAGGCGAGGCATGGCGAATACTCTCAATGCTATCGAATCCATGCAGTATGCCGTAAAGATAATAGTCCGTCTTGTTGAGAAACCTCATAGTCAATCGGAGCGCATCATTCCAGTCCAATTTGCCCTGCGAAACTATGTCTGAAAGCAAGCGGGTAGAGCCAGGGGTGCCGTTCGCTGAACCTGGTGGTGATAGTTGTCTCGGGCGTAGAGATCCTAATTGTGTGACTTCATATAGTGATTTTATAGGAACCTGGTTGAGAGGTTCGATAGAATCTCTAATGCCAGTGTCTTCACCCTGGGCGGTGGGTTCCATATTCTGAGGCTCATCTTGGTGTTGTTGCAGATCCTGAGACTCTGGAGGGGGAAGCCCTGCACCTGTGGAGATGCTGCTCAATGGATCAAGTGGCAGTTGTCTATTACTGGCAAGGATTTTGTTGACAGCGGCATGGAGCATCTGTAGGTCTTCTACGACCTTGGTCCTGTGGGCAAGCGTTAGCAAGCTGGCGTCTGGCAAGAAATTTAGAAGACAGTACAGTGGAGATCCTTGGAGTTCCTCGCTACTCGTGTCAAGCTGTGTTGAAGACCGTTTCCAAACACATTCAATATTGCGCTTCCTGCATCGTTGACACGGCCCTCGGCTATCTCGGAGAGAGCACCGTACCTTCAAAGAAGTCAGTAAGTAGTGTAACGTAAATCCGAAGAGAAATAGATTGTGTCTCATACTTTTTGCTGTCGACATGCCAAACATGCCTTTACTCGGCTGCTGCTGCTTTGGTATTGAGGTGTTGGCGGCATCGTGTGATCTTCACACCTTGGGTGTAAAAGTGTGTAAAAGGACGGTTGGAGATCTGTTTAGCCAGCTTCGCAAAAGATGTGCGGGGGCGGGGTCAGTCTAGTCTAGCCTGCCCACCAAAATCACAGTATTAGCGCCTTATTAATCATAGAAACAGCACTGCAATGATACCAACCAAGTTAGCCTGAGTTGCGGTTCACCTTCTCTTTAGTGGGATAATTTAAGGGAACATATTAATTACCACGGAAATTAAGGTAAAGACGCCGCGAGTTCTGGCTTTACGTGCGTATATTATATTGAATATTGTAGAAATACGGAAATAAAACATCATTTTGATAGCCACTCTACATCATCGCCGAGATATAGATGCGCTCTAAGGTCACCCGAGCGAGCATGACCTTCAAAATTCTCGGCGCGGGAAGCACGTCCACAGAGCCTACCCAGTTCACCACTTTGGGATGCTGAAGTAACCTCCTGATAGGTAACCGTCTTAAGGAACTTCCCGACCCATAAGCCTCCTGTGAAACGACCTGCCTTCTTAGTGGGAAGCACGTGGTTGGTGCCGATGACCTAGTCTCGAGATTAGAATTGCAGTTCTTTCCAAATAAAGCAGGGAAAGGGAAATACCTTGTCTCCGTATGACACGCAGGTCTTCTCGCCGAGGAATAAAGCCCCGTAGTTGGACATTTTCTTCAAAGCTTCGCGGGGGTTCTCGGTCAGAATCTGAACGTGTTCGAAGGTATAATCATCTGCTAGTTTATACGCTTCATCCAACGTCTCAACAAGAACAACCTCGCCAAATCTGTCCCATGAAACAGAAGCTATGGGTGCTGTTGGGAGTATTTTAAGAAGGCGATCTACCTCTCTGATAGAGGCCTCGCCAACCTCCCTTGAAGTCGTGATAAGAACAGCTGGGGAATCAGGACCATGCTCTGCTTGAGAAAGAAGGTCGACGGCAACGGTAGTTGGATCAGCTTTATGGTCAGCAACAATAAGAACCTCTGTCGGGCCGGCGGGGAGATCTATTCCAATGTCTCCAAACAACTGACGTTTTGCCTCGGCGACAAACGCGTTTCCAGGGCCGGCTATGAAGTTGGCCTTGGGCATCGTCTCGGTTCCAAGAGCCATTGCCGCGATGGCTTGAACCCCGCCGAGAATCCAAATTTCATCAGCGCCGGCGTGATGCATCGCTGCTACCGTTGAGGATGGAATTTGTCCATTAATTGGGGGCGTGCAAGCGACAACTTTGGGCACACCGGCGACCTTGGCAGTGAGGATTGTCATGTGAGCGGATGCAAGTAGGGGATATCTTCCACCTGGAATGTACCTTTTAAGATCAAGGTTAGCAAGTGAAGTTTGACTGTGTGAATGAACATAGTATCTTACGCGCCGACACAGTCAATGGGGATGTTTTTGTGGCCGAGATGCACTCCAGGGCTGATCTCAATTTCCAGGTCCGTAATGGTGCCTCTCTGCGCTTCCGCAAATGTGCGTACATTATGCTGAGCCGTCTTGATGTCGGCTATAATTTGCTCAGGCACTGTGGAAATAATCTCGTCGATTTGAGACTTCGACAGCCGAAAGGAGGCTGGCGACCACTTATCAAACTTCTCGGAGTATGAGCGAACAGCTTCATCACCTCGAGCACGGATGTCATCAATCACGCCTTTGACGATGGCCGGCACATCCAAAGTTTGGGCGTCTCCGTTGGTTTTCGGAGAAGATCCAGTCTTGAGAAATTCAGGCATTTTTAGTGATAAAATAAAGTATTCGTTTGATTGAGAAATTCGATAATGAAGCGAGGGAAGATCGCATTGTTTTTATCAACCGTACGGGTGTGTTAAATACTCCTCGAGAGGGGTAATGGACCATCACATTTTCAATTCCATACCTAATAATACACGTTCTTCTCTCGCAAATGAGAGTACTCAACAGATCTTCGTTGCATTTGGGGGGATCGGAAATCCGACATGTGCTCCGTCACTTGGTTGCGTGATCGGGCTTCGGGGTGGAACTCCGGTAAACTGCCCGACACTGCTTGTCCAAACCAGAACAAATGGAAATCGTTATCCTGGGCCAATGCCCGAGATGAGGAAGGGAAATATACAGCGCCATTTCCAAATTTGGCATATCACAATCGTCAATGATGTTCAATACGGCCAAGTCGAGTCTCACATGAACCAGGATGGCTGATCAAAATTTCATGGTTCATAATTGATTTCCCTTCTAAAAAGGTTCAATTCTTGGTCAATATTCATATATTCCAAACGTGAAGACGTGAATACTAGATAATATCAACTTGTGCAAAATTGGAAAGTTCCGATAACCGAATCATACAACTTGCTCCATCAATGGTATCCATCCCTTGACGCTTCCATTAATATGTTGCCGCTGGCAAACTGGGATATATTCCCACCTTAAAAAGAAAAGAAATTGAAAATGCATCATAACACCGTTGCACCATGCTTTCATGTCTTGCATATTTACATAATCCTCCCGATATTCATTCGTTTCGTTCAAGTGAGACGGGTATCTTCAAGATATCCGAATCCCGTGGGCCGGTGCCGTCCAGCAGACCTCAGCCACGGGTCGTCAAGCAGCTCCTTGGCCGACGCACGTTGCTCAGGAAGCCAGGTCAGCATCTTCTTCGCAAAGTTGATGAACAGAGCGCGCTCTTGACCGTCAAGCATGGGGGTCGAGTTGGAGAGGCTGGACATCTCATCAGGGATGAGTTCTGGGTGCTTGAAGACTCCTAAAAAAAAAAGGCCGTTAGCACGAGATACTTCAGAATCTTTAGCGGGGAGAGGGGGAATCATTGGTCTCGACGTACCTTGATCGTTGTAGAACTCAGAAAGGGCGTCCCGGTCGGCTCTGGCAAGGAGCTCAGCGGGTGGGGGACCAAGAAGGCGAATCATCTGGGCAAAGCGATTCTTCTGGGAGAATCTGCAGTATCCAGGAACACGACCACTCAGCAGGTTGTTATCGCCGAGCAATTCCCAAAGCTACCGAAAATCTATCAGTAAACGCCACTTTATCTCGCCATACTCAAGATATTACTCACCACAAGACCAAGGTTCCAGATATCAGCAGAGTATGACCAGCCTGCCTTGAGAAGAACCTCGGGGGCAACGTATTCTCGGGTTTGGATCAAATGGGTATGTGGCTGTGCTACATCTCCTCTCACGGAATGGCCAAAGTCTGTGAGCTTGACGTTGCGAACATCCCCTCTAAGATGGCCGAAACTTTGACGGGAAGCGTAGACGGGACGTCCGTTGCGCTCCTGGCAGGGCGCGGGGTTGGTCAATTGACGCTTTACATAGTCGTCCAGGACACCAGAGTCCTCAAACGGAATCATGAAATGGTTACCGGTAAGGTCTGGGTACAGAGTATGTGAGCCAAGTCCAGCGACGGAACGGGTGAGTGAACCTACTAGTATGAATGAGACGGCACTCCGAGTGAAGGAAGTCGAGGGCCTTGAGCATGCTTGGAAGCAAAGCTTTGATGGTGTTGGCCTGGACCAGGCTCGTGAGGCCGCTCTGCTGGCCAAGCATCCAGACAGGCTGGCGCAGAGCTTCGTAGGTCATGCAGATGTGTGATCCTTCAGGGCCCTCGACCTCAAATGAGTCAAGGACGGGGCGGATATATTGGCGGCCTGGATGGGTGGTCTCCGCGGCAAGGAATTGCTCAGAAACAGCAAGCTCCTGACGAGCTCTCTCAAGAACATTGGGAGTGTTGTTTGTGATCTTGAGCGCCACATAATGTTCATTTTGCCATGGGAGCCTGAGCGCGACATATGAGTTAATCTACACATTAGAGAGACAATGGAGGCAAGGGAGGTCCTCTTACCAGTGAGTTGCTCTTGCGAGCCAGACAGTAGAGCCGGTGCCCCATCCGAGCTTGGACACAAGCTCATATTTACCGCCGTGAAGAGTGTCGCCAATGTGAGCCGGGTAATAATCCTTGGGATTATAATTCCGGGACCGTTCCTCCTCAAAGGGGCGAGGTGAAGTATGGCTAGAGAGCTTTCTCAATCCTACAGCGCATCCTTTAGTAGCAAAGCGCTGGTTGCGGAGGAGAGTTCGGCCGAGTGCCGGGGTTACAAGACCGTAACGCATCTTGGTTGCTGATAAATGAAGGTTATCGCAGGGAATATTGTCCTTGAATATGGATAGTAATGTCGCTTGAGGTTCCGGTATCGGGATTGGTCTTATATGCTCCAAGCAGTAGGAGGACGTTTATATAAGCCCAGGCCTGCCGCAATAATGGAGTTTGGGGCCAATAGTCACACGAGCATACGAGTATCAAGTGTAAGAAGGGAAAAGGGTAGCAAAAGTGAAATGGGTGGGAGGTGGTGGGAGGCGGCCATCTTAATACGACGGGGCAAGACCTGCGTCTTTTTGCCTATTCGTTCAAATGGAATGCCTGAATGACAATAGTACGTAAATGAATTATACACGCTGCCTACATGGCCGTACTCGTGGCCACTTCCGTACCACAGAACAGCCTGTCTCGGGGTATGTCGGTTATGCTTCGAGTGTCAGGCCGGGCAGACGGAACTGGAGCCCACACGCGACTCACAGTCTCGGTACAGCCAAAGAAGAAACGACAGGGGAGCCGACGCACTATGCAAGACGTTTGGTGGAGGTCCCCGGGGGGCTCCGCATCCAGGTGGAGTGAGCTGTGGGAGACAATCAGGCCACCTCACGAGGATAATTCCCGTTGAGGCCGGGGGCCAGAGGGTGAGTGTTCATTTTCCTTTTCCCCAGCCGGCCCAGACCAGACTAGCGAGTAGGTCAGGAGGAGAATAGATGGAGGGGCAGCCATCGATTCGTCCCCCCAGCGGCTAGGTACAAGCACGAAGGAATACGGGGGGGTGTTGGTGAGGTAGTTTCTGATGATTCATTAGAGCTGGAAGACGTCGCACCCAGTCCAACCGAGCGTCCAAGCGAAGGGCTTCAGGGCTGATTCCCTCATCTGTCTTTATTTCTCATAATAACCTCAGCGCTAGTCCGATCGTCAGGTCCCGCCCGCAGCAAACATCAACATTCACTCAGGGAGCATACCCAAATATTGTGTCTCTTTGGGGCCCCGCAAGGAGAATGACTCGACTCCTGGGCGCGTGCCTCCAGGTGCGGGGAACCTGGGGGCCAAGCTGCTCTTCGTTCAGTCGTGAGATCAGATGGGTGAATGCCTGACTTGAAACCAGGATTCTCCGCGTTTTCCCGATGGCACATACACCAACCAGGGAGCCAGCAGAGATTCGTGGTGGACAACGGTGCCTAGACCATCCCCAGACCTGTCCCCTTGACGGATTCCTCCGATGGGCATTTGTTGAGCGGTCAGGAGACTGCCGCTAGTAACATGCCGACACTTGGAGTGTACAACAGTAGGTGATGCGCCATAGCGACGAGAACTTTATCGTCGTCAAGGTAGGGTCAATCACGAAGACGGGTTCGCCAGGAGCCCTCACATTCATGGAAGCCGCCATTCTATATATCCTCGCCCCCTATTCAGTGTGACCATATTATACATCCTAAAGAAGGGCTTTTTCTTATTCAAATCTAGATCGTGAATGTCCCATGAACAAATCCGCTTCGCGTTCCAGGCGATTGCTTGCTGCATTAGAGACAACGTAAACAAACAATTTCCTCAGGCCAGATTTTAGCACTTGAATATTTGCATTGGATTTTTAATTTTTTGTTATTGAATTCAGATGGTAGGAGGATTCAATCATCGCACTAATATTGAATTGAATTGATGTCGTATCATCTAGATACGTCTTGATGATCAATTTTATCTGCTTCACTTTAGCATCACTTTCCTGAAATGACAGCACCCCCAAATACTTCACCGTAGTACAGCGAGAATCACTCGATCGCTAAAGAATTTCTTGGTTCAGGGTCCAACCTCTGTTTAGCATCAAGCTTTGCGTCTGCAGATTCCTGGGCCAAACCTTCTGCATCAAAGACTGCTCGTATCCGATCTACGATCCACGTAGCAAGCAAAAAGCTTACCCCAAACCTTCTTTCCTGGAGGTTTGTGGACTTTGTTGTATAATAATACTGCTGCCTACCCACGATCATCTCCTGCGTCTTCGTACCCTACCTACGCCCTCATCATCAAATTCGGCCTCACTAGAAGCCACGTACGATACATAGGTGGCTTCGCAACTTCTTGGGCATTCCCTTTTGCAATTGTGTCTAGCTCTTATTCGGATTCTCGAGATATGATCTTAGAAAATCTCTCGCTGTCACTCTCTAAAATGAAAAGTGCCTCGGAAGATTTGTGCTCCGACGACGTGGACGAAAGTCCATATCATTTACGGATATTGGCCGTCACTCTTTTCATCCCCATTTGTTTCCTATTCATATCTTTGGCGTGTTTTTGGTTCTTTCCTTGTTTAGCCATCTTGTTTTGCGCCTCCTGCATAATTCTTCCTGGGGTTATCGCAACTCTCTCGTCTACTTTCAATATTCGGCCTTTCACCACCCTTTGCTTGTTAATCTCCATGCCTCTTGGCCTAAGTCCAAGCGAGAAGGATGAATACCTACAATGAGAAATCCGGTCAGCAATGTCCTCAACTGCACTGGGCCCGTTTGGTTTCCCATGCTTGGCCCGGACAACCAACAAGGAACGAACATTCCCATGAACAGGGGCTTTGTCTGACTAGACACAGCGGGGGTCAGAATCAAGCGGCGCATCAAAAAGCTACCTCGTATCTAAGCAGGCCTTTACATACCATCTACACCAAGGGTCAGAGAGCGCATTGGAATCGGCGAACAACACTTTAACACAAAGGGTGCCAAGAGTTCCTCTCCTCAGGAACTTCTGCTCACGCAATGGGCCAGCGAAGCGTCCTGAGAGAAATCATTTCCCTTTTGAAAAGGGCCACGGAATACCATTTTGGAGCGATATGCAACGGCCGACTCTTAAGCATATCATACGAGTATCAGCATATAGTATCGACCAACCACCAGGCAGTGGTGCGGCCTATCTGAGTGATCTTTCGATTATGTGGAAGAGCTTTTCTATCTTCGCCGATGGGACTTTTACTTACAAGAGGTAGCAGATATACAGGAGCTGAACTTGGCAGCAGGAAGCAGTGCGAAAATTTCAATTAGTCTACCTTTGTAACTAATTCAGATTCCACATAACCCTGTACCGAGATGATAGAAAATCTCCCATCCTAAATCTAAGCTGGAATGGTCGCCAGAAGCTCCTCGCGCTCCCTCTTCAACGCATCCTCAAAAGGCGTAAACGGAATCCCAAACTCCTCCTGCACCTTGCCAATCTTCTCGAAGATGGCGCTGAAGTCCTTGGCGTTCGTGAAAAGGTGGAAGCGCTGAGCAAACTCGGTGGCCTTTGTCGCCTCGACCTCGGCGGGCGTGCGCTTCCTCAGACGCACCTCCCTGCCGCTGACCCGCGCGACAATGTCCCTCGCCTCCCTGACCGTGAGCGGCTCGTGGCTGAGCTCAATCTCCTTGCCGTTGAACTTGTCCGGGTTCTGCAGGGCCGCGGCGGCGTACTTGCCGATGTCGCTGGCGTCCGTGTGGGGCATCCTGGCGTCCTCCTCGTAGGAGTGGACGAGCTCGCCCGTGGTAGAGATGCCGGGGAAGTTGTGCTCGGCGCTGGCCCCAAAGTAGTTGAAGTGGATGAAGGCCGGCCGGAGGATGGTGTACTTGAGGCCGCTCCCGCGGACGGCGTCCTCGATCGAGGCCTTGGAGGCGTAGTAGGTGTGCAGGCCGATGTCCTTGGTGACCTCGTCATCCCACATGTGTCTGTGCCCCGTGCCGAAGGTCGTGGTCGCGACGATGGACTCGGCGCCGACCTTCTTGCAGGCCTCGACGACGGTCTTGGCCTGCTCGGTCTCGATGCCGGGGATGGGGAAGGTGTTGAGGAAGGCGCCCTTGCAGCCCTGGGCGGCGCGGGTGATCTCCTCCAGGTTGTTGGTGTTGCCCTGGAAGATGGTGACGCCTGGCTCCTTGAGCACCTTGGCCGTCACCTTTGCCGGATCGCGGACAACGGCGTGGACTTTGGCGCCTGCTGCCAGGAGGTGCGTGATGGTCCATTGGCTCTGGTGGCCGGTGGCCTGGGTGACGAGGTAGGTAGCCATGATGTATGTTTCTTAGGTGAAGAGAATAGATAAGTGATACTGAACTTGAGAGTGAGGAACTGGTTGATTGTAAGTGAAGCTGGTGTGTGAATTCCACTGAACTCAGAGGAAACGGCCAGTCTTTATACTGAGAGGTCCATCGGGATTCACTCGATCGGACTTGCCTCGCCATATTAATCATGCGCGTATAAACATCACCGAAACCCTCAGAAAGACCAGCAGCCATCACCGGCGTGCCTCCAATGACATGATGACTGCCGCATCTGGCCTGGCCCATCAAAGTCCGCCGTGTGGGGCCGGTCCGTGGCCCCTTTTCGATCACCAGATGACAAATGTCGGATTTCCAAGACTCGGAGAAAGTTGCACCTGGTGGGTCTGGCGATGGTCCAAGGGGCCGCCTTTCCAATGATAAAGCGCCGGCCGCCCAGCCCCAGCTCAAGCAACTTTGCCCGAGCTTCTTCAGTTTCTAAGCCTGCGTGCTGAATCCCGATCGCGAAGCCTCAAGAACCCAGTCGTAATTCCGCCTCGATCTAGGCCTTCCCTCGACGGAGATAGCAAATGTCCGCCGGCATGACGCATCAGAAGAAGAGCTGCTGGACGTGCAAAGGTTGGTCTACGTGTATACATACATCCTTCGGCGCAGGTGGGATGTTGACCGCTGGTGGTTTGTAGCGCGGAAAATCAAGTGTGATCGGGGCCTGCCTATGTGCCAGAGGTGTGCTCGATCAGGCCTGGAATGCCAAGGATATGCTCCTCGCCTGTCGTGGCCCAGAGACAATGACAGGAAGCGCACCATGTCGGTCGCGGTGCCGTCGTCGAGGGCGAGCTTGCGCAGAGGGTCCAAGGTCCGGTTCATCAACACAACCGCAAAGGACATCGAATTGTATCGGCACCTGGCATATCTGAGCCTCCAGCAACCCCATTTCCTGGTCCGGCCGACGCCAAGTTTGCTCAAGAAGCCGCAGTTCGTTGTGAGAAACATGGATCTAGTTCACTACTGTAAGCTCCCGGACGCAGCATGCTTCTACCGCTGAGGAATCCCGCCAGGCTCACATCCATGTGTCCCAGTCCACGCAGACGCGCATCTGTCGCTGGTAGCGTTCAGCCCCAACACGGCAGACATCCGAGATGCGTTGATACGCATGGCCTTCGCGAGCGATACAGACGCCGGGCGCGCCCTTCTCTACGCACTCCTCGCCGTCTCGGCGCTGCGTCGCAGCGGCTTTCACGAGGAGACGCTTCGGTTCAAGGTGGCAGCTCTACATGCGCTTTCTAAATCTTCCGGCGTCGCCAGCTTAGGCACGACGGAGTCTGTTCAGCATGTGGCCGCGTGCATGCTCCTAGGAGCCTTCGAGGTACGTCTTTGAGACAACGTGTCCAGCGCAAGGGAATCAATCCGGCTCATTTGACCAAAACGCAGATCTTATTACCTTCAGATAGCTCAGGGGAATGGATTTGGTACATCAGAGGAGCGATGGACATCATCCGCGAGACTCAACTGACAATGGTGGGAACGGAAGCAGACATCAACATTCTTCTAGACTGGACATATTACCATTACTCTCTCTCAACGTTCACCATCAGCCATTGGAGGAATAAGGCCGTCATTCTGGACTCCTCCCCCAACCCAACCGTTTGCGAACCAGTAGGTGGGAAGGACACTCTCGTGGCCATTGACAAACAGGTGTGTATCCGTACCAAACGTGGTGGAGTAAGAATGCCGTCTTTTGGTGTCTCGACTAATCCCACCCGTAGCTATTTCGCTCCCCAAACCCCACCCACGAGATCTTGAATCTTCTCGCGGAAGCATGCGACACGCTGCTCTCCAGATCAGATCCGCGGAGCCAAGAGGAGGGCTACAAGAACCAGCTAAAACAACTCGAGCATCGCATCGAGAGCATACCCGTCACGCCGGACATGAGCACCGACGGCGCCGAGCTCTCCGGCCTCATCAAGCTGTACAAGCTCTCCACGCTCATCTACGTCATCCGCGCAGGCCAGACCACCTGGGAGGCCACGACGCGGCTGGACAACCTGGTGAACCGCGCGTTCCAGGTCCCGATCGGGCAGCCGGGTTGCTACCACTTCTTCCCGCTCTTCATCGTGGCCTGCGAGGCGCGGACCGACGAGCAGCGGGCGGCGGTGCTGGACCTGATCGCGCGGACGGAGAGGAACTCGTTCATGCGCAGCATGAAGATGCTCAAGGCTGGCATCGAGGCCATCTGGGTGCAGAGGGACCTGCACGCCGACGAGGATCTGCTGATGAATTACATGGATTTGATGAATGTCGTCATAAGCTCGAACTCGACTCTGCCTTCTTTCGTGTAACTGCTTGCCTAGTATCGGAGTAGATCTGAGGATCATACCAACTTGGTTTACTGACCTCACGAAAATTCGAAAATTGAGAGTATACTCATCACAAACATATTTAAGGAAATTTTCTATTATATCGCACGAATATAATACAATTACCATCCATCATGTTTCCTCAGCCTCTCTCTTCCTCACATCCTCGATTAAATCAGCCCAACGAAGCCACTTCATATAAGCACACTGTAGAACCGCCGTCAGCAGCAATCCGCATCCGTACCCCATCCAGAGCCCATTCAGCTTGAGATAAGGGGCACCCAGCTCGAGCCACAGGGCCAATGGAACAGCGCCGAGGTAGTTAACCAACATGACGACCCAGGCCGAGACAGACTGACGGGCCAAACCGCGCATCATACCATTGCAGCCACAGCTAATGGCATCCAGAGTGTGGAAGATCGATACTGTGAGCATCGACCCCGTTGCAATCTCCCGCACAGCCCAATCTTTGGAGAATACAAAGGCCAACTCGTTTCGCAACACGAATAGCAGCGTGCCAACTAGAAGGCCAGTACCCACGAAGACGATCGAGTACATGACAGCTGCCCGCCGAGCCAACTGGACGGCTCCCGCTCCTATGAGGTTCCCGATACGGGTCGTGACGGCAATGCTGATGGAGAAGGGGACATGCCACATGATGATTGCCACCGTCACGAGAACAGACTGCGCCGCCAGATACTCGGTGCCAATGTAGGACGTGCTCACGCACAGAATCTCAAAGGCCATCCACTCAGCCAAAATGACGATGGATCCGGCGACGGAGAGACGCACCATCGGGCCCCATTCACGCAGAGCACTCCTTGACCATCCTCCCCAGCACTCGTGGGACCACTTCCTGAAGAAGACGATGAGGCCCAGCAGCAGGATCGGGCGAAGGTTATTAGCCAACGCCTGTCCCAGCGCAGCCCCATGCAGCCCCATGCCAAGCTTGATGGCGAAGAGCCAGCTGAGCAGAGCATTGACCGGTGCGCACAGTATCAAGACGAGCAGAGCCGTGTTGAAGTCGCCCTGGGCCTGCAGAAACCGCTTCCCGGCCTCGAAGAACGCATACCCCGGCAAGCCCGCGACGCTGACCCGCAGGAAGGCGCTGGCCTTGACGGGGAGGAACTCCTGGCGCACGACCAAAGGAAGAATCCAGGGCGCGCACAGCCACAGCGCGCCGACGGGCACGATGGCGACGGCCATGAGGAGCAGCATGCGCTGGATGTGCAGGCCGACGCCCGTCCGGTGACCGGAACCGTAGGCCTGGGCGCAGAGGGTGTCGAGCGCCGTGGCCATGCCCTCGAAGAGCGCGAAGCCGGGGATGGCCATGGCGGTGAGGCTGATGCTGGCGGCGGCGAGGTCCTCGGCGCCCAGGCGGCCGGCGACGATGGTGGTGATGACGTTGGAGGAGTATTGGAGGAGGTAGGTGATGATGAGCGGGCCGGCGGAGCGGCACATGAGCCAGAACTCGGACTTCCATGTGAATGCTCCCTCGTCGTCGAGCTTGCCGGGGCGGTCGTGGCTTCGAGGTGCGTCGGGCAGCAGGGGCGACGTCTCGTTGGGACAGCCGTCGCCATGGCTGCTGAGGCGGCGGTTGCTCGTGTCGGTTCTCTGGGTGCTCATCGTGAGATCGTGTGCGATGGATCGGTCATTGGGGTGCAATGGGAGGAATCAATTGGGAGCTCCTCGATCGGTCGCGTTGGAGGATGAATGTGCGGATGGAGCATTGCTGGGCCAAGGGAGGGGTATGCCGCGTCTCAGGAGAACGCGCAAAAGGCCATGTGTAACATTCCACTAGAGCAGTCAGTCAAAGATGGGGGAAAACTTGAGGTATAGCAGAAATTAGAGTTTGGCCTCCAAAGGAGCCAGACGATAAAGTGGTGGTTGGAATGGTGATCCTGATAGTTAATTGGCATGAACCTCCGCCGTTATTGGCACATATTCTTCACACAAAGTATGCCATGAAATCGAAAATCATTGTGCTCAATCAGCAACAGAGCGAACGAGGGGTTCTTCAAGCATCAAACCCTGGTAAAGGTGACGTGATGCATCTTGGTGCGGGACGTCATGAACTTAAACGCCTCCTAAGCTTGACGTAGCACAGAGGGAGCTCCCGAAGGGGGTTTGGTACCGCGTGGCAGAGCTACGGCATTGTATCAGGGAGTTTTGAGGATTGGTACCCATGTTACATCGAACATGGATGCCCTCGACTCGGCCAGAATCAAGTCTGCATATCGCACATCCCAGTATGCAAGAAATGAAAATACTGTGCACGAGCATCGAAGGCTCTTGCACAGGATCGTCCGGTCAGCACCCCTCTCAGGGTTGCAGCCCTTGAATGCTCAGACTTGTGTTTTACATCAAATCCTGCCCCAACTGCAACAACCGACAACTGCCGAGTCACAGCTTCTCGTGACTCTTGTCTGGGGTATTTTAGGCCGGGGGCCAGTGAAATGCCTGGCTTCCGAGCAGGGAGCAGGGGGTATCCAGCCGCCCATGTTGTGCTCGGCTTCTTGATAGGCTTCTGGATGGTGTGATATGTCGAGTGACGGAAGGGCACTGGCGGTCAGCACCCTCTGATGGACTCCTATCCAGCAGCTATGGTGTGCTGATTGGGTGTCTTTGCATGTTACACTCGAATACTCCACGGCCACTGGGACCCAAGAGAGCGTGGTCAGCCCCGCGTCAACATGGCCAGCAAGGATGCGTAGCGTGAGACTCCAGACTCCGGGGCCACAAGCTTGACCAGAGAATGACTAGATAGAACAAGAGCCATGTTATTTCTGGAAAATTAACCCGCCCGCCTGTCGGCAACGAGACCGAAAACTCACAGGCGTCAAATCAGACAGCTAAACCAAGGCTGGCCAGATCGATCGCCGGCCAACTAAGAGACCAGCCGACATGTGCTAGGTTGCTGGCCACAGAGCACGTGTGTCGAGAATCCTAAGCTTGGGAGGGCTTTTCCTCGATGTGTTTCAGTCCGAGTCGTGTACTAATGTACATAAGCGCCCGTTGGGGGAGTGGCCGGGGTCTAAGCTGTGCCCAGCCTATGCAGAGTGATAGGAGGTGTGCTAGCCAGGGTGATGGCTGGGACGGTGGACAGTCATTGTAGCCGGGCATTTCGAAGAGAAAAAAATGAAGTTGAGTTGATGCAGATACTGCCGGTGAGGTCGGTCTGTGTTCTCGGCCATGGATATGTATGCATCGTGTTCCTCAGATACCGAGAACCAACAGGCCAAAATGCGCATCACCCACGGCCAACAGCAGCAAGAAGACGACTAGCATGGGTCGGATGGCTTCCAGGCTTCTCACCCCTGTCGTCCCTCATCACTCACTGGCAAGTCACTGCCATCAGTCTCCTCAGTCGTGTGAGTAGAGTGGACCAGCGGAGTCCAAGTGCCGCTGCCATTGGCGCCCAAACCGCTGCTGTTCCCAAAACGGGTGTCAATAGAAGCCGATAAACACCATCTTATTGACCACCTCTTTGGGAATGCGGCATTCTCAGGGCCTCACCCCTCGCTGCAAATCAGCCTCTGGCCACGCTCCAGCCGTCCAAACAGCTCGCGCAATGACGGCAGAGCCCCATCAGACCCTGTGCGACTGGACCGCATTCAGAAAACTTCACGACCAACAGCATAACCATCATCCATCAGGCTCGCCTGCTTCCTCGCCGCCGCCGCCCATTGTTGCCCTCCTGCCCGCCCGCCGCCAGCTCGCAATTTAATCTGTCCTTGGCCCTTCTGCCTCTCTGCTCCTCTGGACCGCCGCTCCAGACCACTCCGGATGTCGTCCTCAGCCCCAGCTCCATCCCCCACCATCCCCGAGCACCGTCGTGGCTGTCGTCGTAGGTTGCTCGCGCAGAGTCCAGCAGAGCATCATGAGAATCGCCTGTCTCCAGTTCGCCCCCCAGGTCGGTGATGTCGACAACAACCTCAACCGTGCCGACGCCGTGCTGAGCAAGGCAACCCCCGACGACTTCGACCTGCTTGTGCTCCCCGAGCTGGCCTTTTCCGGTATGTGTGCACCCGAGCACAGCATCTTCCTGCTTTTCCCCTTTCTTTGTGTGCCTTTGTGCGCTAGTGAGGCTGACTCTGTTCCCCCTCCGTTCGCTCAGGCTCCAACTTCGAGTCCTTGCAGCACATCTCCCCTTTCCTCGAGCCCTCTGGGTCGGGAATCACCTCGCTATGGGCCCGCACCGTCGCTCTCAAGTTCGAAAGCACTGTCATCGTCGGATACCCCGAGAAGGTGGACGTTGCGAGCCGGTGGCCCACGGGCCCCGAGTACTACAACTCCGCCATCGTCATCAACGAGGACGGCGACACCATCGCCAACTGCCGCAAGACCTTTCTCTACCCCACCGATGAGACGTGGGCTCTCGAAGGCGAGGGCTTCCACGATGGCTTCCTCCCCAACGCGGGGCAGACTGCCATAGGAATATGTACGTCCCCTTCACTTGTGACTGCCAATTCTCTCGTCGCCAGCTGCTAATTCTGTCCTCGACGCAGCGACGGATATCAAGTAAGACCCGATGTCCCTGCCATGCCACCCACACCCTCTAACGAAGTGTTCCCAGCCCCTACAAGTTCCAGGCGCCCTTCCACGCCTTCGAGTTCGCGTTCCACGTCCTCCACGCAGAGTGCAACCTCGTCGTCCTGACCATGGCCTGGAAGACGGGCGAGGACGCCCGCCTGTTCAGCCGGACCCCCAACGAGCCGGACATGGATGTGCTTGGGTACTGGGTCGCGAGGCTGGAGCCGCTCATCCGCGCCGAGTCCGAGGAGGAGATCATCATAGTCATCTGCAACCGGTCGGGGACCGAGGACGACGCGGTCTACGCCGGCTCCAGCGCCATCCTCGGCGTCCAGAGCGGCGAGGTCAAGGTGTACGGCTTGCTCGGCCGCGGTGACAGGAAACTGTTGGTCGTTGACACGGACCAGGCGCCGTACGCCAAGCTTCAGCATCGAGCCTTGCCGAGCGACTCGGAGTCCACGACGCCCAGGTCGTCGTCGCGCCAATCTTCCGGGTCCAAGCAGCCGTCTGAGAGCTCGCACCATCGCGCAGCCACGCCGTCATCTCCAGCAATGGGCCGTGAGAGCAAATCCAAGGACTACTCGCCGTATACGTCGCGGCCAACTTCCCCTCGGCAAGACTCGGTGTCATCGACAAAGAGCCAGGACTCCAGGGCGTACAGCTCGGCCTCATCTACCAAAGGCAAGGAGCAGAGGGTATACAGTCCTGTCTCATCTAGAGAAAAGGACCAGAGATCGTATACCCCAGTCTCTTCAAAGAGAGACAAAGACCCAACTTCGTATAGCCCAAGACCATCACGCAAGGAAAAGGAGACCAAGTCCAGCCCAAGAAAGCCCACCCCGAACCCTGGAGCAAAGCCCGACCTGGGGGTTTACACCTCACTCGACGAAGTCGTCCGGTCTAGCCTGGGGGACAAGGAGCCAGGCTCGCCCTCGTCTATCAACTCCAACAACTATCTTGACCCCAACGAACGAGACAGCCTGAGGCAGGACACCCCTGTGGTCCGATTCCCCGACAAAACCTCGTCCAACCCATTCTCTCAGAAGCAGATCTACAGTGGCCAGGTCTCCATATCCTACGTAGAGGAGGGCCGCAGCCCCGTGACGCCCTACGACGAGAACCGCCGCGCCTACTGGAGCAACTACAAAGTCCCCGCCGCCGCCTCCATGAAGCCCCAGGGCCACCGCATCAGGGGCAGCTCGGGCTCAAAGGGCAACACCCCCGACCCGGACCAGCGCACCGTCCGCGGATCACCGCGACCCAACAAGGAGCACCACCACGCCCGCAGCGAGAGCAGGGACACGGATGACAGGCGCACCGGCCGGCCCCTCGAGAAGGTCGTCTCCGCCGACCCGCCGTACACATACACCCCTCCCCCACCGGTCGACAGGCCGTCCTCGCCCAAGTCGCGCAACGCAAGCCGCTCTCGCACCGACGACGCCGCCGCGAGCGAGCCAGTCCGGCGCAACATCTCGACGCCCAACCGCGCGGACACGGCGAGCGCCAAGCCCGAGATGGCGCTGCGGCTCAAGGGCCAGCAGCAGCGGCCCGGCAGCCGCTCCCGCGAGGCGATACCCATCGTCGCGAGCCCGAGCCTCTTTGGGCGCTTCGACCCCGAGGGGGAGCCCGAGGCCGCTGCTGAGCCGCCGCCGGCCGCGGATGCTTCGTCGTCCCGGAGGAGGGAGATGTCGCCGAGCTACCGGCACAGCGTCTCGCTCTGCGACGGCCTGGCGCTGGAGATGCTCCCCGGCACCACCACGGCCGGCGGAGGGGGCGGTCGTTCGACGGTCATGGGCCACCTGGAGCGTGTGGGAGGCTCCATCACGGCGCGGGGGTCCAACGCCACGCCCAAGCTGGGCGGCGGGTCGGCGACTCCTGATCCGTATGGGCGAGGCAAGGCGAGGAAGCCGACTCCGCGACCGCAGGCTGGTGATGCGGAGGGGGGAGGCGAGGATGATGGGGATACGGGGAAAGGGTCTGCGTCCACGTGAAGGGGGAACGGGACGGTGTACAATGATGATGTGCAATGATGATGTACAATGGAATGAAACGTATCTTTGAAGGATATTTAACGAAAATAACGATGAGATACCCCCATAAAAGATAATTTGTTAATCATGGCCGGGCAGCTGGGCGGGCGAGCTCAGCGGTTTCTCGCTCAGCCAGCATGTCTAGTGTCAATCCAGGCGTGGCTCAGACAACTGCATGCGTTTCCGGGCGTCTTGGATAAATCGCCAACCTCTTAGAAATAAATGAAGCCTTCCGCTACGATCTGTACGGCCTTGAACGGGGTGGTATCCCATCCTGCTATGAGTGAAGATGACGGGTCGCTAGCATTCTAGCCCGGGCACATGCGCTATAGTCGCTGCCGTGACTTATTTAGCTGATAAATATGTAGAAGGTTACCCAGAGTCAATACATCAAGGCCGGTGTTGGGATCTTGGAGGTCGATGGTGGGTGCTGAATCCAAATTGAGGCTCCACGACGCGCCACCGTGAGCGGATACGACACGACAAATGATGAAATCACGCGAGCACGAGGGGAAGTAATAAAAACCGGGAGCTATCTATCCATAAACGATGAATGATTACGGGTCCCTAGAGCCAACAGCGTAGCTAATGTGGTGCGTGTCCACCTCACACTTGGAATGCATGGGTCGAACCAACTGCATAATGCAAGACTGGAGCTAGCTTCATATGACAGCCGAGGACCATCTACCTACCTAAACAAGCGGACCGGCTCTACGATGTTATCATACACTTCAATTTAAGGCTGGATACTCTTGGAATTTGTGAAAAGAAAATGGTATCGTATTGAGTGAGTAGTATATAGTATTATATTTAAGCATTTGGAGGATATCCACCGAGACCGTCCGCATCCTTGTAGCAGTAACCGAGAGAGAGACACAATATCGTCTTTAAAAGTCTAACAAATCCACAGCATTAAGAAGAAGCCAGCAGGGGGCAATATTACTTGATGGCCATCAAGACCATCGCCCTACTTGCTCCACTTAAGAGAGGGTGGAGGGATCGTAGCCCCAGCGGGGAGCGTTGATGATGATGCCGCAGAGGCAGCCAGAGACGATACCAGCGATGGGGAGGGTGACGATCCAGCCCATGTAGACCCAGGCGACCATGCGCCAGTTGATGGATCGCCAGGTACCGGAGCAGAGACCAACTCCGACGGTAGCACCGGTGATGCACTGGGTGGTGGAGACGGGGAGCTCTGTAGTTTCAATGGTCAGCACAGGTTGGAGTTCAAGGTGGGAAGCAAGAAGGCAACATACTAAGACGGGTGGCGACAATGATGGTGATGGCAGAGCCAAGCTCCATGGAGAAACCACGAGAAGGAGAGTGGAGGGTCAGGCGGTTACCGAGGACACGCATGATGTTGTAACCGTAAGTCCAGATACCAAGAGCGATACTGGCACCACCAAAGCAACTGTTTCTTTGTTAGCAAGAGAGGTAAATAACCCAAAAGAGGGTTGGTTGGCTTACAGAATCCAGACGGGGACCTGAGACTTGGAGGTGTTGAGCTTGCCAGTGGACCAGACTTCGTAGATGGTGGCATAGGGACCGATGGCGTTGGCGACATCGTTGGCACCGTGAGTGAAGGAGGCAGTGCAAGCAGTCATGATCTGAACGAAGGTGTACAGGAACTCAGTCTTGTTGTCGTAGTGAGGGACAGCAGCGTGGACAGCAGCAAGATCACCAGTGAGGATGCTCTCCTTGTTCTGGGCGGAGACGATGTCCTGATCGATACCACGGAGGAGGATCCACTTGACCCACCAGAAGAGGACGGGGCCGGTGTACCAGGCGCCCTCGGGCTTGGGGCCAACAAGGGAACCAGTCTGGTCGGCAGGAATCTCGCGCTGGGCGGGGGCGGGGGCGGCGTGGTGGGCAACGTCGGAGGAAGACTCGTTGGCCTCCTTGCCCTCCTTGGCGTGGGTCTCAGCAGCAGCCTCCTCATCGGGGCGGCGGTGGCGGAGGTTGTCGAGCTCCTCAGCAGTCAAGTGGCCGGCGTAGAAATCACGGATACCACCGGCGGCACCCTCGGGCTGAGCGGGAGGCTCGGGGCGCTTGAGCAGGAGGGGGCCGTAGGGGATGTGCCACCAGCGGAGCTGCCAGTCATCCTTGACGATGAGACGGTACATCCATGGGACGAGGAAGATGGTGACGAGCAGAGCCCAGGCAGCGGCGGCACCCACAATGATCCCAGCAACCTCAGCATCGGTGAGATGGTCAAGACTGATGGAACCACCCTTCCAGCAGATAAGCATGACGAGGAGGGCAGCAGTGGTGAAGAAGTAGATGGGGGTAGCAATGAGACCCTTGATAACAGAGTTGGTGCGGAGGAGCACTCCATACTTGGTGATGAGGAAGACAATAGCACCGAAAGCAGCAGAGAGAGCAGGAGCAATGATCCAGGCGAGGAAGACAGAGACGACACCACCGCTAATGTCGCCGCTCTTGAAGTTGACCCAGGTAATCCTGTCAGCACCAATCAAAGCAATGCCCATTCCGATGACACCACCCATGAGCGAGTGGGTGGTAGAGACGGGAAGACCAATCTTGGTGCAGATTGTAAGCCAGGAAGCAGAGCCAACGATAGCGCACATCATTCCAAGCATGAGAAGAGCGGGGTCGTCCTTGAAGGCCTTGGGATCGACGACCTTGGTACGGATAGTATCAGCGACACGGGCACCAACACCGACGGAACCGGCGAATTCGAGGATGGAACCCAGAGCCATGGCCTGGAGGTTGCTAATGGATCGGGATGACACCGAAGTAGTCCATGAGTTGGCGACATCGTTGGCACCTGTCGTTGAAGTTGTCAGCGAAATCACCCATATCAAGCGATGGTCGCAAAGCAGGCGCCAGACTTACCAATGTTCCACGCGTCCAGGAACGCGAAGATGGTGCCGATGGCAAAGATGTAGTCGTACTGGTGAAGAGGCATGGTGTCCTTGTGTGGAGGCGCGAGAACGACCTCTGCTCAAACCGTTTAAAGAATGAGTTTGTTATTGAAAGGAGGGTTGCTGGGAAAGGAGAAACAGGGCTGGGAGACCGAGCAGCTCTGCCTTTATATTCCAGAGGGCAGCATGCCAAGGCATATGCGCATCAGACCAGCATTTCTCAGTCGCCTCCAACCCAGTCTTCCCATTCTGGCGCACCCAAGCAGCACGGCGCTGCACGAGACTGGGGCTGTATTCCCAGGGATCTGCCTAGGTGGATTCTCATGGTGTGCGGTGATGGCTGTGTGGGGTGTCGCTCGTCTGCTCCGTCGTTGTACCCAGTAGTCAAGTAGTGTCACCAGAAGCTTAATTTTAAGCATCCTCTACTGTAAGTTGCTCTGACTAAAAAACCCTTGGAAAGAGGAAAGCCAGGGAACGTCGGGGGTGAGCTTCTAGAATCGGGCGTCCTAGTGCCCGTCTATGGACGAGCACCCACCCAGTCTGCTCCATCAAAAGTCATACTGGCGGGGTGCGTGGGCAGCATCTGATCGCTGACTGGGTGATCAGGAGGGCACGTCCTGGATACTCGAATCTGCTTTAAGAGGCAATATGGACATGGATTGCACTGCCAAGGCATCCTGGCAGTTTGAATGGCCAAATGATCCTTGGCTGGTGTGAGCAGGGTCAGCAAAAGTGGATGAGGCGGCAGACACTTGTGAAGATGCCTAGCCTTTAGGGGTGGGACATTAGTGAACGACGGTGGACCTCGAGAGAGGAAGGCGATAGCTTTGCGAAACCACTGGACCGGTGGACGAAGGGGGCGTCCAATTGCGACACGAGAGCACGACCTTTTGGGGGGGAGCATCCGATAGTAACTCGGGCGATGAGCATGCATGAGCTCACCAGGGTATAATCGGGGCTAATCACTACAGACAAGAGCTCGCTGCAGGCCACGATGGGTCCTGGTCCTTTTGAATGCCCAGTATTTGGCACGGGGGGTGGTGGACACGCTATCCTTCAGCTCGAATGCAAGAGCTGGACATGGCTGTCTCGCTGTGGCTTTTCCGGGACGATCCTACCCATTGCTGCCGCAAGAGCGGGCGGCGTCACAGGAGCTGAGCTGCACAGGTGAGCCATTGTATTGAATTGAGGGTTCAGTCAATGCTCCTTCGCCCCCTCAAAGGGAAAGGAAAGACGAGAGACACACTGGGGGCTTTCACCATCCTCCGAAATCAACGCATGGGCAGACCCATTCAATAGCCTGTGTTGAGGCAAAAGACAAAAATAAGCTTCTCCATTAAACATAATTGCAGGGTGAAGAATCTTCCTTTCTTTTGCACGTGGGTTTGGATTTGGGGCTCGAGTACTCACGATGGCCCGGCGAGGTGGCCAAAGCAGCCCAGAGGAAGCAAAAGTGGGATGGAGGGAGGGTCAGACACGGGCAGCGCGCCCACCAAGGCCTGCGACAAGCTAAGTCAGGGTTGGGCATCTCGTCCGCAGTGCCAAGGTGCCTCGAGAGGACAGCCAGAAACAGTTGAAGCTGGCTGCTGATGGTGATTGATTCGACTGATCGATTGTTTGGCCGTGCCGTTGAGATACCTTCCGACGCTAGTCTGGATCGGGACGCACCCCTGGAGCCAATCACAGTCCCCGTAGATCACACGTGTGCCCCTCTCTCAACCTCACTCGACGGCCACAGCAAATGAAGGCAGCGAACCTGATCAACGCCGCGGCTGCTCTTGACCAACAACGCGCACGGTGCCGGGACCCTACCATGGAGAGCGACCAACACAGCTAACCTAGGGCCTGGCTTATTCCGCCGCGGCATTGTTGTCGCAAATGCGAGTGGTATTAAATCAGCTCCATGTTGAGATCCTCCCACCGCGGCCAACTGCAGCGCAATCAAAGGGCAATCCATAGCATCCCAGACGACCAAAAGGAGGGTGACTTCCAACGTTCACAAATCATCCCACGGGCGCACGTGTCCCCAACCCGCTCTCGGTTGCTCTCTTGTTTCTGTACTTGGCAAGAAGAGCTTCATCGACCCGGCTCTGGCTCCCCGGCCCTCCAGCCAAGGCGCCTAATGCATGATGGACGCAGCAGGAGATGATTTGCTGGCGCTCCATCAGTCGGGTGACGCGACCTGGCCCCATCTTAGGCATCGGGCCAAGGGTCAAATGGAAAATAGAACGTTTGGAACAGGCCATGACAGCCTTCTGGCTAGAAACAGCCTACGTTGAACTGTGCCCGGGCATCGCCGTACAAGCACCCCAGGCTCCACGCCACGCCAAGGCCTGCACATTTTGTCATTGCCGTTTGGCTGATCAACCCAGCATATGCACGTGTGTTCTCCTGGCGATGGAAGTGGTCGGTCGTACCCTCCAATGCGTGCTGCATCGGACGAATGTGTCGGTTGCGATCAAACGATCATTGCCGCTAACAGAAGTGAAATCGAGTCTTACACTCTTGGCCTTGGCTCCCTCCGACAGCTTGGTCCAATGGATGAGGTCTGAAGGAGGGAATTAGAAAAATTCTGCCTCTCCTTTCCTTGGCCGTCCCAATAGTCGCTTCGTGGACCCCACGGTGACTCCGTTGCGTTCCGTTTCTAGAATGTAGCCCGTTTCGGTCGTAGAAAAGTCGAGGTCGTGGTCTTCAGGTCGGCCAAAGGCACCGCGCTCGTGTTGTAGGTTCAGGATGCCTCCCCGGAAAGCATTCAATGATCTCCACACCAACGTTTAACCTTAACACTCCAGCTTGAGGTCCATGGCTGGTCGGCTCCTCCGGTGCGCATGGTAAAATGGTAAGTGACCAGCCATCTTGCGCCAAAATGGGTGCCCCAGGCGCAGTAGGCGATCGCCAGAGTTTGCCCACGGCCACTTCACTCCCACACTTGCCACTTCCGTCTACATGAACTTCCAATGCTAATGATGTGACGACAAGATCGGAACGTTGCTCTGCCAGGCGCGAGCCACTAGTAGGTAATGCTGGAGCGACTGGTCCAGAACCTTCAGTCCACGACGATCTGTGTGATCTCGTCGATCAGCACCTGGTCGATAGATCCAACCAGTCCAGGTTCTACCTCCGCCCCAACACCGACGTTCTTTCCTTTCAGTCCATGCTTGCTTACTTACGCTTGCACCGATACTCCATTAGAATCGTATCACTGCGAGCTGGTCGAGAAACGAGTTCGGAGCCTGCCTGCATCCGTACCACAGGACGAGGGCCTAGAAGCGAGTTGGGGCTCGGGGAGGCAAAGTCCATGGTCGGCGGCGATGCCCAAGTCCGTGCAAGAACCAAAAGCGAGGCAAGACCTCAAAGACGTATGAAATTGAGGCCGTCAAGAGTCCATTGTGCTCGTCTACCACCAGTACCACCGGAGAGTCGCCCCGGTGCATCTGCCAAGAAGCCGAGAGGTGGGGGTAAAGATTCGGTCCCCCGAGTCTTGGCTCTCCGAATCTGACGACGTAACCATCAGGATGACTGCCAAAGGGAGAGGGAGAGGGAGATGAGGAGATGAAGGGGAAGTATACTTGGATAATCTGATCGAAGAGTCGAATTCCCAGGCGCTATTTTCCTTCAATGTCTTGGAGCTGCCATGCTGGATCGAGTGGTGTTGGTGAGGAACCAGCTTACACTGGTGTCACTCCGGACCTGTTGTGGCCATGGCCAATTGCGAAGCCTGTGCAATACGGCAAATCAAGTGGTTAACAAGCCAGTGCTTGCTAAATTCAATGAGTATTGTCGGTGATCTCGTCGCCCAAAGGGGCAGGCTTGGTGAGACGACGTCGAGTGGGTTCAAGTCGTTGTTAGCATCGTAGCCCAGACAAGTGTCCTAAGCCCCAATACTATTTCAAGAGAGACAAGAAGCCCGATTAAAGTTTGGCAGAAGGCTAAAGGATATACTCCCTGATCTACCACAACTCTGAATTATGCTTGCTTTAGCATGGTCCACAGGGCTTATTAAGGAGGGCTGATGTGCCGGTGTTCCGTGTGGAGGCCTCCACGAGGCCTCCTAACCCCAAGCTCGCGAACGCAGACGGTTTGCGCGATCAGCCGCATCCAAAGGTCTAGACTCACAAATCAACAAAAGGAAGGTAAAGGAAGAAGTGGGCGGAACAGTGGCTCAGGGTGGTTTGGGCATCTTAAAAGCCAGCAGGCAAGACAAGGCAATCCTTCCCCTCTCCACCGCCTCCGCGACTTACAAACAAAAGGCAATGACACATGGTGTTCTGAGGTGCTGATATCGGCAGCCTCAGTGACAATCCATGTTCAGATGTGCGCAGGGTCGGCAAGGACGGCATCTCAAAATGGGGGATGTGCATCCAACCAGCGCGATGGAATGCCCAAGGACCAACCTAGGAAGCTCTGCGCTCAGAAGCCTACGGCCGATTCGCCTCCTTTCTTATTTTTGGGGGGTTTTCATGTTCTCCTACATTGATGATGCGACGGATGCGATCATTCAGATAGGCTTCAGCTTGCAGAGCCAGTCTCTAAGACGTACATCTCTCTGCCGCGACCGCTTCCAATACACAGGCTTCATACTAATAACCGCAGCTAAATTCAGATCTCGACCGTCCTCTCTTAGGTCCCTGCCTCTCGCTCATCCACCCAGTATCCATCGCCTTTGCCGTCTATCCGTTTGGTGGCGTCAAAGCTTACACACCTCACATTTGATCCGTGTCCGAGCTTCCCAACATCCCAGTATTTCCTATACTTTATAATAAAGTTATTGACTTTCAAAGCCACACCCGTCTCAGCCCCTCTGCACGTTTTTGCTCCAACCAACAGGCTCGGCAGTGGCACGTTGTAGCGGCACCTAACTCAACCTTGTTCCTGATCTGGACCCGACAACCGGTCAGATCGAACTCCCCACAATATCTCGGCTCACAACGGCTCTCGATCTTGATCGCAGGCTATCGCACACCGTTCCACCGGTTCATCAAGTGCCGTACCAGTCGGCCTGTATGTTACCATGCAACGGCTCTCATGGCACGGTAGTAGTGAATGTGCGAACCGTAGATGCGCCCAGTTTGTTCAATGCATTTGCCGGAATAATTCCTTACCTACCCTATAGCCAGACGCAAATCACTCAATGTCCTAAATTCTTCGCTTTTTTCTTCGCTGTCAAATTTTATATAAGTATCCGCCGTCTAGATAAACTCATTCCGAATTTGTAATTACTTGTTATTGTCTGGTGACGTTGAATGAAGCACGGCACAAAGAAATATGCATGATCTGCCTTCAATGTATTGGCAGAATGGAAAAGAAACCATCTCTAATTCTCACATGTTTAGTAGCACTGGACGCCAGATAATTGGAGAGCCTTGTCTTTTAACTGTCTCTAGCAAGACGCGGGCGGGAAATCAATTTAGTGTCAATGCTGTTTGCTAGAAAATGAATTGAATGACGGCAAGCTGGTAAAATCGATCAGCCGGTGGCCCGCCCCAGCTTGGATAAAAGACATGGACGTCCTTCAAAGCGGATCTGTTGCTGATTTTAGCCATTTACCCTCTTGGCACGTCAATCGGAAATCCCACAAATGAGAAGACGGAGCTTGGTCATGGCAAGAACGAGGAAAGCCGTGCGTGAAGCATGATGAGGACCCCCGTGGGGGTTTTCGCACGAATTGCCGGGAGCGCCTACGTCTCACATCATATCACTCTGCGGGCCTGATCCGGCTGTTCGCACCATCATTTCTCCTGCCCCTCGGTGGTCATTCTGTTCTTGGCTGCATGAATGGCACGTCAAGACCCGGGTGATAGTGCCGCATGGTGAGAACCAGCAGTATGCCATGTGGTTTATTTCTCCATATGAAGAGGCCAAGGCTGAAATCGTGTCTGGGGATGGGATCCCCTGGCAAGGGGCACTTGAAGATATATAGATACAAGATCCCCCGGAGGCATCTACCTAGAGCACCGCATTGGATCTGATTAAGCCGTATAGACTGGCAAAACACAATGAGGTCTCTTCAAGCTGCTGCCATTGCCCTCCTCGCGGCCACGTCTGCTCTGGCAGCGCCCGCTCCCGTACCAAAGATCTCCTATACACGCTGGATGACCAACTCCATCCTCCACCACGGGGTCGAGCCCGACTTCCACTACGACGAGGCGACACTGTACAACGCCTTCCAGGACGTCATCGCCTTCACCAAGAACGACACCCTCAAGCAGGTCTACCACGACCTCGTCGACGGCGTGGTCCTCGAGGACGGCACAATCGCCAACTACGATTATGCCAAACACTCCCTGGACAACTACCGCTTCGGCAACAACATCCTCTACTGGTACGAGCAGACGGGCGACGCCAAGTACAAAGTCGCCGCCGACGCCGTCCGAGGGATGCTCGACACGCACCCGCGCAACCTCGCGGGGGGGTTCTGGCACCGCGACCCCTCGTACCCCAACCAGATGTGGCTCGACGGCATCTATATGGCCGACACCTTCTACGCCAAGTGGACGTCCCTGTTCCAGCCGGACAACCAGACGGCATGGGACGACATCATGCTGCAGTTCGACACCATCGACGCCCGCACGCGCAGGGGGGATAGCAACCTCCTCGTGCACGGGTACGACGAGAGCAAGAAGGCCGTCTGGGCGGATCCCCAGGACGGCCGGGCACCTCTTGTCTGGGGCCGCGCCATCGGCTGGTACTTCATGTCCCTCCTCGAGGTTATCCAGCTGATCCCCGAGGAGCACCCGGGCCGCCAGAGGCTGATCACCTACTTTGAGAAGACGGCGGAGGGGCTCAAGGGCGCGCAGGACGAGCTGGGCGGGTGGTGGAACGTCATGGACAAGCGGTACGAGGACGTCAAGGGGAACTACCTCGAGGCGTCGGCGAGCGTCATGTTCACCTTTGGCTGGCTCCGGGGCCTGAACCTCGGGCTCCTCCCCGAGGCGGGGTACAAGGACGTGGCTGAGAAGGCGTACCGGGCCATGATTGACCTGTTCGTGACGACCAATGAGGATGGTACCATCAACTGGGAGAAGACGGTGGAGGTTGGCAGCCTGGGCTCCAACGCTACTTTCGAGGTGAGATATTCGAGATCTTTCTGGCAACATTGTTATTGTTCTACCTGAAGTGAACTGACTGGATTCTGTTTAGTATTACTCGAGCATCGCGACAAGGAAGAATGACCTCCGAGGGGCCGCAGTCTTCATGCTGGCTTCGTTAGAATGGGAGAAACGCAATTGCTAGATAAGTATCAGAAAGCGAGAAGGGACTTGAAAATGCGTCCCGGAAGCGCCTTGACACAACATTATAAAAATGCATGCGTTGTAGAGTCGGTCAGAGTTGTCCATGCAACCTACCTCACACTGTACTCCATCAACCGCCCGACAATACTGGGATCAATCTGTGTATAGATCTAGTCTCTAAAAATTTAGAATCTACTTATAGTTCTATCCCAGAACCTCTCATCTAATCCCAACACCCCATTCTAGATAACGCGCCCCCGTTCAAAATCTCCCACGTCATGTGCTGTTCGAGAGCGGCATGTCACATCAATGTTCTTAGTTTGGTACACGACCCGGTCGTCGCGATGTTGATATGCAAGAACTTAACTATAGCCTGGCTGGTTAGTGAGTGCTCCGCATTTGCTTCGGGCTGGCAATAAATGCGGCGATGACAGCAATGGCGCCGGCGACGACCACAGACGCGAAAGCATAGTGTATGCCGTCGAAATAGACTAGGCGCGCTTTGAGTTGGACATCCGGGGGTAAGGTCTTGAGCGCCTCAACAGAGTGGCGAATATCGTCGATAACCTAGTGAAAATCATCTCCAAGTCAGCAACTCAAGGAATTTGCAACATATGAGGCCATTGCCCAAGAGGAAGACGGAAAGGATGGATTGAAAAGGGGCGTACTCTCCATTTATCAGAGATCCCGCTCAGAGCATCCGGCAAGCGGACGCTGAGCGTAGTTTGCACAATGGCAGAAGTTATAGAAACGCCCCAGACAGCTCCCAGGGATCTGATGAGGTAGACTGTTGAGGCGGAGACGGCGTGGTCTATGAGCTTCGGATTAGTTCCAGATTCGCTAAGCTGTAAGGTTGTGATTTTGTCCATGGTCTTACCAGCATGATCAAAGGAGGCGAGAGTTGTGAAGAGAATGGACGGGTAAATGACGCCAACTCCTAGGTTGGTAGGGATGATGAAAGCTATGTACTTCCACGAGGCATCCTGAAAGGAGAGCGAAAGCAACACGGCACTCCCAAAGCAGATAATGCTGGCTCCAGTCCGCACAAGTGGGATGAGCTTGCCCCAGCGCGACATGACGATTCCGGCAATGATGGAACCGATAGGGGTAGCTAGCGAAGGGAGGGCTAGGCGGGCGCCTGCCTTTGTGGCGGATTCCATCAAAATAACCTGAAAGAAGAGTGGGATCATGAAAAGAAACTATCAGAGGGGATTTTGTCAGTCTGGCTCTGGGGCGACACTCTCGTCGATGAAACCATAACAGGGGAGAGGGTTTGTGAAAGAACATACCCCGTATGCGGACAACCCTGCACAGATGTTGGCAATCTGGGTAGCCACAGGCAACCGGCCTTTGAGCATCCGTAGAGGGATAATGGGAATAGCAGTTGTGCGACCCTCGATGAAGAAGAAGATGGCAAACAAGGCAACACTGCTGATCAAGAGCGCGATGACCCATGGACTAGTCCAGGGGAGCTCGTTACCACCAAGGCTCAGCCCGAGAAGCTGGACAGAGATGGCAAGCACAAGGAATAATGCACCTGTGAAGTCGACCCTCTTCCAAACAGCCTTGATCCCGTCTTCGAACAAGTTACCAGCCTGGTTCTTGACGGCAACAGCTCCCACAAAAAGGGCAAAAATAGAGACTGGGACTTGGAGGAGGAAACACCAGCGCCAGCCTATCTTGTCAGCGATGGCACCGCCTAAAGAGGCGCCAGAGATTCCACCCAAACCCCAGATTCCGTTCTGCATGGCCTGGTACATGCCCCGTCTACGGAAGGGGATCATATCAGAATTAACAATGGTTGCTGCGACCCATCACTGATTAGCTGGCTGGCTCTTGCAAGAGAATACCAGGTCATCGGTTCCATTGTCAATACATACCCATAGTCATCAATCCGGCACCCCCAAACCCAGTCAGTGCTCGCATACAGTTCAAGGTTACCACATCGCGTGCCAACCCGCAGCCGAGGCATCCCAGACCAAAAGTGATAGTAGCGATGAAGAAGCACAGTCTGCGGCCAAAAATATCCGAGACACGGCCATACAACGGCTGGACAGCGGTGCTGGTGACTAGGTACGAAGTCGTGAGCCATGAGGCCGTGTTGGCAGAGCCAAATTCGGAGCTGATGACGGCGTAAGTGGCAGCAGTGATAGTGCTATCAAAGGCCTGGAGAAAGACATTGCTCATGAGGGCGAGCTGGATCCAAAAGAAGCCGCGGGGAATGGTCCAAGTCTCCTCGCTCGGGGCCTGTAGGATAGGCTGGTCTTCTCGGGACTCAGATCCCGCCGGGTCATGGTCATGGAACAAGGGTGTCTCCTCGTCGATTGGCGGGGTCCGGGAGGATGATCCGGCCATTTTGAGATGGATGATATGGCTCGTGGTACACTCGTGAGGGGAAGATTCTGTTTGGGGTTTGAACAAGGCTGGTGAAGAGTGAAAAGAATGATTCCCCGGCAAAGATCAAGATCGATTGACTAGTACCGGTAGAAAAAATCGGCGTCGGCTGGGTAGAGATTGTCTGTGTGGGGATCAGTGAGTCTTCCTTGCATATCCATCCAAACCATCACCAATTCGTCTATCTCTGCTGTCACACCGAATCAACTCCACCAATCCACGACATCTCTGAGTTGTCCCTCGAGATGGCACCACCGATCAGTTTTTCGGCCATCGCTACATCCAATTGATGCTTTTACGGCACCATGTCCTCTCTGGTTTTCCTGCATGGACCAAGATGACGCTTCTAGTCTCCACCAAACCACCAATCACCACGCCGCTGAAGCACGCCATCACCATCACCACGTCCTCCATCGACAACATCACTTACAAAGTACATCGTCAATAGGGCAACATTGCCAATGCTGGATGTCACCATTGATAGCGGCATTTAATCCGTGCTGATCAATATGACGTGACACTTCGCTCTGCTGCTTCATTGGTACCTGATTGTCTCATTGAATGCCGGCTGGTGGTCCACACCCAATGAGTAATGTTTGACCCCTCATCGTAGCTCTGATGTAAAACCGTGATGCTCCCCCCGTGTCCTATGTCTATGGTTTTTCCACGGACACATCAGTTCAGAATTCTCTGCTACAAGATCCAATTGCTCCCCATTGACAACCAAGAAACGACAATCATACAAAAAAAGGAAATTGAAAAGGCTATCTCAGGGCTCGTAGACTACCACAAGGTGAATGTACCTATTCTTGCACGAAATGGAGTCCCATACCTCTGACGCACATAGCTTCCACCCGCCTGAACCTCAACGATGAAGACGGCCAAGTCCACTCTCGCCCCTGCCCTCGTTGCGGCAGCGGCGCTCGCCCAGCCTGCCGTGGCAGATTGGCAGTTCCGCTCCCGTCCCGACCTCGCCCCTCCAAGGCTCAACATCACGATCCCGGCCACGGATGCCGTTGAGCCGGGCTATCTTTTCCTCGCTCCGTTTGCCGGCTTGGTCGACACCCCGACCGAGCAGCACGGTCCTCGCCAGGCCGGCCCCTACATCTTCAGGGACAATGGAGACTTGGTCTGGTCCGGGTACGGCATATACAGTATCTGGTCCACCAACTTCCAAGCTGGTCGCTGGAAGGGCAAGGACGTGTTGTTCTCGTTCGAGGGTGATCATAACCCTGGGTATGGCCATGGCCACGGGCATATCACCTTCGTGGACCAGCACTATGAAACGATCCGTGAGCTCCGCGCAGGGAATCACAAGCTTGTTGATAAGCATGAGTTCCACATTGTCAACGAGGAGACTGGTCTGATCCAGGTCTACCAGCCTGTCCCTCGTGATCTGACTGAGTGGGGAGCGAGTCCTGAGCAACAGTGGATTGTCAACGCCATTATCCAAGGTAACTTGAATAACACACCTCCATTTAGATAAATAGAGACTGACCGGGCTTCTCTAGAGCTTGATATATCCACCGGCGAGTTGCTCTTCGAGTGGGCAAGCTTGGATCATGTCCAGCCAGACGGTATGACTCCCATGAAAAACAAGACAACTTCCAAGCCAAACACCTCTAACGCTCCAGCTTCACCGAATAATAGAAGCCATCCTCCCCATCAACCCAGGACAGGCCGGCTCCGGCTACAACTCTTCCGACGCCTGGGACTACTTCCACATCAACAGCGTCGACAAGGACGCCTCGGGCAACTACCTCATCTCCGCCCGCGATGCCTGCGCCATCCACAAGATAAACGCCACAGACGGCTCCGTCATCTGGCGCCTGCACGGAACCCGCTCCGACTTTAAGATGACCAACGGCACCGAGTTCTGCTTCCAGCACCACGCCCGCTGGCTCGCCCAGGACGACGAGGAAGGCATCGAAGTCATCAGCCTCTACGACAACAGCGCCCACGGCACGGAGCACAACGATGGCTCGGAAGTCCACACCGCGCCCACCTCGAGCGGCAAGATCCTGCGCCTCAACACCACCTCCTGGACCGCCGAGCTCGTCGGCGCCTACTTCCCCCCCGACGACCTACGCTCCAAGTCCCAGGGCAGCACGCAGGTCCTCCCGGGCGGCAACGTCCTCGTCGGCTGGGGCTCCTCGGGCGCCGTGACCGAGTTCTCCGCCGACGGCGAGCCCCTATTCCACGCGTACATGGACTCGGGCGCCCTGGGCGTCGCCGTGGAGAACTACCGCGCCTTCCGGTACAACTGGACGGGCGTGCCCAGCGAGGAGCCCGCCATCGTCGCGCTGACCAACGAGAAGGCGCACACCACGACCATCTACGTCTCGTGGAACGGCGACACGGAGACGGCCGCGTGGCGCTTCTTCGCCGTGGTGGACGGCAAGGGCTCGCGCGAGTTCCTCGCCGAGGTGCCCCGGACGAGCTTTGAGACCAGCCTAGCCGTCCGCGGGGGGAGCTTCCTATCCGTGGCTGCCGTTGCCGTCGACGTCCGCGGCAGGGTGCTCGCGAACACAGCTGTGGTCCGGACTGAGCAGGAGATTCTGCCGTATAAGTCTGAGCTTGTCCCCTCGCCTGCTCCCGGGAGCCAGATGGTCATCACTCATGAGTCCCCCAAGCAAACCGGTAGGTGGGCAAAGGGTGGAGCTTACTGGCAGCTCAGCCAGAACGACGATCTCTGATTGCAGAGTCGTGTGATGGGAATGGGCCGTGTATCGTTTTGAGGGTGATACGTAGTGCTGGGCGGCACGTTCCGAGACCCCCGGCAGATCCCACCCTGCGATGTTACGAGAAGAACTGAGGTTGGTGATGGACAAAAGCGGGTTGTATGGCGACCGTCAAGTGGGATTCAAACTATCTAGGTAGCATGTAGTCAACGTCGTATCTAGCCAAGGAAGCCATCCTGCTACAATTGACCTCTATTCATTCCTTGACCTCTACTCATTCCTTGACCTCTACTCATTCCTTGACCACAATCTGCCGTCTGCAAATCCGTTCTCGTGATGCTCGGCAGATGTGTCGTCTCCAAGTCGGAGGAAACGACGTCCGTATTAGGCTCGCATGCAGAGTGGGTAAAGGGTGCTGGCTGCTTTTTATGATCGATCGCCAATTCATCAATTCTCCGACTGCATGTCGCTGGTATCGCTCCGTGATCGCTTATCTGCACCACAAGAACTGGCGGTGTCTGTTTCGTCCTGCACAGTAAAATTTTCTCTTGTATCCCGGTCCCCCTATTTTTCTTTTTTCCCTTTTTCTTTTGTTCCTCAAAACACAATATCCATCCGGGTTTGCCTGACTGTGCGCCTTCGCATCGGCTGTCACGTTAGTCCGGCTGTGACCGCTCATTTACGTCGTACCTTAGCGCTCGCCGTGTTGGAGCCCAACGCAGAGAATCACATCACATTGCATCGCGTCACATCACCTAGATCTCGGTCTGTGTGCTGGCCAGCGGCAGGGCACGTAAAACTTAACTCTTCAACCTCAAATCTATCGCACTTGAAGAACCGGAAGCGCACTCGCAAATCACCATGTCCACCACCACCACGTCCACCTGCATAGGGTCAAAGGTCCTGCACAAGGAGCCACTTGTAAGCCAAGCTCTCGCGCCTCATCTCACCACGCCTGCCAAAGAAATCAGACTCAGCTGACCAGTAGATGCCCCCAGTCAAATGAAAATTCTCGCTGGATCAAGCTTGAAGGGTGAGCCTGACCCAGACTGGGTAGCTGATGGATGGCAGCAAACTGACTGGCCCAGAATCACATACCAAGATCCCACTGGCACAACGCGCAAATGGGAATCCGCCGAGCGCAGCACACGGCCCAAGGATGGCGACATTGACGGCGTAGGGATCGTCGCTATTCTCGACAACCCCAAGACCAATCGCCGGGAACTGCTGCTCCAAAAGCAGTATCGACCTCCCATTGACTGTATAGCAATCGAAGTGCCCGCGGGTCTAGTCGACAACGGGGAGACGGCAGAGGAAGCTGCAATCCGGGAGTTGAAAGAGGAGTGCGGCTATGTCGGCGTGGTGACCGAATCGAGCCCAGTCATGTACAACGATCCCGGATTCTGCAATACCAACCTACGCATGGTTCATGTTTCCATCGATATGAGTTTACCGGAAAACCAGAACCCCAAGCCCCAGCTCGAGGAGAACGAATTCATCGACTGCTTTACCGTACCGCTGGACGACTTGTGGGAAGAGTGCAAGAAGTTCGAGGCACAGGGGTACGCCGTTGACGCGCGGGTTGGAACTCTGGCTGAGGGTATTCTGCTGGCGCAGAGACTGAAGCTGTAAGGCTAGGACTGCACTCTTTTGAGATTCAAAAGGAGCAAAGAATGGGGGAAATAGAACCATGGCTGCGATAAGATAGAACAGAGTAATAGAGTACGGGGGATTCATTAGACAACCAAGAATTAAGACTTTCAGATCATCTTCTCTCGCCGCAACCCTTCCCAGAGGGCCAGCGCGCTGAGTGCTTTCGCATCTCTCGAGCCTTCTCGCCATAGGTCTTTCATGGGGACCACCTTGAGGGTAATCTTCTCTCCCTGGTCCCGCAAACCCGTGAGGCGCCCACTCCAGTCTTGCAGCTGTTCTCTCGGTATGCACCGCTCGTAGCTGTAAAGCGTCACATGTTCATCGCACCCGCCCGCACTGGGGAACACGGCGCGGGACAGCCCCTCCCCATCCTCTTTGCTCTCCGCAGCCGGGGCCGCAAGCTCGCTCAGGCAGACCAGGTCGTCCTCGTGGATATCGATCCCGAGCTCCTCCTCCATCTCCTTGGCCGCGGCGCCCTTGAAGCTGCCCGCGTCGTCAACCATGCCCGCGGGGAGCTCCACGAAGCTCAGGCTCCCGGCAGGGACACGCGGCTGCACCGTCAGCACGACATATCTCTCGTCATCGCTCTTCGCATCGTCCGGGATCAGGATGACCAGCATGGCAACGCTTGGGCCGCGGAGGAGGGCTGCAGCGGGGAGGGTCTCGCCTGCGGCATTGGAGACGGCAGCCGTAAGCTTGAGGAAGCCGACGCGAGTGTGCCCGAAGAGGTCGTAAGACTGGACGGTAACGGATCGGAGCGCGTAGGGGTCGGGGAAGAAGGGGTGTTTCGGGTCCGATTGGAGGCGAAGCGAATTTGACAAGGTATTAATCCAATTCTACAAGAGTTGATTACTTAGCCCCTGAACCAGAGTAAGGGATATGACTTAATGATTTCCTATACCTTGAGTGGGCGGAAAGCGAGAACCTGCTCTTCTTTCAAGCCTGGTGGGAGGGAGACGGCAATGTTGGTTTCCGGAAACGTGAAGCTCGATGTTGACGACATTTTGCGACTAGGATGGCAGCAATAGCTGAAGGTGGCATGCGAAGTCTGGACAAACTTGTGCTGGAGATTTCTAAAGCATCGCATTGCTGGGAAATTGAATGCGTGAAGATTAAATACAATTGTTCACTTTGCAGCCCATCTCAGCCTTGGAGAGCGCCTATCACTGAGCTTTGGTGCTCTAAAGTCTAGCTGAGTGCTAGGCTCACTAGAACTACAAAATAGTGTCGTCATCGGGCGTCCAGGCCGATAGTCTTTGATCACGTGCTGATAGGAACACTTAGAGTAAGACGGTTCAATGGCTAAACTCGCATTAACACGAACATCTATAGTTCCTATGAATTATACGGAGAAATGATCTTGGCCGTAGAGAACTTTGAGAAAACCGTGCGGTGAATCAAATTAGTACCGTTCGCACTTCCGGCCTCGTCAGCCCAAGGAAAAGATGGCGGCCTGATCAGCCCACGACAACGCCACCTTGAACAAATGCAGAAGAACACGCATGCTCCTGCATGCACAAACGAAATGTATGTCTCAGCTCAGCTTTCCGAATCCGACCCAAAATTCCATGGCGAGAATGAGAAGGTCCGTGCCTCTTTCTTGGGTTTCAGCTTCTCGTACCCCTCCTCTCATCGGTGCTGGCTGGGGGAATCGGCCCAAAATGATGTACACAACGGTGGGAAAGCGCCAGGAATAATGGCTGTGGTGTAAGATCGAGCTTCAAGGACAGCGTCTTCGTTTCGGGGTGACACTCAATATATTTTCAATCGGGTTTTCCGAGCAAGTCGACGAATCTCCTCCACATTCTCGTGCCTCCCCTCTCCACAACCTTTTGAGTCACCTTGTCGTCATCATCATCAACAGGTTGGGACTGGTCAGGCAATTCAGATCTTCGGCTTTGGTTTTTTTTTCTCTCCTGCTGTAGCCGGTTTCTTCTTCTTCACGTCTTGGCCCTCCATTTCGTCGAGGATGTCCTTCAGCTTCGCAATCTTCATTTTCGTGTTCAGATAGGACATATGGAGCGCGTGCGCCTGGTTGTGCTTCTGCTTCTTAGCTGGGCTCAGGGGCCGTGCAACCTTTCCCGACTTAGGGGCCTTGGAGAAGCCTGCCCTCTCCATCACGATGATGACCTTGAGGAGATGGTCCAGCACCTTGTAGCTGGAGGCCATGATTTTCGCTCTCTCCTCATCTTGTTCGATCTTTGGTCGATTGTTTGCCATTTTGGGCATTTGGGGGTTCAGATTTAGTCAGACGTAATCGGTCGCTCAATCTTAGAACTGGTAGGAAGATGCGAAGGTAGGTAAGATGGTTGTTGTGGTGGCTGAGGCGACTGTTTTGTGGGAGAAAGTGCAGTTTTGCTTTTGGCTTTTTGCCCATCGCTCTTGCCGCCCACTGCTTTTTCTTGTGAAACCATTACCTGCCTATAGGAAAGTGAGGCAAAACAAGGCCGCACAATTGCTGCACAATACAGCGCGGGGTAGTTGCATATTGAAACCGTACTTCCCTATTTCAAGGCGATAGACATGCAGGAGCGACCGACTGGTCGACACCAGCTTGAGTAGCAATCCAACGGTGACATTGCAGCAATTCTTGCAGCGCATTTATCTTCACACGGCATTTTGATATCCTATTGGCCGATGCGAGTCAAATCCGAAGGACTGTCGAAATTCCAGCTGATTTACTCCTGCCTTGCGATGCGAAAAGTGGTCCCTGGCAAGAGTAGTCCTTGTGTCAAACCTTTAGCATTCTGATAATAGGTATTTCTAAGAGAAGTGCAATACTCTGTTCTAAACAGCCCAGAATACATCGATCTGGACTCGTTCAACATGGTTCGCCCATCCCGGGAATCTTGCTTTACCCCAAACTGTGATCACGTCCCCTAACTTAAGCCCCCGAACAAATGAACCGTCCATTGTATTGGGACCTCGTCCTAGTTCCTCGCTCAGTGATTCCACATTTGGGCCGGCCTTATCCTGCCAGTCCCAGGTCACAATGTGCTCTTTGAACTGTCTAGACGCCAGAATATTGTGCTGAATAGCCATTCCATCCTCATCATCACTCAGTGGGTGGTGATAAGCCAACTCCCCATTATCTTGAGGCTCTAGTCTGGGCCGTATCGGCCGAAGTGCACATAGAGGCAGAGCTGGTGGGGTAGAATTTGGCGATTCGTAGCGCAGGTCCAAAGAACATGTTGGGTCGCCTAGACATTTCCTCTGCGTTAGTTTTGGGCAGATATAAGCGTAAGGAGGTTCTTACATGTCTGCGAAGCGTCGAAACGTTCAAGTCCGACGTCAAACCAGGTCCAGGATGTATTATACGTTCCGTGGTGCTGCCCGGCACCGCCCCAGCCCTGGTCTCTGCTCTTTATGGTGAAGACAATCCTGCGAACGGGGTGGACAAGCTTAGGCATGGCGTAGCTGGCCTTCTCTTTGAAGAACTCAGGCTCGTTCTCCCTCGCGAGCTCCAGAGGTCGGACCTCGGTTCTGTCGTATGCGAGCACTTCAGCGAGGCTCTTCTTCTCGCGGAAGCCACTGAAGCCAACAGGAAATGACCTCAACTTCACGAAGGGTTTGTCAGTGAGACCCAGACACTACAGATAGATCGATTGGAATCCGAACATACCACGAGCTGGTTCTCACGGGCGCTGGAGCCGCTGATGATCAACGGGCCTTGGATCTCCTTTGGAAAGTCGATCTCGTTGCTCGAATGGGCCCAGTACTCGGCGAAATCGAAGATGAGGCCGATCACATCAATTGGCAACAACGTTTCGCGCGCTAATAGGTTGCGGAGGGCCACGATCTCCCCAGGCTTGGGTCTGTATTCCCCGCCCTTCACGGTTGTGTCCTCGTTGCTCATGATGAGGTTGGAGAGGCCCTCTAATAAAGTAGAAAACATACGTTAAAGTGGTGTCAGAGAAAAATGAAGATAATGGCGATGCGAAGCGCAGGTATACAGGATGATTCCTCAGGGTGTTTGTTTGTTGCGATGATGGTTGTAGGAGGCAGGTGCAGTGACGATGTGCAATCTAGCACGACTTGGCTATATACGGAATTGTCAGAGGCGCAGCCAAGGAGCCTACCACATTATTCACGAGTTGGGCAGAACGGACCGAGGGGAAATGGACAAAGAAGGTGGAGCATGCTTTGCTGTCTGAATTCTGATATTGGATAGTCAATACCAGTACGACCAGTGTTATTCACGGGCTAGGTCATGACGAAACATGCGAATCATACTGCCCATTTGCGTCACGAGCGTTGCTGGTGCCTGTAGCTGCCCCTCCTACGTAATGTGCCACCATTCTGATAAGATAACAGGTTTGGCCGCGGATCGTGTCTTTAGGCAGCATTTTAGCGGCGGATCTGTGGCGACATAGTGCAACCCGCAATCCTGATAATGATGAAGTTCCTAATAATGCTGAGATCGGATTAGAGCAACTTTGAAAATGGAACATGGAATACTCTTGGAAACCGGCGCAGCCAGGTGTGTCCCCTCCTACATTCTGCGTACTGGAACCACCCGTCTTGGCGGTTATTAAGCCTCAGAGTCATTCTCCGTGAGCAACGGTCGGATATCAGTATTCATAATGCCAGAATCATCAATCAAAGACCGTGCCGATAACGGCTGATGCATCGCCCAGCAGATAGTCACACTCTGCCAGCACATTTCTAAGGCCAGAAACCCATCAATATATTCAACCAACATCCCGTGAATAAATGAGGAGGCTGTCTAATCTGGATACCGAAGTCTAAGAACACTGCGATATAGAGCAAGCTTCCCAAACCCAGCACTAAAACCAACGATCCCAGACATTCTGATTCCTAGTCATTTAGGGATGGCCGCAGGGAGGGTGAAGAACTAATAAAAGAAGTCACAATACTGCCATCGCATATTCACGTCGAGAGATGCGATGCCAAGCTACCAACGACATCCAAGATGTAATGCGATTCACGATAACTCGATCTGATTCTCAGGAACCACTGGGCCCGAACGGCGGGGCAATGCTGTAGGTCCTGTGATTTATGGCTGTCTGTGACCAGGTAGGATTTGCACCAAGCTCCATGAGATTAGACGGAATGGATGAGTCCACAAGCACCCTGCTTGTGTTAATCGATGCCCACTGACGGCGCGATAAAATCCATAGGAGCTCCCGCAGACAAGGCTAGCTCTAGCGGCAGATCGTGTGGGGAGACAGAACCAAGTTCCGCCCACGTGAAATGGCGTAATGGCGAGTCCCGTCTGCCGTGCCGAGCAATTCACAACACCTCCGATCTGGAGAGATATTAGAAATCATTCTGCGCTCATCCGTCGATGGAGATATATCATGCATGGACTCGCTCATTTGAACGTACACCCCATGGCCTGACTACATACATTCCCTCCCCCAATTGATCTGTACTGCGTCAACCGGCAGGACAGCGCCTGTTACGCTGTACCTCCCCTGTCAACCGCCGCTTCTTATCTGATAACGAAACAAGAAAAATGTCACACGCCACTTCAAGGTCGATTGCGGCCACAGTTCGGCAGCTTCGCTCGCCTCGTTCACGATACTCACCCAGTATCTCACCTAGGCCGACCTGCCTATCAGCCAGCCACTCTTCACGATCAATCCCACACGATTCCGCCCTCAATGGATCCCGACGGTGTCTCAGTACGACCCTTCCCCGGCGCTCCGGCGTCGCCTCCAACCCACCGATGGCTTTCCCATGCCTAGACGCCCTCGAGTCCCGGTCCGCGAAGCTCGAGGAGGAGACCAGCAACTCCAATGAGCCCTCGTACACCTCAGGCGCCACCCTCAACTACCTATGCAAGGAGCCCCTCCTCCTCGACTGGGGCGGCATCCTCCCCGAGTTCAACATCGCATACGAGACGTGGGGAACCCTCAACCCGGAGCGCTCCAACGCCATCCTCCTCCACACCGGTCTCTCCGCCTCCTCTCATGCCCACTCGACAGAGGCCAACCCCCAGCCCGGCTGGTGGGAGAAGTTCATCGGCCCTGGGAAACCCCTCGACACGAACAAGTACTTCGTCATCTGCACCAATGTCATCGGTGGCTGCTACGGCTCGACCGGCCCCGGCGAAGTCGACCCAGGCAACGGCGAGCGCTATGCCACCCGCTTCCCCATCCTCACCATCGACGACATGGTCCGCGCCCAGTTCCGCCTCCTCGACCACCTCTCCATCCCCTCCCTCTACGCCAGCGTCGGCTCCAGCATGGGGGGCATGCAGTCCCTCGCCGCCGGCAGCCTCTTCCCCGACCGCGTCCGCCGCATCGTCTCCATCTCCGGCTGCGCCCGCTCCCACCCGTACAGCATCGCCATGCGCCACACCCAGCGCCAGGTCCTCATGATGGACCCCAACTGGAACCGCGGCTTCTACTACTCCAAGGTGCCCCCGCACGCGGGCATGAAGCTCGCCCGCGAGATCGCCACCGTCACATACCGCTCCGGCCCAGAGTGGGAGCAGCGCTTCGGCCGCCGCCGCGCCGACCCCAGTAAACCCCCAGCCCTCTGCCCGGACTTCCTCATCGAGACCTACCTCGACCACGCCGGCGAGAAGTGGTGCCTAACCTTCGACCCCAACAGCTTCCTCTACGTCAGCAAGGCCATGGACCTCTTCGATCTCGGCCGCGACGCCCAGCGCGACACCGCCGCCCGCCGCGGCCAGCGAGAGCAGCTCCTCCGCTCCGGCGAGCCAGCATCTTCCTTCGCCGCCGACGCCAGCTGTAGCCTCACCCTCCCCTCCAAGCCCTACGAGGAGCAGCCAGAGTCCGCGGCCCAGCCCTCGGACGAGGAGCTCACCCCTCCCGGCTCCGCGCGACCCCCCGAGGACCTCATCAAGGGCCTAGCTCCCCTCCGCGACACCCCGACCCTCGTCATGGGTGTCGCCAGCGATATCCTCTTCCCCGCCTGGCAGCAGCGGGAAGTCGCCGAGGCGCTACGCCTCGCTGGTAATCGTAATGTCACCCACATCGAACTCAGCGAGGAGATGAGCCTGTTTGGACACGATACTTTCCTGTTGGATCTTAAGAACATTGGCGGAAACCTCCAACGGTTTTTAGACTAACTTTGTGTATCAAAGGAGGGCTAACCAACCAAGTCCAACACATTACGCATCGGATCATGGAAGCATTAGAAGGGTTACTGGCGTTGACGGATTGCGATTGTAGCATCTTGTATGAAGATAGAAAAAAATCCATTGTTGTATCTGTTAGTCCAAGCTTAGACACTATGCTAAATATATCTGTAAATATATGTTCCCTTTTATCCATTCCTTATATACCCATGGCTCTCTTATGACTAGAAATTACAAATTAGAAATCCAAACGATTTGTCAACCAAGTGATGGTGATACCCAATCCAGGGGAGTGAAACTATGTGAAATCCAAAAATGATGGTTGGTCCCCAGCTTTTGACGCTGATTATGTCTGCCTTTAAACTCCAGCGAACCCTGTCGCAAAAAAAACACATATGCAATAATTGGAGCGTGAATTTCGTTGTTCTCGAACAGATTAAATATAACCTGACGAAACCTCAACAGGAGACTTCAAACTTCCATTGGTCGGAGTAAATCGACCAGCTCCGGGAGGCAAAGTAATAGGAGGTGGGCGAGGAGGAGCCTTTTGAGCCTCGACCCGGAATTCTCCCCTCACAGGGGAAATCAGTGGCTTATCAATTGGGGTGGATGCCGATGATGTAGCCAATTCAAATGATTTGCTGAAATTCTCGCTCGAATTTGAGATTGACTTCTCGAGTGACATGAAGGTTGGGCTCGGTAGCTGTGGCGGGACAGGAGAGGTTGGTGAAGACGTGTATGAGCTAGCGTCCTTATCTCCAAATGAGGTGTTAGGAAGAGGTGAGAGTGGTGCAGGCATAGCTGACATGTGTCGGTCTGCCCGATCCACCCAATGTGGGAGATCGAGATTCTCATCATCGGTTGCTGAATCGGGCGTGTCGTGTGTATTGAATCTCTGATCGACAGGGGAACCAGCCGCTCCAAAACGCTCAACGCGACGGCCCCGTGGAAGACCATTCATCATTGGGAAATCACCTTCTATTAATGCTTTAGCCGAAAGAGGTCCCTGAGGCCGCTGGCTATCGTTTGTCTTGGGTGGGATAGCGATAGCATCAGGGACTGGCCCCTTCTTAACAGGAGTTGTTTTCAAGGGCCGCTGTCTAAGCATCGAGTCGGGCTGCTGCAAGGCGGTCGGGGTATTGGGGGCTCTAGTGTCAGAGTCTCCACGCGCGTGAACATTTTCGGGAAATCGTCGCTCAGGAATAGTGTCTGGTGTCTTGGGCAGGCTCAGACCCGGAGACGGTTGGCCCACTGTAAGGATTTCCGCACTCATTGGCTCGCTCATGCCTCTTTCTGCGGCAGTCTTCCTCCCTTCCGACGCAGACCTCACTCTTGTGTCCTCGGCCGGCGAGCTGGAAGCTTTTGGAGCTGGAGCCGGCATGAGGGGTGACGTAGGCAGTGGTATCGAATTGTCAACCACCGGCTGTCCAAAGTTGAATGCTGAGAAATTTCCTTCGAATCCTTCGGTCTGCCGCCTCTTCTTAATTGCCTCCTTATCCTCCTCCACCTGTTCGCGCAGGATTGCCTTTGCCTCAAGTGCAGTGCGAGAGATACTCTTTCGTCGTGGGGAATTGAACATCATTGGCTCTCGACGAGCCATCGAAGCAGAGCTGTTCCGGCCCGAGTTGTCCCACCGATCCTCACTCACGGGAGGGCTGGGAAGACCGATCTGGTCCATATCCACAGCTGACTTGGCTGGGCTTACCGAAGTCGTGGTATTCGATGCAGGGGGAAATTCGAAGTTTGTTTGCGGGCTATTTCCAATAGAAGGTGTGCGCCGATCCATGTTAGAAATTGACGGTGGCGGAGACGGGCTCCCGTGCTGGTCGTTTCTGAGGGATGGCGGGCGATACGGTTTATACAGCTGAGGAGGTTCCCACGCTTTATAGGTCTTGGCTTCCTTGAGTTGAGGTCTCGGCTCAAATTGACTGAGTGGGCTCTTTACAGGTGCTGTGTTCGTTCTGGGAATGCCGGGGGCAGGTGTCATGTCACTCAATGGACTCCGATGGGTGGGTGCTGTATTCATCCTCGATGGAGCGCCGAGGTGAGGACTCGTCGGAGCGCCGACAACAGGGCTCGCTGGAGCGCCCACGTTAGGACTCGTTGCATCTCTTCCGTACTGTCCGTACTGTCCATACTGTCCGTCCAGAGAACTCGACCAGTCCTTGGTATTACGGAGACTTCCACTGCCCGCAGTGCCTGGCCGAGTTGGGGTTCCAGGTCGACTCCCCTCACTTCCTCCAAACGGTAATGATGCTGGCGGGCCGACAGGACTTGATACGTTGATCCTTCCCCCTTTCATGGATGGATTCGAAGATATGGGCCGGAGGTTGGCCGCTATTGGCCTTGGGGCCGAGTTTGAGAGGTCGACCATAGATGAAGATGCTCCATTGTTAGCGTAAGGTGGGCGAAAGCTCGTATGGCTGCTGTGGCTCGACTGCGATGTGCCGGGTCTTGAAAGGGGCAGCGTAGGTTTCGATAGTTCGTGGCCGTAGAACTGGTCCTCGGCGAAGGACCACTCGTTTCCCTTCTTCCATTGCCTCTGGTTGGTCTTTTGCTGCTTCTTCCTAGAACAAAGACAGTATATTAGTATCGGTAAAAGGCGGCTAGCAATAAAGACTTACTGGCTCTTTTTGCCGCCGAGCTTGATTCCAAAGAATGACACCATGATGAGAAGAGGAATCAAAAATTTAATAAAACATTAAATGATTACTTCGCAGAGAGCCAGCGCGCGCCGTAATGAGAAATTGAATAGCAAGGGCTGAGCCAAGTAGTTGACCGGAATTCGTTGGCAAGCAGGAAGGACTAAGACGGATTGCTCGTGAGATGTGAGCTGAGCCGAACAAGGCCGAGTAATATACCGGGGTTCCAGTTCGTGCGTTTCGTCGCGATCAGGGTCTGCGGTGCGCAGTGCACTTGTAGGTCGAAAACACCGTTTTCAGAGTCAGGGGGCGATCAGGGTTCACAGCAGCAAATCCCATCCCATCCGGGGTGGCGGTGGTGGTGGGTGTGGTGGTGTTTGGTGGGGCGCGGGACTACGGGACGGCACTTCAGTCCAGAGGTGATCGTTTCCAGCCAGGAGAAAGGAGCGCAAAGGAGTCGAGAATCAACAAGACCCGGTAATGAACGTGGGAGGCAAGGCGCAAGCAAACATGGCCGTCGTCAGACCAGAGCAAAACGAAGGAGAGCGGAGGTCTTCCAGAGGATGGTTGCTAATAAAGAGAGAAGCTCCCGTGCGTGCGCCGTTGGTTCGCGCCTGCCTAGAAAAGGAGGAGCAGAAGAAGGCGAACATCCCCTAATGTTCGATTCCACAGTAGCTGAACCCCCTAACGCGATGGAGTCTAGGGGAGGTTTTGGCTGGGTGCTCTCGAATGCACCAGTCAGTGCGGGAGCCAGCCCACAGCAAGTGGAGGATGAAAGGAAGGAAAAGCCACCAGGGACCCCGGCCATTTGGGCGTCCAAAAAAGCAAGCAAGGATCAAGGAGTCGGGTGCCAATTCGCACATCGCCAATCACAATGAGGCGCAGAAGCTGCTCGTGCTGTGAAACGAACGATGTTCAGGAGGAAGGTGCCATTCTGGGCTGCTGGTCTTGCTGCTTCTGGAGCCATGCAGCCGTCCATCATCCGTCTGCTATAGCCCCCGGGCTATTGGCATATAGAGCAACAAAGAGGATCTGGAGTGAGGTACCAGCAGGTAGGAACAATGATGGGTGTGTACAAGCCTCGGTGCCATCGAACCTAAATCCGACTAAGTTGGCGCTGGCGGGGTCGTGTTTGATGACGATCCTGCACGGTACCTGACTAGAGCACAGGCTTCGCGGCACGGTACCTGCATGCACGCGCTCAAACCAGCCAGTGGCAGACCAGCCCTAGGACGCTGGATCACAGTCGGTCCCATGAGCCTACGCGACAGTCAGGCTCGAAGGCCAGCTGCCTCAATCGCATTGGCTGGCAGAGGCACAATGGCTTGCATGAATATCCAGGTCGGGTCTTCCGACTGGATGAGGCAACACACCACTTTGAGATGGGTTAATTAGACAACCCAGCTATTCGTCCTCGAGTCACACAAAGCAACGTACGGTTCGGAGCTAGATCGTTGTGGCGCACCCTCTGGGGATCAGGGGAAAAGGGGGTCCTCCCGGCTGCAGACAATGTTCCGTGTGCGCATCGATTCCACAGACGATTACATACACAGCATAGCAGTACCCCAGCAAAGAAACAGTTCCAGCTTGATAGGTAGTTCACTACCTCCGTAGTTTCAGGCTCGAGCCGTTCTCAGCCTTTCTGGCTCGTATTTATTCCTTCTCAGCACCAGCTTGGGTGTGTCACATATTGAAAATGCGCCAGCGTCGTGCTAACCTTTCGCCATGGATCCATTATTTTATGTTATTCCTATTATTAAACACCCGGAAGACTGCCGGGCCCAGCATCCCGACTACCTATGTATTTATACGCCTTACTCATATTATGTCAAAGCGGCTGATTCCTTACATATACTTGTTTCCCACATTCCACCCGCCATTGCCGTCATCGCCAAGGTTGCATTGTTAGCATCTGGCACCATCATAATCGAATCACACACAGTTGATTCAAATGCGTTGCCTGCATCGTATTCTCAGCCACACCTGAGTATATTGCAAACCATGTTCCAGGGGCCAAGATATTTGGGACGCTCACCAGGTGACTCTATTCACAGCTTTGCTCTATATCATCCTACAGGTATAGACTTATACATGGGGTGGGTCTATGAATCAAGGCGCAGCAAAAGATATTTCTCTGACCTGACCAACCTGAATTTAATCTACCTACCTGAGGTATTTCGGTATTTGTTTGGCTCCGAATATGTTTCAATATGGGCCAAGCATCTAATCCCAGGACGCTCATCTCACATAGATCGTAAGATTTGAACAAGCTATCAGCTCCTCCACCACGATCGATCAACCAATTGGGTGTAAATCACGATTCACTTCAATGTCGACGAATACCGAGGG